AAGCGGCTATATCGAGTCGACTGACATTTCCGGTCCTCCGGGGAAGCCGATCATCTCAGGCCAGTCGATGATCTTTGAATGAACAGCAATAATGTGGCAATGTCCATGTTGCTTGGATCTTGCATCCAGCAGGCGATACAATTTACTTTCTGGCTAGAACCGGCAAGTATCTGGAATATCCAGAGCACCGGGAGGTCGGCGGGTCCGCTCACTGCGTTTGTCTGACATGACGGGTCTTTGCGGGACACATCTGGAGGATCCAAGAGCGCGAGCAGAGATCAAAGGGCCGCGACAGGCTTCTGTCATTCATGCTTCTGCAATTTTGGCAAACCTTGTCTATCGACAGCGCTAGGATGAGTTGCTCCCAGCAGATTGACCTCTGTATCCGTTTCTGTTCATCTCCGGGTTGCCTTGCAGCGCAGAGTGCTGGCCGTTCCGCACGTCAAACATCGAAGCCAGCATAGAAAGTGTGTTCCAACTCATGTCCGGCCAAAGTCACAAGATCCTGCAAGGCTTTAGTTATCCAGAAGAGTGGAGGCCAGAGCCAGAGCTCTTGCATGGTGGACGCTAAGAATTAAGCAGCCGTCGACCGTCCCTGAGGCGGTGCCATTCAGTCAGGCGCGTGCCCGTGAGCCCTCCGACCGATGGTCTTTTCCAGGGGTTCTTTTCGAAGGTTTCTGGGGACCGTACTGACAGGAGGTCGTGGGGTGGACACGTGATCTGGCCCCTGCGATGCACACAATGAGCTACTGTTTTACAGCTGGGATTTGGGTGGGAGGAGATACCGTGACACTGAAGTGCCACCTGGGTGCCAGCGGTCTCAGATTTTCTGAGAAGCATCAGATTTTCTGAGAAGCATCGGAAACCTAAACCTCCGCGTCATCTCTTCTTGAGGTTTACCTGGATTTCGTGGGTACAGCCGTTCGGGAGCGGAAGCCAAGCACCTCTTTGGAGATGGCTCTTCATTTCTGGTCCTGGTCGTGGCTCAGGCACGCTACACCGAGGTCGGAGATTGGCAGAAGCTCAGGACTGCAGCTCGTTTACAGACTAGCCAAGCCTGTGTGTCCCTGTCAATCATTAGTCCGCATTACCCGACGCCGCAGACTGTGAGGATTACCAGTGAAGCTGGCAGTGGGCCTATCCGCACAGGCGTGCTCGGTGCTCCCGACGCAATCCTTCCCACTGAGAACAACATCGCAGGCGACATTGTGTTCCTGAGAGGGCATCAAGACAACGTGCTGGATGTGGGCCACCTATTGACAAATGCACTGTCAGCGACACATCAATAGCCATGCGTAAGGTCGAAAAGGAAGACGTGAAATGTCGCTGGTCATGACCTCGATCTCGGCGCGGCAATAGCGAAGGATTTCTAAATTCTATGTGTCTGCACCAGGCCCGATGAAGGACGCTGGCAGCGCCTGGCCGTTGAGAAGTGAGATGCCAGTGACCACAGTTCGTTTGGGCCTGTGGCTCTGGAAGGCCTTGGATGCCGTGAAAACCCGGGAGCTGTCACCGAAGACTTGTAAACCAGCCCGCGATTCAGATGACTAGGCTGGGCATTCAAAGCCGAGCCAATCCCCAACCCCTGAGACACCGAATGCTCTCTTGCGAATATACCGCTTTCTCGTTTTTCTGTACAGCCTGGCTGAGGCGAGCTCAAAGACAGAGTGGAACGGACATAACAGCCGAAATCAGCTCGTGCAGTTCAATCGCAGAGTGCAGCGGTCTCCAAACACACCTGTCTTTTCCGGCATTGTCTCTAATGCCTCCGAGTCTGCGCATCACCCCACCCCACAAGCTCGCTCTGCTTTCTGGCCGATGCAGCGTTGGAGAGCAACTGGCTGGGGGGACGGCAAACATGGCCTCGCGCTGATGTTTTCTGCCATGGTGACGCCAAGCGAGCTGTATGGAGATGCTCGGAGAATCGAAGCAGTCCCTCCCTTCCTGCTGATCAGGCTTGAGATGGTCGGCCTGTCTGTCCGTCTGCACCCCCTTTCTCCCCATGCAGATACTTGTTGTGTGGGTGCAAGTGTGTGTGTGTGTGTATCCGTGTCTGTGTGCCTTTGTGCGTCCTTCCATCCGTACATGTGTTCGTATGTTTATATGCTTCCAAACCCGACTCTCAAGGACACCGCCGCTGTACTGGTGGCTGCGTTGATGGTATGCGCAGCCCGGTTCTTGTGCCCTGGCAAAAACCATTTGGCCGTGCCCATAGTCTTTTGTGCTACCTGCTACTGTGCTGGTTCACTGGGGTGCTGGTTCACTGGGGTGCTGGCTTCAGAATAAAGCACGGCTGCTATTCCTCACTATCAATTGGGCGCTGCTTCTGAATGTGAACCTCTGCCCCTGCCTGAACTGCGTTGGGTTTCTGCGGTTGCGTGCCTTGCACATCCTTGCACGCAAGACTTGTGTTGGCTTAAGCACTCCCGGCGTGTGTTGGGCTACTAAGATATTCGATTATTCGATGCTCGAGTCTTCTTGGAATGTTACTCGGGCAAGTGACAACAGGTGCAATGCTGCTATTCTCCAGCTGGCCTACATCTGAGGGGGAGTTGACATTGTTGAATGCAACAGGCATGCGAAAGTCAACTTCAGACAAGTACAGACCACCCCGTGATCCATCCGTGAGCCTCTTGGTTTCAGGACGGGCAGGAGATCAAGAAGCTCTCCAGGAGCTTCACCAATGCCTTAAGCTCACAGCATCTACTTGTAGCAGAGACGCATCCAGCGAAATTGCTTGCAAAGGTTTGTTGCAAGGTACAGGAGGTATTGGGCAAGTCTTTCCCGTTGCAGGAGACAGACTCCTTTCAAAGCTTGCCGAGCTCGAACTTGTGCAGGCATTGACCTGGTTCAGCATTTGTCTTGGGTCTAACTGGTCAAACCGCTCTAGCCACTGTCTTGATAGGCTCTGACATGGACGAGGTAGCTTGGGAGGCGAAGTGCAAGTCGTCTCGTCATCGAGTGGCGCTTCTTTCCAGCAGTTGAGGCAGCGATGCAAGTTGCTGACCTTTGTGCACGCAATTCTGCTTCTTGGATGCTGAAAGTTGTCTCTGCCAGCTGATGGGTGTTGTGGCAAGCCCACAGGCCGCAGCTCGCGAAAAGGCGGCATTTCTTGTAGCGCTCTGCTTTCGAAGGAGGCAACATGTAGCTGCCGGAAAACGGCCAATCCGTAGGCTCTCCGCGAAGCGGAGAATCCACACTTTGGACGTGCCACGGTCCTGGTGTGAATCGAATAGCTTGAAGAAGGCCCGGGCGTCGATTCTAGGTGTATCAGATTGCCCGCAGGCTTCCTTCGTGGGCCGACCGTTGCCCCAGGATTGAGGGGAGATACACCGGCTTTGAACCGCTGAACTGTTGGAGGTCCTGTTTGTATGCCCAGAAGCAATGGACAGGAGGATTCTTCACAGATCATGCATTGCTCTCCGCAGAGCCCTCAGCACGTGCGGGCCGAGCCGTGTTTAGATTTATGTTATAGACATAGGACCTGCTCACGCAGGCTCCGCGGCCAGGTGTCCAACGCTGATGTCTTGGCATATGCGGAAGGCCGGAGTAAACACGTGAGTGGGCCGTCATGAATCAGCACAAGCGCCAGAAAGAGGACAAGAAGTTGCTGTTGCTCGTCTCGAGCTGTCTCGAATCAATTCGCGGATCAGCGGATCGGGGGCTGTTTTGGTCTAATGGACCCATGAACCCAAGCCCAAGTAGAGCTGTCCGCAGAGACACAGCCGAGTCGTTTCAACTCGCTTTGTTGAGAGATGTTGAGAGTTGAGACTTGACCGCGCTTGAGCCAGGTTTGGGCTAAGCTGGCCTCTTGAACACACTTGCCATGACCTGAGTTGTTTGAAGCTTTCAAGTACTTAGTCCGGAGTGGATGAAGAGGTCCAGCCACGCGATGCACGTATCCAAGGTCCACATCATCCCGCTCAACATGACATAGCTTGACGTGTATAATGTAAACTGTAAACTGCCAACTGAGAGAAGCCGTGCATTCCAATTGAGCGGATGATAACTCAAGACCGGGCTGGTAGGCAAGGTAAGCGTCCTACCCGTTGCCGGCTTCCCATGATCCTGGGACATGGGATGGTAACAGCAGCGTGCCATCCCGGCGCCAGGGATCTGTTAATCCAGGCAAGGTCATGGCCCAAGCAAAGTCTCCAATAACGATGGTGCAAGCATAGCACACTGGAGTTGTCCTGGTCATTTGCTGCATGCCTTCCCATCTTTATCATGAGCCGAAAAGATGCTTCGGCACCCGAGTTGCATATGTAGAGGCATGTTTCGTTACCCGAATACAACGCTGCACCCCTGGCTCCTCAAGGTAAAGCCGAACCGTTCTCGGTATGTCATAGCTCATGGCAGGTGACGTTAATTGTGGCTGGGGCTAGGATGCAGCGCAACAATTCACACGTTTGGTGTTTCCAAGCGCTTCTCCGGCAGCCATGCTCAGTAGTGCAACCACAGACATGAACGCGCAGTGCTGGTCAATCCTGATCTGGCAGCCGGACTGCATGCTTTCCCTGCGTCCTCTTGAAACTTTTCAAGCTCTTGATGCATTCGACATATGTCGGAACAATGTGCAAGGGTCCTGACAGAACCAGCTGGCATGCCGTAGAGCACGGGGTTTTGAGCACGACCTCGCAACTGTGCAATTCTGGCTCGGCTGCAGCAAGAAATATTACGCTCTAAGGTGCGCACTGATCAGATCTAGCTACTCGCAAAGTCTGTTTGGTAAACAGGCGGATGTTTCTTTGGGCCTCTAGCTTGCTGCACGCAGGGCAAGCAGAAAAACCTCACAACGAGCAAGATTTGTTATTGCTACACGCTGTTGCAATGCAGGAGTGTTTTCAGGCTGGATACGCCTCACGTGCACTTACCTACTTCTTTCCAAGACGTGCAACTCCAACGTTTTAGGCTTGGAAGTAGTAGAGTATCCTCACCTCCACATGTGCGGTGTTGGCATCCATGTTTGATGCCGCAGTGCAGCCTAATTGGCGCGCAGTATGGAAAGGTGGCCACAGACCCTCCGAATGGGGGTGCTGGTGTGGGCGCTTGTGGCATCTTTGGCTCAGACATCCGCAACTGGATCCTCGTCGCAGTCACTGGATGCCTCACCACTGGACCCCAGCTCCGCGGAAAGGCGGCTTCAGACAAGTCCTTTTGTTTCATCCATATTGCCCGCAGGCACAAGCTTGACTGTGCACCTATTTGGAAGCAAGACTTCATCTGCAGCTGATGGTCAGGAACTTCATATACTGGCCGGTGAAGTAATATACGGTATTAGTATCAGCCTTCCTCAAGGTTTTCTTTTCAACGTGGCCGCAGGTCGCTTGCGCATAGTTTTTGGGTACTTGTCGGAAGATGAGGCCAGAAATGGGGAGTGTGCACCTGATCAGCTTGGACCCGTAAGTGATCAGGTTGTGCAGGCTCCACTTTCAGCCCGCTGGGGCACCGCGGCAAATGTGGCACAGGGAGTTTCAACTCTCACTGCTGACATTGCCACTGGTACCACTTTCTTGCAGGGCGGGATGTATCGCTTGTGCTTTAGTGACGATGGTTCTTTTGCGTCCGGCCGTGCTGACTTATTAAACGTGCTCTTAAATGTACAGGCGTATGTGACTTCCCGGCTCCCTGCTGGAACTGGTCTTTTCATAATCTTTGCGAATGGTGAAGAGAAAGCAGCCATCGACGGTGAAAGTATTAAATTCAGTGCAGCCCAGCCCATCACCAAGATCTCACTACAGCTGCCACTGCTTTCGGTCATTGATTCTGGCTCCGTGCGGCTGAAGGCAATAAGTGCCGCAGCTACACGTGAGGAGGTGATGGTCGGAGCTTGTGCAGCAGGCAGCATGATGGAACTTAGTACAGAAATGGTGGGAGCCCCGTTGTCGTCAGCCTCGGGCGTCGCAACACTTGATTCCCGCGGTAGCAGGCAAATCAACACATCTTTCGCAGACCCCATACCGTTTAACTCTGCTGGGCGAGCACAGCTTTGCTATTCAGATGATGGTAGTTTTTCCAATGACCACGTGGATTTGGTGAATGTTGAATTAATTGCCGATGGGTTGATCAGCACCTGCGAGACGGCTGGCTGCCTCGCTGCTCGCTCTTTCCGCTGTCACGCTTTGCTGGGGAAAGCTTCAGAGTATGGCAGCTGTGCCTTGCCAATCGAGGGTGTGCAAGGTGACCTAGGAGTGCTGTCCTGGTCTCGAGGCATCGATGGCTTATATGGCGGTGATGGGGCACCCTTGCCGTTGGACACTCCAACGTGTGGCACGACAGCAGCAGACACTGCCGCTTTCTGTGCAGGCAAGACATGTGAAGAGGGAAACCGATCTTTTCAACTAGACTCCGCTTCGCTCGTCACGATGCCGCCTAGCGAGCCACTGGTCTTTTCCCAAACCGCAAGAGCAGCTGCAGTTTGTTATTGCACAGGGCTAAGTGGTTGCGACCTTGTCACCGGGGCCGCAGGATTCTTCCAACAAGTTGGATTCGTACAGCTCTTTACGGCATCAGTGATGCCCGTGGGAGAATTCTCCTGTGCTACATCTTCATCCGGAGTCCTCGCCTCCATCCCATTCGTCTCCTGTGTGTTCTGTCCTTTCGGCGGCTGCCCTTTCGAGGCTGCCTCACGCATCATTTTCACACGCCAGCCGGAACCTTGGAAAGCACAGGTCTTCCCAGCGTGGCATCCGGAACATCGCTGCAAGCATGCCGTCCATGAGAGCTTTCTTCTGCCAGTAGCAGATGTGGCCTTGCAGATTGATGGTGGGCCCCGTTCCGATGTGAAGCGCTTTCGGCCAGAAGAGGGCTATACTCTGCCCAACTGGCCGACCTTTGTCCCGAAAGGCAATTGGCTAGACATTTGTTTCACACCGGATTATAGGGGAGAAAACACTAGCGAGTGGTTCAAGGTTGGCGAGGTTGCTGTGTTGGAGGCGTCTCTTGCGGCTTCGTCTACTGTCCCTGGCGGAATCACTACGTCTCCTCCAAAGCAGGTTGGCCAGGTGGGGCAGATCTCGATGTCCAGATCCTTGCTGCCCTACCGCAATCCGGAGAATGTCGTTGGCCTGACTACCGGAGGCGGAATTCGGCTTGCATCGATGATTATTACGGAGGACAGCTCCACCAGGGAGGCATGTGAGAAAGGGCGCACAGTGGGTGTAGTTGGACTCACTCGCGCAAATGCCTCGGCCTACTCTGCAACGGTGCGCGGAGACCGAATTGTGTTTGATGGTGGGGAGGTTGGCAAGAGCATCTATTTTCCTGATGTTGCAACTGCTGTCGTATGCTACTGCCCAGATATGGGTGGACTTGACGAATTTGGAGAACAGGTCTGCCTGGGAAGCCCATATTGGGTGCCAGTCGGCGCACTGGTCGTAGCAGGTCCTGTTGCGAATCAGTACTGGGTGCTTCCAACCATGAAGACCTTCCGCTTCGAGTACCTGGGTGTCAACCTACAAGATGGTGACATGTTGCGTCTGATCTTGGAGGATTCCAGCTGCGCGGCTTTCCCACCTGCCGAACGGATGTGCCTACGGCCGAACGAGGACCCCATAAACGGCCATGCTCTGTGCAATAGCAACTTCCTTACCGCTAATTCGGGCCACATGCGCACGACGACCCTCGCGTCTGATCGGGTGCGATGCGACGAGTTAAACGAAAACTGTGAGACAGTTCCTCTGACCAACTTGGAGACCACAGAGACGGGTTTGCAATTGACGTTTGCTGGGACTACCTATTCGGGCGGTGGACTTGGCAACCTTGGGCTGAAGGATGGCGACACGATTGTGCTCGGAGCCGGAGTGCAGTGCGGTGAAAATTGCTCCCAGCCGATGCTGGACATGGCAAAGGGCTTCCTGGTGTTCCAAGGCTTGCAAAACTACCTGCCCTTGGACGAGGAGGACGGTAATTTGGCTACTGACATAGTGGGAGAGAGACATGGTACTTTTCAAGGCAGCGCCGGTCATCCGACGTGCGCTGACTCGTGTTGTGCAGCATCAAGTGCAGTCAGTCCGGAAGCTACGTCCAACTGTGCAGGTGCCGGCGTGCAGAGAACTCTAGCGAAGTGGGGTGCCTATGCGCTTCGCTTTGTCCCCGGCTCATCTATGGGCCCCTAAGTTGCAGTCGTTTCAAGGGCTTTCGACAGTCTAATGCCTGATGTGGGAACTGCGGAGTCTGTGACAGCGGCATGAGCATTGCCAGCCAATTGCAGGTCTGCCTGCTGGAAGTCCAGTTGAAGGAACTGAAGCTTGGAGTGTCGTTTTCTGGGTGAACCTGGAGAAGCTTGCCTGCACCAGTGCTGCCTGAGCCAGACACGCCAGTCTGAAGCATGCTGTGAGCCCAGGAAGGATGGATGGTATACGCTCTGTGGGATGGCGAATGGGAACGGCATCTTTGAGGATGGTGAAGTTGAGATAGGCCCCAGCCCTTAAGAGCATAGCACGGCTCAGCTGAGCGGTCTCTCGCAGAGGCGTCGCCTCTGCCCCGTGGCCTGCCGGCAGCCTCTACCTGCGCCAAGCCGCCGGCATCTCCGGCGAAGACCAGGCTGCGAAAGCTCTTCTGTCTCGTTCCCTTATGCTTTTGACGCTGCAGGCAATGGGCGATGCCGTGCTGCCAATGGCACAATGGGCGCATGTTGCCGTTGTATACGCCGGCAGGAGCCAGAGAGTAGAATCTTGAGTAGAGATGACTTGTGACTAGTGAGCGCTCCACCACTCTGCCTGCCTTCACTACGAGCGACAAATCGTACTACTGCTGATGCTGCATACATTGCCATTGATGCTGTCGAACCAACATAGAGCTATATCATATATCATATATCCATACCCGGCAGAAGAGGGTCCTTCGTGCGTCCCACACTCTTGGGCTCTCCCCCTCTTGCTCGTCTCGCAAAGGTTTTTGCCACTTCTGCCTGTTGTCTTTTTTTCAGCGTCATTGCCTGTTCTCAAGAAGCTGCGAGCGGACAGCTCTCCCCCACAGGATGAGCGGCAGCTTGCGCTTCTACATTGACGGAGCACTTGCCTACGAACGCCTGGGCGTTGTTGTGAACACGTCTACTTTGCCGCTTCAATTCGCTGGGCATGTGTCTGACGCATTCCCGGGTGGTGCTGTTGCATCTGACGGGTATTTGGAGCTCGATGAGATACGTTTCTACAATTTGCCGCTCAGTTCTGAAGATGTGTTGGCTTTGGCCAATGCATCCGACGGCGGAATTGCAGACCGGAGCCAGGCTCCAGGTGCGCCTATCGGGATTGCCATCGCTGAAACCTCCAATCCAGCAGTCTTCACAGTGGAGCAGGGCAGCTTTGCGTCAGCACCAATACCTCCTCGATTCCACATTGAGGGAGGCCAATGGCGTCGAACGAATCGAGGCGGACTCGAAAATGTGTGTAACCGTTGCGACACGAGATCTATTTTGTTTTTGCTGTGCTGCACTCTTCGTCTGCAGGCGTGACCCGTGGGGAACTGATGTCCAGCTCTGCACGGCGGTTGAGACTTGCTGTGCTTACAAGTAGTTCCTTCATCTCGGTTTTCGACAGTCAATGCGGCACGTAGAACAAACGTTCCGACAAGGAAAGTTTGCTGGGAGCGTGATGGCCGCGCAGCGGATGCTGGCATCGTGGAGTTCGTGTCGCAGAGCCGCTCTGCCTGCAAGCGATGGAGAGAGCTGAGAGCTGAGTGGGCTCTGGGGCATGCTTTGTCTTCTCATGTGGTGCGACATCTTGGGAAACGATGTTTCGTGTCTCGGAAGCAGGCATGACGTAGCGAGTTGTGTGTTCGCTGTCTCAGGCAGCTTAACGGAGCTCGGGATCTGGCCGACACAGCGGGACTTGCATAGGGGGCCTTTTTCAACTTGAAGTGGACTTGCAAAGCTTGAGAAGGTCGGTGAGTATTGTCTCGCTTGGTGGGAGGAGTGGTCGCAGTCCTCGCCTTTCGTCTTGACCTTCCGGACCGGCAGCGCCGACTCTGCTGGGAGGCGCTACGTGCAGGCCGGAATCTCAGAGTTTTAGCGTGTGGACGTTGGCTGGAGCTTCAAGATTCATGCCACAGGCAGAAGGACACATGAGCCTGACGCTGACCTTCATCAACCAGGCGAAAGAGGGTTAAGAACCGGGGCCTTGTGCCAACCTCCAGGGCCGAAGGTCACTGCAATGGCCTTGAGGCAGCCCTCCGGCATATGGGGAGCAGTGCGCAGGGGCCCTTCGTGAGCTCATTCAACATTGGCAGCTGAGCTGCACGGAGAGCGAATTGGCTATGGCTACAGTAGCGCATTCAAGCTCATCAGTCGCAATGTCAGTAGAGTCGACGTGACTTGGCTTCGGATTGCAGTCATCTCTACTCCAGGCAGCGATGAATGGGAGGAGGTGCGTACCGGCTTGTAGAGTAGAGGCTGCAGTATTGAGTTGGACACTTCAGGCCACGCAGACCGTTTGCGGCATCGTGTTTCGTGAACTCTGGAGCAGCGACCAGGCCACTTGGCCCTTTGCTCGTGCCGTGTTTTGCTGCGCTTAGCTGTGTCGTTTGAGGCGAAAGGCTTCCCCCTTCCGAAGGGTTGTTTTTACCGCGGCTTGACAGTGGACATGCCTGGGACCTGGAACTTGCGTCAAGTCGTGATCCGAGAGTTGAGTGGCCTCTGTCCACCAAAGAGCCCACCGCAGAGTGCCCTGCAACCATCTGCAACTGGCCACGCTGGAGTTGCTCTAGGCGTGAGATTGTCATCATCTTCGAAAAGCGGAACGGGTTGTCGCCTGATTCGCTGTGCCCTCAGTGAAACTCCTGGATTCAATCCGAGCCCAAGCCGCATGGCCGCATGGATGTGTCCTGAGCGTGGCTGCACTAGAAGGTCCTATCAGATCGTTATGAATGCCCAAGCAACGAACGAGATGGTTACAGATCAGGAGGCTCCCGCCTTTTTCCTCTTCAATCGGGTGTTGTGCTTGTTCTTGTGTGATCTATCTTGACCGCTGCATGTCTCGTCGATTTCATCTTGCCTTTGATCCAGCTTTGAAGCAGTAGTATGTCAGCGCGTACGTGTTGAGTAGCTGACATAACGGCATAGTACAGAGATGCGAAACGCAACAACACGTTGTCGCACAAGGCTGAACCCGTATACCGTATACATCCGTATACCAATGTTAGATCTTATGCAGTTAGTCTACTTCCAAGCCGGTTGACCGGTGGCCTAGTCTAACAGCGATGGCAGAAGGTGATAGCTCGCAGGATCAAGAGTTTTCAGAGCTCCTGGGATTCTTGCAAGACCAGAAGCCCGAAGTGAGACGCTTTGCGGCAGAAGGCGTTCTAGGCCAAACAGAGGACACTGACTTCCTGGACTACTGCCGCCGGAATCCGCGCACTGCAGCAAGGCCCCTCCTGCGTTTGGCGGAGAAGGCCGAAGCAGAGGTATCAGAGGCAGCAGAGGCTGGGGAGAAGGCCGGAAGCTCTCAGGCTCAGAAGGCAGCGGCCATCCAGGCTGCCAGCAGCATGGAAGCCTGTGTGTCGGCTTTGAAGGCTTTGGTGAACCTCTCCACCATCCCTGCAGTACAGGAAGAGCTAGTCTCCCTCAATGCGCCAAAGCGCATCACCGAAGCCCTCCGATCGGGTTGGTTGGAGGGTCGAGCAACGATGGCTCACTGGTATGCCATGCTACTGGCGAACATCTCTACGAGCGCCAAAGGTCAGCAGGCTTTATGTGGCGATGAAGGTATGCTTAAGTTTCTGGTGGCTGCCTACGTGACTAAGCCACGGCCAGCTGCAAGGGACGGCTACGAGGATCCCCTACTTTGGCTCGGAAGCTTGCTGGTCAACGTTTTGGTTCTGCCCGAAGGACGCAAGCTTTTCGCGATGGGAGAGAATCATGCACTCACCACGATCTTCAACGAGCTGGCAGATCGTGGCCGAAGACAGGACATGATCAATGCGGTCAAGAACACTTGCTTGGATTCAGACTCTTGGATGCAGCGCATTCCTGTGGTGAGGTGAGCAAGATGGAATGGGCGGAAGCTCAGGAGTGTCATGAGACAGTCATCACAACAGATCTGATAGCCCAGATGACAAGGCTCGGAGTTGTAAGTCCTTTCGGCGGCTTCTCACCCGCCTCGTGCAGGTTCCTCTGCCCCTGGGAGTCTATGGATGCTGACTCGAAGTCCTTGCTGCCGGGAGCCTTGAAGGAGTCTCTTGAGAAAGATGGCGCTTCACTCACAGGCAGCACGTGCAGGGAATTCGTCGGGGGAACGGGAAAATGCATGCTGGGGCATTGAGGCAGCACGTCTAAACCTTGGCTCCCTCCGTGCCATTTGAGTGGTTTTCATGCATGCACCACGCATGCTCAAGGCGATGTTGCCGTTCGGTCAGCTGCTGCTGTGAGTTTGATGGGACTTTGTCGCTCACTTGCTGGCCGAGACTATCTCCGAGCAAGTGGATGCGAGCAGGCCGCAAAGGGACGATGCAAGACGAGCGCGGTCTTGATGTGATCGGATAGACTTGGGATGTCACGGAGAGCAGCAGGGTCGTCTGTGGTTCTGCAAGCTCCGGCTGTACTTTCTCGGATTCTTGGATTCTGTCGATGTCCTTCTTGGTCTGTGGCTTCTTTGTGTGCTTCTAGCCTTGCTTTCTGCCTTTAATTTTGTTATGTTTTGTTTGGCATGCTTTGCTTCCGGGCGAGCTCTCTCTCCTTTGCTCACTCTTGCAGCCTGTCCGTTTGAGTCTGACTCTCTCTCGCCTCGCTTTCCGTTCTCCTCTTCGTCGCATGAACGTACCTGAGTTGCTTCCGCTTCCACTCGATACGACGAATGGTTTGCATGCTTGTGACACATCGCCCTCCACCTCACGCTTGCCGATGCCAAACCAAACCCGCCGCGGTGGGCTCGGAGTTTCATGTTGATGACAGGTTCTCAAATGGGTCCTCGCGGTGTAAAGTCGACGTGCACTGAGTGCGATCTCTTCGTTTGAGAGCAGGTCTTGCGTGCATGGCACGCCGAGGAGACTGATGGCACCATCAAGGCGAGGCTTAAAGCAAGGCAAGACGGAGAACCGCAAACCGCGCATGGTTGCAGGAGCAGATCGACGTTGTACTTCCTGCCCTGGTGCTGTCCGAAGACGAGCTGAAAGCCGAACAGGACAAGCTGGCGGCACAAGAGCATGTACAGACCGGGCCAGCTGATGATCCCTGAATCCCCCATGTTCTGAACTCTCTTGTGCAAAGAGCCCAAGCCCAAGTTGCCCGACGGACCAAGTCCAGATCCACGCGCCTTAAGTCTTTAGCCGGACCGCTGCCGATTGAACCGGTCGAGCGATGCCTGGAGCAGGCTCGTCGCTGATCTGGCATGTTACAATCGCTCTCATGCGATTTTTTCGTCTGCCTGACAAGACGCTTGACTTCTGTTGTACAGTCGCCGAGAGCCACGGATGACACAGGCAGTGCGTACTCAGTGGACAGTGAATGTGGCCAAAGCAATTTGTGTTCAGATACGGAGAGAGCCCAAGTGGACTGAGACTGGCATGATAAGACGGAAGTAAGCTCGCTCGTTTGCGGCCAGTTGTTCTTCATCAGCTCCAACGATGACCACGAGGGCTACAGATATGCCCCGCTCGAGGCAAGCAGATACGTCCACAGTGCTCTTGTGCATCTTGTGCACATGGCATAGTGGCATAGAGTCCTCTTTTTCAGCTCCATCTGGTGTGGGAGCATGCCAGCTGCCAACTCGGGCTCGACAGGTTGGTCATATCTTCACGAATGAAGACACGCTCTACCAGCTAGGTGCCATTTGCATTGTAATGCCATCTTCCAAAAGCCACGTGTTCAGCCCTGCTGAGGTGCCGGCAACAACGATCCTCAGTTTGCCCCCGAGGGCGGCATTGTCGCTCCGCCGCGGTTGGCGATGTCGGTGCGAGTTAAGGGGCGAACAGCCTTGCAGCATCTTGCAGCGTCTTGCAGCCTCGTGCAACGGAAGTGCTCTGAGGAGATCATTGGAGGTGATCAGGAGACAAATCTCGTCTCGTTTCGCTCCTACTTCCTGCAGGGCACAAGTTCTGGCAAACATGCTGCCGATGTGTTGTTGCTCAGAAATCTGCTGAGGTTGCAAGATGGCTCCACCAGGCTTCGCTTGCAGATGATGGGTGGCGAATATTCCACTGCCAAAATCTCCAGCTGCAGCCTCAGGAGCAACTTGAAAGGACTCGCTCGCTTGTTGTTTCATGAGGACGCTTAGGAGGCTCAGGGGAGGAGGGAGGTAGGCAGGGGCTTCCCCTTATCCATATCCATCGAACAGTCCTAACGCCTTTTTTTGCACCCGTCTCAAGACATCCCAGAAGGTGGCCGCGCTCGTCCCGGGAAGCTTGCAGTATTCGGAGGGCGTGAAGTTGATCTGGCACTCAGGAGGCAGTTATCTGAGCATGTGGCTGGAGCCGCTGACGGCTGCAGTCTCAGAGCGGTGAAGACATCTTCAACAGGCACGTGCTATGACGATGATGACATTGACAGGCATGGCAGCTGCCTGAAACGTGTGGAGATCGAACGGATACAAGGCTGCCCTCATACTTCCAGCTGCATGTACGTGCATGACGCGGGCTTTCTTTTCGTCGGATTTGGATTCATGGACACCACCTCGCTCCAGAATGCTTGCAGAAGCAATCGTGGCTAGAGATCAGACTGCACATGCCCCCTAGCTGAAACTATACCCTCAAACGGATGAGTGGAGCAGGGTCGAGACCGGCAGCATCCGCATCCATTGTTTCGTCGTCTTCCTGGCTTTCTTGCAGACGTAAGTGCTGCTCATGCATGTGAGCTGATTTCGTGTGCGAGTAAGTTGTAGATTGGCCCTGCCAGCAGCACGACTGTGGTCTTCGGAATCCTATATGTGTTGAACCAGGTTAGATGACTCTGAGATGAGTGTGACAGCTTGCTAGTCGGGGAGTTGACCCGACTTGCACCAGCATCGCCAGATTGTCGGCAACTTTCGCCGGTGTGGTGAAGTGGTCAGCTGCGCTGGGATCAAGGCACCAAGTAGTTTGTGCACGTGCAGTGAGCATACGGGTCCAGTGTCGTGACAGGTTGTGCCGTTTGCAGCACAGGCAGGGCTGCCCTTGCGGCTTACGTGGGCGGTGCTCCTCTTCGGGACAGGTGCCGATGATTCGCATACAGATGCCACCGAACATGAACGACCTCTTCGGATCGCTGGTGCCTCGCTGGGTCTGCTTAAACAGGGAAGAGGTGACGTGGCACTGGGCACTGGGCCAGATCTACGAGCTGGATGTCTACAGCCTGAAGCTGCCATCTTCTGGCGTCCCTTCCTCGAGTCAAGATCGTTGGATGCATCCTGTTTTAACTAGTCCGAGGCTCTACCCCACCGTCTCATGGTGCAAGTGATGAAGGAAGATGGGACCAAGCCGCATTTCAGGCAAGGCTGCCTTACTGCGAGTATGCTCGGAACACATCCGGTTTAGTTTGCAGCCCCAGGGTCGCCACCGGTCGCTTTTACAATGCGCAGCGACCTCTGGGCATGACGACGACGATGCTGCTGCCGCTGCGGTGATGGTGATGGTGGAGACGGGTGTTTGCTGTCAACAAAGACGACGCGTACTGCAATATTGGCACGACTAGGTTTAGTCAGTCTCTGCGCATCTTTTCCTGCCCAGGCCAACTCGCAACTTCGCGACGATTGGGCGTGTTCTCAGTGCACCTCAGGTCCGTGTCGTGTCCTTTTCAAGCACAGTGAGTGCCTTCCCTCACGTCTCCTGTTGCTTTGCGCTGCCAGATGGGCCTCGAGCCGTTCGAAGGAGTGCAAAGTCACGTTCTCTATGCCCGGGCCTCAGTACGTGAGAGCTCTGGTCATCCTAGAACTACACGTCTGTCTGTGTTTGTCCGAAACCGAGAGTGGAGTCCGCCTTGTAGGTGATGCTTCAGATGGCTGTGCCGCTTCGCGGACAGGACAGGACGCGGTAGACAGCTCAAAGCATCGATCAGTGATCGGTGCATAGCGGTTTCGTGTTGCGCCGCAACAAGACATGCCAATCGAAAGCAGCTCAGGCCTGCGCCGAACGCTCGTCCTGGCTCGTACTTCGTGATCAGGGCCCCGCCAGTTTGGACCTTAGAGACGGGTTTAGGAGTCTTTAACTTCATAGGAGCCGATTGGCCAGCGCTGCGGCGACAAAACACCCAAAGCCAATGCCTGCAGTGCCAGGGCTTCCGGATGCTACAGGCCGTCGAGGTGAACCACACAGGCGTACTGGTAGTGCTTGAGAGATGTGTCGGAGCCATTGCAGACTCTCCCACGCACAGGGGGTGACCTTGGCATGGTGACTTTGACGCCAGATGGTGATGCGGCAGCTGGGCTGCAGATGTGTGGAGTTCATGTGGAGCCGTGTCCGGCGGTGTCCGGGGCTCGGGCTGTCGTCTTCTGCCGAGGCATCGCGCCTGAACAACACCATGCCGCAACCTGCTCCAACCGGCTTTGGAACGTGCTGTCCTCGGTCTCACGGTGGAAGGAAGGAGGCGACAAGTACGAGCACGACTCAGAGTTGACATTGAGGCCTGACCTGCGGGGTTGGTCGATGCTTGGCGAGGAGGCCACGTACGCCCTCCTTGCAGGGAGCCCCAGCTGAGCCCGTGCCGTTCAAGCCCCAGCCCCCGCCAGCCCCCAGCCCCAGCCCCGGCCCCAGCCCAAACCACCAACAAGGCTAAAAAGCCAAACCCCAAACCCAAAAAACTAAACCCAAACCCTAAAATCCAATACCCCAGCCCCAGCCCCAGCCGCCCCAGCCCAGCCCCATGCAATGTTGGCTCGCATAGGTCCCATTCCTGCAAGCCCTTGTTTTCCCCAAAGGATGATGACTTTGCGGTCTTCCATCACCTCAACTACCCGGTTGATGTCGCATAGCATGTGACTGCTGCCGCCCAGGATCGATCGCTCATTCCTGCAATGTCGTCGCTCGTGATGGGTGCAGATCTTACACGTGATCTCAAGGGTTCAGCTGGGTTGCAATGCCTCGCTCGACTGCTTCTCAACAAGCATTGCAGCTGGGTCTACTACGCGGCTACAGCATGTTTTGCACTCCGGTGTGCATGCGCGAAGCATGGCGAAGCGGTTGCGACTGCTGAGGCTTGCGTGTGTACCCCGGCAATACGAGCATGCCCATCACCAACACCCTGAACTTGTGGTCTGTACAGGCGAGCGAAGCACGGCATACCATAGATTGCATTGCAAACAGCAGCTGAGTAGGCCTGGAGCAGTGCGACCTGGCCGGAAGGTATATTCTCCTGGAGACCACAATCTCACAGTGGTGAACTTCAGCGTGACGTCCTCACACACTGTCTACTCTCCAGATATTACATGCTGGGCATGCGTGTGACCGAGGCCACATTTTATCGCACAGGCCTAGGAGGAGTGCCAGTGCTGGGACGACTCGAGAATGTTTGAGCCCAAGCTCGCCCGGAAACAGATCCCGAAGGTGTGACCGTGTGACATCTTTCCTCTGCCTTTCTGCTGTGCAGGCCTTGATCCAGCCACTGGTCCCCATGGTTTCCCCCAGTGCAAGCGCGCCGACCGTTCAGTCGCACTGCCAGCCTGCTTTATTCTCACGAGTCATATGGCCTGTTGCTTGAAGCATGAACCCTGCCACTTCGCTCTAGACTCTGGAGCGCACTAAGCACATGTCAGGCTCAGCGTCTTCTTTAGAGCCGTGGAGGACGTCAATGCAGGTGGGTCTATCGACGTGGAGGCACGCCTGGTTCTGAAAGTGTAGTTGGGCTTTGTGTCAACGCAATCGTTCGGTTGCACGTGCGAAGTGATGGATGACTTCTGATGAACTTTGGTGTCTGCAGCCCATTTGAAGGCTGCACGCCCTCCTAGGAGGATGAGACTGGAAGAGCTCGTTCAGGATGTTTTCCGGTCACCGTGGCTCTTTCCAAAAAAGAGCGGATTGAAGCTCCAAGAAGCCAAGCGCCAAGTCGATCGAGTCTACGGTAGGCCTCCTGGCACCTGGCAGATTCTGCACGTGACTTTCCATCCGATTCAGAAGCCGACCCAGCGGCTCTTCGTGGGCTTGCTGTTTTTGTTATGGATCGCATACCCCGCAGCTACGAAGCTGCGATGCAGCCTTCTGGCCCTGTCGTACAGCTTCATGGAGTCCTGCTTCACATACTTCGAGCGTGGTCGGTCATACACCAGTGCCGCACAGTTCGGAGCTAATCTGATCTACATGCCTGTCTTGGTGGACGCATATGGCTACTTTCTCAAAGACTTGACCTACTGTTATGTTCTGCTCTTTCCCCTAAATATCTGGCTGCTAGAGATCGTGCAAGGAATTTTGATCTGCTTTATTTTCGGCCACAATGTCGCATGGTGCTATGCAGATTATGCGGACGAGTTTTGCTGGGGCTTCGCGCGTGTTGGCCATGCCATTTGGTGGTGGGGCCTGGGATTCCTTCTGTGCATGTTTTACCCCAGTCTCTACGTCGTGACCAACCAGATCGCAGGAGCGTAATGCGCGGATGCTCAGCCTACATCGGCAATGCCTGCAGCGCCTGCGAGCTTATGCGAGCTCGTGCTCCCCTTGCCTGTACGACCCGATGCGCTGAAGAAGGCACCCCCGAGGGGACCCGAAACATCTCGAATCTCGCCGAGCTTGGCCTCGGAGTCAGCGGGCAATCAAAAGAGCTTCGCCGAAAAAAAGTCTTTATCACAGCCTTGCCCTTTTCCCGTGCTGCACTCTTGCTGCGGTGGACAGGCACCTCGTGTCTTTGATTTCGGTGCAGCCTGCCAAGCCACTGATCTATCCGACGGGCCAAGCCCTTGGGTTTTGTTGCTCTCGCAAACACTCGATTTGCAGGCCGGCTGCTCTTTCAGGTACTATGTGACTGGTCCAGTTCCTTCAGTCCATCGTCTTCCCGAGATCTTTCGCCCGAAGCTTGGCGTTGGTTCCCAAAAGCCTAGTTGTTTGGAAGTGTGAAGTGAGGGAAGTCCTTGGTCACATGCGCAATGCTCAGCGTCAGCCTGGCAGCTCCGGAGGCTGTGAAAGTCACCGGAGCAGCGATGTTCAAACAGGCCAGAGCTTTGCAACGGCGCCGAGCCACTTCGCCCGCCGCTGCCCTGTAGGTCCATACAATGTGGCTCGCATTTTCATAGAGGGACCGCCTGGGCCTTGACGTGGATTATGAAATTTGCATCTGTACGCTGGCTCTGTGGACATCGTCGCGTGCATGTTGTGAGGTTGAAGGGAGTAAACATCTACGGCTTCTCGATCATTGCGAGAAATCCAACGCTTGATGAAGTTTCGCAGGCCCAGCTGCTGTCTGCTGGCCCCAAGGTGGTGCAGCAAGTTTGGTGATGTCGCAGCATTGCCTGTCAGATTCTCTCCTTGACCGATCCGTGGTCCGATGTGGCCGGAATCTCGGAGCACCGTGTGCACACCCAGATGCATGCAGACATCAATGTGTGAACAAACTGAAGCACCCCTCGAGTGTATGTGACTGTACACATGCCCATCTCACACTCTGGAATGAAAGTTACACTCTCTGTGTGACACTGACATTCGCGACAGCGTGTACGGCTCTGCAGTTGCTTGACTCGTCGCTTGTGCTAGAATCAACTGTTCGTCTGACTGTCACCAGCTTGACTTCCAGAAAATATCTCGTGCGGCATCTCGCCTTTTTGAAGCCGGTTTGTGGCACAAAATCAGCTTGGAAGGTGCTACCGCGCGAACATGCACCTAAGCTTGCTCGCTGCATGCTCTCGTACTGAGCGGGACGCACCAAGCCTTGTGTCCTTGCTCGCCGTGGCCTGTTCAAGAGGGTCTCAGCATGCCGCATCATGCCGTGCTTTGACTCAGGACTGGAACATCACAACACGTGGGCCTGTGCGCTCCGCAGATGACGCGCTATGAGTCTTCAGACAGTTCTTGCTTTGCTGCATGGGGCCTGGGCCGAGGAAGGTTCTCCTGTCTGTGCCACTTACGGCGGCGCCCCGGGGGCCGCGGACGGCAGTGGCTCCTGGTCCGAGCCCGAGCTGAGAAGCGAAGCGGCGAAGCGAAGCTTCGGTGCAGCTGCTGCAGCTGCCAGCCGAGGCGACTGGTGAACAAGTCGATTCCCCCGAAGGCCTCCGTCAGCCAGTGGCCAAGTCACCAGCCTGTGGTTGCGACGTCACCGCAGGGGACTTTTGCTTTCCAGTGACTGTCAACATGCCAAGGTGAAGCGTTGGCAACGCCAGGCCCTGCCATTGCAGCCAGCCGTCTCAGAATGATGCATTCTGCTCGTCTGTCTGGAGATGTGAGCCAAGTTGAAGTGAAGTGCATGAACACAGCTTCAAGTTCAAACTCGGATCGGGGTGATTCCTCGGATGATCGTGGCTCTTGGAGGGCATCATGTATGTGTCTGGTCCAGCTTGATCGTATGGCTCAAGTCTGGAGCGCAACGACGGCTGCGCATGCTGCCAGCTCTACCCAACCGTAGTGACAGCAGGCAGAGCCGAACCCTTCCCATCACTAACATACCTTTGAGTTTGGATCGCTGCATCATGAAGTCCAAGCGGTCAATCCTTCAGTCCTTCAGCGCAGTAACGCAACTGCTCGATGACACGATGTAAGTCATCACGGCCCTCTCCCAGCAGCAAGAAGCTTCAGTAATGCTTCTCGATGCACAGACAAAATGGAGCGAGGCAAGACCGAGCGCAGAGACTTGCAGTCAGCCAGACATCCCTGCTATCCCAGTGCTGCCAGGCCAAGTCTGCTTATCCGGTGCGGCGCTCGATCCAGAAGGCCTATCGGCCTATCGCACGCCAAGGGGATGACCTTCGTTTTGCAGCGAGACCAAACTCCAACGTAGAGTTCTAAAGACGATGGACAAGAGTATCCTCTTTCAATCCGGTGCCTCACGGTGTTTCCCCGAATCTGCCGCAGATACGCGTGTGCACTCCAGAGAACCGCGCCACTTGGCCAAGAGCAGTCGCAGATTGCTCTCTTGAATCGGCTTTACGAGAAAACATATCCACATGCTCATGCGCGTTTTGCAAATTCCTTGGCGGGCGTGTGACAAAAACTCTCTCTTTTCCTGCTCTTCTCTCTCTCTCTCTCGCTCTCGCTCGCTCGCTCTCTCTCTCTCTCTCTCTCGCTCGCTCGCTCGCTCTCTCTCTCTCTCTCTCTCCCTCCCTCCCTCCCTCCCTCTCCATCCACATGTCAACGAATCTACCGAGGATGTACTGGAGACTGAGATGTTCGAGATCCTGACCTCGCGAGAGGTTCAGCTGGGAGGCTTGCTTGACCAGGCAAGCAATGCATACAGAGTCGAAGATTCGATGTGTAATCCAGACGAAGTGATGTGTGTACTTCTTGCCGGAGGTTCGGATGGAATGTAACCGGGCTTTGGAGATCGCAGACAAGCGGGTCGCGCAAGTCCTGAAGCAGCGTGAGGAGGAGGTGGCCTGCCGGCAGGATAAACATCCCGAACCCGTCGACATGCAATTTGCATCCCGCCAGGAAGAGAGAATGCGCAAGCCAAGAGAAACTTTGCAGGAGACTGCAAGACTGCCTCGCGCAGCGCGCGTGGCTCTCGCTCGGTGACCTCCTGCTAGGAGATGGAAGAGATGCTGGCAAGCTTTCGCCAGAGCTGCCTGGAGTTCGAGGTGAGCAATGCTTGCATTATTTGCAGTACGCGAGTTGGAGTTTGTTATCGCAGGAGCTCGGCGCAGAAGGCACGGTGTCTCCCGACCAGGCAAGATGCGGTGCTGCCGGCGATTTGGCGCAACTTGCCTCGTGTGTCCAGGTCAGCACTGCAGAAAGCAACTTCGAGGAATTCAATTCGAAGGCCAAAAAGTTCCGCGACGATCTCAAGGCTTCCGTACTCGCATCGCACATGTTCAGATGCCAGCCATCATCCTTTGCTTGAAGGAGTTCGTGCAGGAGCACTCGAAGGATTTCCAGAATCAGACGCTGCCGCTTCAAGTACGACAGGGCGCGAAGCCGACTGTTCACATGTCGAGTGTCAGCTCCGAATGCAGATCAGCAGTGTTGTCCGAAGCCGAGTGCTCAGGCTGGCTCGAAAAGGTCCGCGCGTGTGCCACGGCCAGTAAGGAGGTGCGTGCTGTAGATCTCCGGTTTGTTGCTGTGGGTCCTGTTTCCGTTGAAGGCCGATGAGCTTCTCGAGAAGAGCCGCACTGCTCTGACGGAGGCAAAGAACCTCGCCAAGAAGGAGTGCTCACCGCCGCGTGTTTGACATGGCGCCGGATCCTGATAGACATGCCCTGTCTGTTGGGTTTTCCGGGTTCATGCCTGCAACGGACATCGACATCGTTAACTGATTAAGGACCGGCAGGCAGGTAAGCACGGAGTGCTCAGGAGTGCTTTGCGAGCCGCACGCTTGTCGAAATCACAGAGTGTCGCAACGCCGGACTTACTTGTGCACCTAGCTGCCATTCTGCTTTCCGGTGCGAAAGAGCCGAACATCGCCAGCTCTTGTATCATCCCTAGTAAGTTTCCCAAGATCTTTTGGTTTCAAGCCTCAGTCTCGTCCATCGAAGAACGAGGCATCAGCACTTACAAACAGAATCTCCAAGGTCCAGCAGTTGGAGATCCAAGAAGAGACCTCTTATGTGGACTCTGTCGGCTGTAGTCATTATGCTAACCATCGTCTTGCCTCTTCGCTGTTGAGGTATTTTTACAGAGCGGGCATGCTGCAATGAGTGCAGGAACTCCTCAATGCGGCCAAGATACGCTTGGATGAGAAGCTTCAGGAGGTGCCCAAGGCTTTTGCCCAGGCCATGATGGCTTAAATCCGACGGAAGGGCAACAACAAATGATTTCGACTTACAACACCTTTGCAACTGTTTCGGGATGCGGTGTGCAGTTGGCAGTGTTTGGTTGTTTGATGACGCAGCTCAGGCCCAGCAGCTTGTAGCCGTGTGCGAGCAGAAGGTGCCTGCCGGGAGAAGGAAAAGGAGACCATGGCTGCACCCGATGCCTTTTGTGCTCGCTATGTTCCCTGGACAGGCAGAGCCCTTCGTTGGCATACCTAAGCACAAGGGTAAGGAGGAGCACGAAATGCAGTCGATTGCCAAGGACGGTTGCAGATCTGGAAAGTTCTTCGGCCCAGAGACGTGTACAGCTTCGGCAGGTATACGTCATACGCCATATTTCTATTCCAAATTGAAGATGTCTGCAGAGGAGCTCGATGAGATGGTCGGCTCGGCCAGCAATGGCGTGAGCTCTGCAAGGTCCACGCTCAGTTCGCAGTCGACGGACGTAGAAGTGGAGGACGAGATCAAGGAGGCCTACCTCATACCGTCTCCGCATGGGATGGTTGCTGTGAGTGTTAGAGTTTGCCTCCTACCCCGTGTCGTAGTGACGTCGAGTACCGCAATCGTACGAGGGAGTACCCTGAACGCACTTCATGGCTGGCAATTTGATGGTTTGTTCTTCCTCTTGATCAACGTTCGCCTGTGGTTCCTACAACCACCTGACGTCAGAGGATATCGTGCAGTACATCCAGGATCAGACCAAGCGGCTTCAGAGCCTTGTTTCAAACATAACAGTTGCATCTTTATACATAGAGTCATATAGAGTCTGTAGATCCCAACAATCGGCACAAAGGTGGCGTACTTGCCGTTGCTTCTTTGGTTGAGAGACGGTGACAGACTCAGGATTCGCTTGGGCCAGCTGGACAAGAGGATCTCTCGGGTCCGAAACCTCGTGTCCAACTACCAGCGGCTTGGCTTCCAGGTTCCGGTGTATGAGTGTATGGTATTCAGACAAGATTCGTTCTGCATTTTTTGTCGCTGCGCTGCGAGGAGGGATGTCCAAAATGAGAAGAACAGCCAGATCATCCGCGAGTTGAAAGCCAAAGCCTTCGACTTGATCGAGGTACGTTGAAGACAGCAGAGTCCGGGCCAAAGCACCGCATGTCCTCATGGACACACGAGGATTCTGCACTGAATGAGAAAGCAGAGGAGGCTGGATGCACGGACGTTCCAGCTGTGACGAAAGCTTTCTAGCGCTTGCCATCATAGGTGGCCTTCTTCTCCTTGTGTTTGTTGTTGGAGGTGGTGGTGGTGGTGGTGGTGGTGGTGGTGGTGGGGCTGGCGGGGGTGGCGGTGGCCGTGGCGGCGGCCGTGGAGGTGGCGGCGGCGGCGGTGGGGTGGTTGGTGTTGCTGGTGTCATCCTGGTGTTTTTTTTGTTCTTGTTGTTTTAGGTGGTAGTTGTGGTGGTGGGCTTGTTTGTTTCTTGGTTGCTGAGCTGTTTGTTGTTCGGTGCATGCTTATTCTCATGCCGTATTTGCACTCTGCTCGAACCTTCATAATGCACCTGACTGCTGCTACGGATCGCGCGCCACTTCTCAGCTAGCAACACTGCGAGGCCAGTGCTGCGGTCAAAGATGCCGAAAGCCAGTCAGAAAAACTCACCAAGATGGAGACAATGGCAGTGTCCGAGCTGCAGGTGTGGCAAGACTAACGCCATGGCATGAAAGTTTGCTTTGGCGGTTGCTGCCGTGGGCCAGGAAGAGCTGCAAAGCTTGGAGGTCGGCAAAATGTTTCGGAAACGTTTCCACGAACAGCGACCGTGACACTTTTAGCCAGGGCAAGACTCGGGCGGCTCGGGAGAGCTTGGATGTCGTGACCCAGATGCTCTGCCCTGTTAAGGACATCACCGCGACAGCCCTCTGCACGTTTCTGAGCCCCTGCCATCACTGTGCAGGACGTGGACGAAGAAGTGAGGATGACCCTCTGCAAGCATGTCCTGTCCAAGAAGAGTAGCATCTGGCCTCCATTTTGCAACCAACGCCGAGTTTGATGGGTTCTTCCGAGCTCTCGAGGCCTCAAGACGAAGTTGCTCTTTCTTGAGCAGCGCCTGAAGAGGATCATGACCCTTCTCGAGAAGGGCCGTCTCGTGCGCCTCGGCGCGGAACAGGAACTAGAACTATGACAGTGCTGCGCCAGGCAATCGCATAGATTCGTTCCCGAAAATGTGCGTACCATTGCCAGTAGTGGTGGTGGTGGTGGTGGTGGTGGTGGTGGTGGTGGTGGTGGTAGGAGTAGTGTTGGGACCGCAGAACGTAAGTGCGGCTACATGCCTCACAGGCGCGAGCCTCCCTTTGCAAAATTCCAGGCTCTCAGCATCTCAGAATCTCAGATCAGGCACCTCTCTGAATGGCAACTGCATAATTAGTGTATCTCAGGCGATTTTTCTTGTTTCTTTTGCAAGCAAGTGCAGGGTGCAGGTTTTGATGCTCTTTCACTTGAGGGGCCAGCCCGCCTGGTTGCACTGCAAGAAGTGCTTCCTAGAGTTGTCGCCAACTCACAGCGGCTTCCACTGCTGGGGGTTCGTGCAGGCTCTCCTGTGGTTTCTAAGCGGAGTTCAAGCACCGAGGATCAAGCAGAAAGAGGTCAGTCGCAGCAACGAAATCCACCTCAAAGCTCTGAAGGTGATGGATTTATTCCGCGAGGCTCCTGACAGCAGCTCGAGTCCACCTGCCGAGCCCCGTGTTCGCGTGGGCTCCGCACCTCTCAGGACCAGAGCGGCAAAGGCTTGGAAGGGCTCCCATCGCAGGCCGGTCAAATTCTGAGTTCGTGCGCCACTCCTGAAATTTACTGCAGCTGTTGATTTCGAGAGGATATTTTCGCCATCATGGATGCTGATAAGGAGACGAGAAGAAGGGATGTATTTCCAGACTGCCAGACTTGGCCTGCGATGTGTAGTCGGTGCAGGCGAGAATCAGGTGTGGCTATCTAATGCAGGAAGATGTCCCGCAGATCCATGTAGCATGCGCGCCAGGACGGGGTCATTGGCAAAGATGACTTCCACAATTTTTTCACCGAAGTCATGGAGCTTGCCGACGAATCTTGCCAAGCAAGCCCTGCTAAGAAATGTCGGAAAACGCAGAGTGATGTTTCGACTGCAAAGGAGACGAAGAGGAAAGAGTTTCCCTCTCTGGAGGAGTGCCGGGGGCGGGCCGAGAGAGTGCGAACTTCGTGGCCCCTGGCTGCAGGATCTTTCGGAGCTCTTCAAGAGGAGTCTCCTCGAAGGCGAGTCCGGCCTCTCCCTGAGCGTCTTCGAGCGGCTCCTGATCCGCTACGTGCAGGCACGGCTCTGCCGCTTTCGAAGCTGAAGCTCCGGGTCCGGGCAGTCCCCTTTCTTGCTTTAGGTGGTAAGGCCGACGACGATGACCCAGCACAATGAAATCATGCTGGGCGAGGCGCAGCGTAAAGGGCGCAGCGTGAGTGTCAGCCATGCGCATCGCCGCGTCGCTTTGTTCAGACGGTGAGGGAGGTGAAGATGGGCGAAATCCTGGAGGTTCTCCAAGGCCGGTTGCTTTCCGTGAGCTTTCAGAACGGCTATGGCTATGGGGCTTCTCTGAGAGGCCCCGTCCTGTGTGGCCCAATGAAGCTCCCCCGACTACTTGTTCGGGCAACTTCAGACAGTGCGCTCGGTTGGATCACGATGGCCGGCAATGTCGGAAGCCAAGAAAGCTCGTCAGATCGTCTGAGATTCAAAACTGAAGTGCATGTCGGTGGCCCACTGCACCAGCTAAGGCGGGCTCGGTGTTCTTGAAGGAGCTGATTCGTAGATAGGCAGTGTAAGCTCAACGCGCAAAAAGAAGATCACTGCCCTGCTCTTGATGCCGCCACGGTTGGCAGACTTCCAGATCATCTTACTTGCTTGGAGTTTTGGAAGTCTCTTTGGAGAGAGTTTGTGGAAAGCCCAGGTGACGCTCACGTCTTGGCTGCCCTTTGCCGTCAGGCAGGTAGCAACATCAGCTACTGTCCGAACCTCAGGAAGCGGGACAACTCTTCCGCCTGGGAGTTTGAACTGTCTTGCAGAGTTTGAACTGTCTTGCAGAGGTTGTATGGAACTCGCGATGCAGGCATGTAACTAAAATCAACTAGACCAGCTGATACATCCCAACCTCTCTGCTACAAATGGACATATTGCTGCTTTGTAATTGAATCTACAGCCTCAGCTGAGCTGCAGTCTCTGGTTAATAACAATCATCGAACTTGTTTTACAAGTTCGATGATTACTGCTGTGACGTGTTCCGAAGGAGCTGGCCCGTCAAGCCATGTTTGTGGGTTTCCTACTTTGCCCTCACTGGCACTCACCACGAACCTTCGTGCACACTGTAGCAGAATACCGCAGCCAGGCCGCTGCACTCACGGACCCAAGCACCTCTGCCTGAAGAATCACCCGAGATGGTCTTCCTCCTGGATGTCGACTTTCAGGGTTCTCTGGAAATTTCTGCACCAGTGGGCCAGAGGCTGAGATCGCCGAGCAGCAGACCCGAAGGATTTCAGTCATCCTGTCACGGCACATCAGGCTTCGAGTGGCTGTCTTCTTTGGTGCAGAAACAACCGGGAGCACCTTACAACGCGCCCGACTCGGTCTTCACCACGGCTGGGGGAACACAGCTGGCTGAATCCATGTCAGCTGGCCCTGTGCAAGGAGACGTACACTTTCCAGAACTTACCAGAGGCCCTTAAGACTTCTCAAGAAGACATAAGGAGATCACTGTGCGTGGCTCTCGCTTGGCAGGTCAGTTCCAGCTCGCAAGGTGCGAAGCTCAGGTTTTGACTTCTGAATCGTGAGAAATCTTGAGATCTGGTATCCGAGCTTGCCAGCGCCACATCCTCACACACGGTTCCTGTGACTGAGGAGCAATGCTGCGCTTTTTGGAAACGACGTTCCTCAAGAACCACCGCTACGGCTTCGAGGACGATGCTGGGGCACAATCTTTCACTTCATGTCTAACTGAGAGTGTCCCCTTGTTATATTAGAATGTTTTGTGAATGTAGGTCATGCTAAGCTGCTAGGCACCGCATTTTTGCTAAGCCCGCTGGTCGTGACAGCTGGTCCGGCTGTGAGCGGCTAGTAACAGCTCGATCCGCATCATCGCCACTTGACATTTTGAGCTGGTCGACACTGCGAGTCTGCGAGTGAGCCCGAATCTGGATGCACTCGATTTGCTGATGTGTCGTGAACAGCCAGGCTCCCATTTACGTGCCTGACGTTGGCCCCGTCACCAGCTTGTCGGCGCCGCTTGGGCTTCGAGTCGCAGCAGGGACACATGCAAGTCCTGTTTGGCGAGCCAGCATTTCAGAATTCCGCCCTGCCTCCCAGGTTTTACATCAGCCTTTTGGTCGCAGATCCTCTCGGCCAAGACCTCTTCTTTTAATGGATGTCTGGTTTGGAGCTGATGTTGGTGGCTCGCAGTCAGGTCCTGCGCTTCCAGAAGGCATCAGCTCGGTCGTCCCTGCCCTAGTTCCTAGGCGAATCGTAGACCACAAGTAAGTAGAGCTGCCGAAAGCAGCGAGTAGTGAGCGCCTCATCTGCTCCCTTAAGCCCGCGAGGTGTTCGCGGATCCCGTCCGGGCAATCGTAGACTCGATGGCAAGGGTCGGTGGCTTAATAGCGCCAGCAAAGCTTCTGCGCAAGTCTTTAGTTGGGACGCCGTGCGATCATGATTGCGTGGCGTTGCTCTGAGTCCTCCAATAAACTGCCGGGAACGACTGCTGAGCTGATGCTGAAGGCATTGCACTGCGAACTGTGTACTGATGTCCGGCAACTTCTGATGCTTCAGGCTGTTTCGAGTCTGGTTCTTAAGCAAACCAGCTTAAAGCCGACATAGTCGCCAGCCCTTATACCACATGGTCATATATCGCAGTTCCAGCACCAGCTGCGGGCTCTGACGGCTGAAACCTGTTGCGCCTTCCCTGCGCCAGCTTCGCATCGCCACGATGGTGGACATGCCTTCGGTGCTAGAGATCACGATGCCTCCGGGCTACTCTCCCCTCCCAGGCTTGGAGATTGCAAAGGGTCATTAGTTCCGCACGCAGGTTCAGGCACGAGTTTGTGGCGAGGGATCAGCGATGGCTGCAGGGTTACATGGCGACGTAGCTGCATGGTTTGTCACCTTTGCTCCAATCATTCACCACTCCGATTTGATGTGCAACAGCGGAATGGACTGCCGGAGAGGTAGCTTCGTCTTGCTTGGTACCTGTTGTGGATTGGTGCAGCATTGACGGGATGTGCTCAACAGGGACTCGAACGCACCCTGACCGGCAAGTGTAAGACCAGGTGGGCAGTGTGGCAAAAGGCTGGGACTGATTGGCTCTGCGACAGCGCCAGGCGAGAGCTGTTCTGATCTGCGTCCTAATGAGGCCATGGCCTGGCCAGCTGGAATTCAGGCCGAAGGGTACCCAAGGGCGGGGCTTTCGTTCGGATAGTTTCCATGATGCCCTTCAGCCAGTCAAGATTCCGTTGCCCCTGCCAGTGACACAAGCCCGATCGGCTTGTCAACATGCAGCTTCGAGCGCGATGTCGCAGCCATCACTTACGAGCAGAAGGAGGCCCAGCAACGCAACGCCCAGAGTCGCTGGCGACATAATCTGACATATGTGTCAACCGCTCAGTATGATGTGTTCCGCATCCGGATCACGCCGATGGATTCGTTTCCACTGATGCCTGGGCAAAGTCCTGAGATTGAATTACCAGCAGAGTGATAACCCACGCATTGACATACTTGCCATTTGGCTACAGTTGACCCTAATTTTGCTACAGTTGACCCCAGGCTCATTCAGTTTCGCATCGATGCTGCGACCCGAGCGGCAGCACCACTGTCACTACCGAAACAGCTTGACTGCTCTGAAAGCACGGGACCCTCATGAATCTGTGCCTGCACATAATATGCATCTGACACGACAGAATCGTGTTTGCTGAGATAATCAATCCTCCGGGAGACCTGTCATCCTTCTACATCGAGAACGAGCCTGCGCCCGGGCACGCGTCTGAGTGATTGGAGCTTGTCCTCAGTGCTTCGCATGGCCTTCACCCTCAGCACGGCATGGTGAAACTGAGTTACCGCTGTTTGTGCAATGGCTTGCTTGCATCTGTGCCAACTCGGCTGTCTGACAGCTGTGTTTCCGACTTATGTGACCCAGCATTGGTCAGGGCTCGAATCTGCGGCCCTGCCTGTTGGAGATTCCAGACTCAGATGCCGGGTTCTTGGTAGGGTAAGGAAGCGAAGTCCAGCTCTTTCCAGCTGATGTTTGTGTGTAGTCCAGTGTGAGGTTCTGCCACTATTTGTTGGGCCCTAGGTCGGCAGGGGAATTGATCGATGCCCCTCAGACAGTGGCCTCGGAACCACCACCCTTTGCCAGGGACCTAGGATCGTACAGACAGCTGAAAGCGGAGGGTCTGAGGGTTTGTGTGCTAGATCAGACATTGGTAGCACGTTTTCGACTGGTCCTTTAGAGAGTGAGCGCCGTGTGCATGCTCGGTCTCTCTCAGGAGATGGCCTTGGGCGGGCCGCATCCTCGGAGCCAGGGCCTGTGCTATGCTTGAAAGCTCCTTCTTTTCCTGGAGGATCATGCAGATATGGCCGCCAGGGCGCAATGATCGCCCGAACAAGAACAGCAGGCCACCCGCCATCAGCACCGCTTCTTTGTCGCTCTTGCCCTTCCCTTCCCGTATCCCGTATCATGGATGGCCAGCAGTGACCCGCTGATGCTACAAGGCTCATCTTCCACTTCAGCCTTGGCACTGCCGGCCCATACCGTGCAGGGGACGGTGTGCTGTTGCCGTTGTCGCACGCTTGCATTGCTTGGTACTGTAGGGTTAGGCACATGCCGGATTGAATCCAAAAGAGGACATGATGCCTGCCGGCGAGCTTGAGCTTGTCGGACCACCTGGTACGGCACAGACCTAAGAAGCATCGGTGAGGATCGGATTTGCAGCAGCTAATGGGAGACGGCTCGCACTGATTTCAATATTATCCTTGTGGCTCAGATAATTCCGACGCGTTGCTATCATCTGGTTGAGCCGCGGCCCTGGCAAGTTGATCTGCGGCCTGAGCTGGGTCGCATCGCAGATGGTGTCTACTTGAGTTCATAGACACAGCAGTGGCTCACAGCTACTGCATCTCAGGACTCGGGTCGTGAACCTTTTCGGGAGTGTCTTCAACGCGACACAGCTCGGAGACCTCCTGGCTTAATGTTGCCTTACCTGACAGGGGAACGGTGAGGACGTCAGGGTTGGCCGGTGTCTTCAAGAAGTGGGCCAAACGTGATCTTCCTACCTTGCGATGTGTTTTTGTTTGGGGGCTGTCAGAAAAAAGTGATACCCTTTTGTTTGCTTCGGCTGGTTTTGCATTCCTGGCCTTTCCGTACGATTGGTCTTTGGATGAAGGCGTTTGCGAGACCTGTTGTGAGCACTTCGATAGAGGCGGCTTTCCACACAGAGGCGGAGCTATTTGAGACTTTCTCGTGTGGACTCTACGGGTGATGTGATCTGAAACAAGTGGTTCACAAAGCCTCTGGCTCGGGACGGCCTGTTTCCGGGTGGAAAGCGTGAAGAGGTTGTTTCTCTTACGACCTCATGCTCCGCAAGGGAGTTATGCCAAAAATCTGTCTTGAGCCCGTCGGAAGGTTCCCGTGACAAGTTGCCATCAGATGCCCTAGTAGTCAGACTTGATCGGCTCGTCCTTTGTGCCGTGGGCCAGGTGAACGTCTGGGACCCCAACTCTCCAGAGCCTACGGCATGTTTGGAGACCCAGTGTCCTTGGGCTGCAGTGCAGCCTTTTGCAGCAGGTCACCGGCTGCGAGGGCAACGGCGAGACTGCCCTGATCTCCTTGGCCCGCAACCCGGAGACACTGAACGTGTCTGATGCCAGTCATTCATGCTGCATTGCAGTCCCCTGGTCTGGTCGCCTCCTATGTCTATGCGCGATCACCTGAGAGCTTTTCCTTTTGACCGAACACTCAGCCTCTGAACAGAGCCTCGCTGGCAGTCACCCAGCCCTGGAGGTTCCGCATCGACATCGTGAATCCTGGCATCCAGACGGCTTCCAACTTCTGGACCATGACACTCTTGGACCACTTTGCACAGCCAATACCTTCATTCAATCTCTGGGCCTTCCCTGAGATTTCGGTGTTGAGCCTGGCTCGAAACTCTCGTCCTAGCTGCTACCAGGGTGACTGCGTCGGGGCCGGGGCAGGAGTGGCCATCCCGGTTCAGCTAACCCTCCGGACGCAGAATGTGGTTTCGACAAGCGGGCAAATGATTATCAGTGCGCCCCTGGAATTTGGCTTCGACCCAATTGCGAATGCACCTCTCATCGAGGGAGACAAGCAGACTCCTTGCCTGATTCGTGAATACGAAAACCACAACATGTCGGCGCTCCCCTACACCTGGCGAATGGCAGAGACTGTGGCTGCAAGAGCATCTTCTAGTGTCTTTCGGACGGAAGTTAAAGCTGCGAACTGAGGAGCGGGACTGCGTGATCGTGGATCGAGGTAATCCGCTTGATGGGACGGGAACCGGTGATACTCGCACAGTGCCTTGTCTGCCTGCAGCTTCTTGCTGGCTGGGTCCTTACGGTGTGGCTTGCATACCGGGCTGGTGAAGGTCCGCATCATCGTTCGCTACCAATTCAACCCGGCTGATCTCAGACCGCCCAAGGCAGGCTGCAGACTGTAACGAATGAGCCCTGTGCGTGACAGTGAGTGTGTGGGATAAAGTGCATGAGTTGGCAAGACAGGGAGAGAGAGAGAGAGAGATAGCCATTTTGGCTCAAGGCCGTGAGTGGTTCAAGGCCCGAGCCCCAGCAGTGAGAGAGAGAGGGCCTCAACCAGGGGGACTCCAGTGGGAACGTGTAGAAAGGGAGCGATCGAGCACATTGTCAAGTTTGTTGCCCTTCGCGTCTTCATCTTGCGAGTTGCTAGCGGGGAACTCGTGAAGTTCAAAGCAAATCGCAATCCGTGCGCTGATCATTCGGGACTACTACAACAGCGCCTTGAAGGGGATCGGCGGCCCTACAGGACTTGAGCACCTACTAAGTGATTCGCCGCTCCGAGACCATGGCAGCATCTGGCAAAGGGGACGCCGGGGGAGCACCCTCCAAACGCAAAGCCGAAGAGAATCCCGTTGATGGGCAGCCGCAAGCCCTATCCTTGGACCTCATCCGGGAAGCCATACGTGGTGAGATCAAGGAAGCCGTGGGGGAATTCCGGCACGACATGCAAACGGTGACTCGACGTGTGGACTATGTGGAGTCACAGGTCACACAGAAGATGCAGCAGACCCTGAACATGCTTGACGAGATGCAAAACCGTGGCCAGAAACACGACGAGATTCTGGAGCAGCTGCAGGAAGCCAATCGCGAGTTCCACCACCGGATCTCAAACCTGGAAAAAGGTGGGGGAAGCGCCATTGGGTCCACTGACTCCACCTCTGCACCTACGTGGGGGGAAGCCAAGCCACCGGCTCTGGTGATCGGGGGATGGGACGCAGATCAAGACGCCGCGACCACCAAGGAGGAGGCCGAGAACATCCTTCGCAGTGTGGATGCACCCATCCCGGCACAAGGGCTTTTTGTCCCTGGAGTTCGTCGGGGATATGCAATCTTGCCTGTCGATGAACGTATCGGGGAGACCTGGGAGCGACGTAAGACGCGGATCCAGGACACCATCAACAAAGTGCGTGCGGCCAACGTGCAACTGGGACAACGACCGGACGGCACTTCCCGCAAAGTTTGGATTGCGCTATCCCAGCCGCCGGAGAAGAGGCGTCGTGCACGCCTGGCAGCAAAAGTGAAACGCTTATACTTGAGCCTCGGAGGGGAGAAGAGCATCCTTCAGATGGAGTATGGCAGTGGTAGCGCCTGGATCAACGCCCAGAAAGTATGCTCTGCTACGGCACCACAGCCGCCGAACACATTGGAAGCGGGACCAGGTTGGGTGGACCTGGACTGCATTGCCCGAGCAGTGGGGAGAAGCAAGACGGCGGTGGAGAAGGAATGGACTCCGCTGGCGGCGGAGATACACTGAGATGGCGAAGACCAGATGTTTCACCGACGGGGGAACGGGCAACTCGTTACCACCAAGCTGCTGACTGTTTTGGTCTGGAATGTTGGGGGAGTCACGGCAGAAAAATTGCTGGACGCCTCTGAGACCTTCCATGATGAGGTGCTTTTCCAAAAGGGGGAGGTCTTCATCCTGCAAGAGATCATCACTGTACCAGGGCTCTTCCATTTGGAAAATGAACACTGGCAACTGGTCTACGGCAAGATTGAAGGAGAGTTTAGAGGGGAAGGGATCCTCCACACCAACCGCTTCCAACACAAGCAAAGCTGCGTCCTGGGGGGAGGGGTGGCAACAACACTCACGCCCACTGCGGGCGGACAACCTTTCCGTGTCCTTGCAGCCCACCTTCCACACCACGCTACCCTTCAACAGACAAGCATACTCCTGCAGGACTGGGAACGAAGCCTCCGCCATGATAAATTGCTGGTGGGGATGGATGCAAATGAGACCTTCGCCAAACCTCGGCCTGGAGCTACCGGTTGCACTGCCAATTCAGCCAGGGGGGAACTTGTCTTGCAATGGGCCCAGGACCTTCGACTGAAGTTGCCGCCACAGGAGCTTGAGACACCCACATACCACCCATACAACACCCAGCAGCAACCAAGGCGGCTCGATTATAGTCTCTGCCGGGGGATCATGACAGCATCTGGAAAAGTTTTACATTGCAGAGACAGGTTGGCGTCAGATCACGACGCGGTTCTACTGGAGATCTTCGAAAGCCGTCAACAAACGCCACAGAGAATCACTTGGGGGCCAAGGCGGCTCCGGCCGGATGACCAGATCCAACGGCTGCTCAGAGTGCCGCCACCAAGGGGCGAAGACCCACACCGCACCATCGCAGCCATCGCCAAGGCAATCACAGTACCCGGGGGGGACAAGCAACACTTTAAGGAAAGCAACCAGCTCAAACAACTGCGTCGGGCAGCCCAGGCCATACCGGCGGGCGCAGCGGCCAAGCAAGCATGGAGACAGATTCAAAGACAACGCAAACCAGAACAACGGGCATGGAAACAAGCACTGGCGACCAAAGCAGCAAATTTGGATTGGAACGCGCTTAAAGCGCTGCAGCAGAAGGAGGCGAGCAAGGGATGGCATTTACACCTTCAAGATGACCCAGACTGGCAAGAGAAGTTACGGCACCCCGTGGGGGGGATCTTCGCAAAACCGCAGGGAGACTTGAACAGCAACCACAGACTCAACCAACTAAGCCAAGCTCTACGGCGTCGGTGCAAGCGTACACCCTGGAATCCCTTCAGCCTGGGGGAACTCACCCTCACATCCAGCAAATGGGCCAACAACAAGAGCACAGGACCAGACGAAATCTCCCATGAGGCAGCCAAGGCCCTGCTACTGGACGAGGAGTGGGGGGACCGCGTGCTCTACCTCCTAAATGACATGTTCTACACGGCGAACATTCCTGGGGGGATCGAAGCCAGCATCACCGTGTTGCTCCCTAAGATCCCACGACCTCTGCAGTGGGGGGACACGCGACCTATTACGCTCAGCTCTACGCTGTTGAAATGGATTGCACAACTACTCCTTCACCGTGGGGGGGATGCGATTCGCGATGGAGGCGAAGGGGTACAATGGTCCCGGAGGGGGAGGCAAGGAGTGGAATTGGTGGCCATCCTGAGACGGGTGGTACAAATGGCGCGTGACTGGGGGATCGGCACCTGGATAGTCAAATTGGACATCCGCAAGGCATTCGATAGCATTTGGCAGCACAGTTTGGGGGAGATGGTTGCCGCTAGAGTTGGAGGAGTGGGCTCCCCTAGATGGCCGGTCTCGCAACATGTGGGGGACAAACCCTGGGAGGCGCTCCTTTGGCTCAGTTTACTGGAGACCCGAGCAATCAATGTCGCTTTGGCAAACACAGTCACACCCAGTTAGCCAATCGAGCGGTATACGACAGGGCTCCCCAGACTCACCTGACCTTTTTGGAGCAGTGGTTGCAAGAGACCTTGCAACAGCCGTTCGCAAAGCTCCCGCACAACCTCAGGACCCACAAGGAGGACCACCACCACCACAAAATGGGGGAAGCTTCCTGGATGATACCTACCTTTGGTCCCAAAACAAGTCACACCTACAAGCCCTGCTCACGAACCTCGAGAAGGAGCTCCTTGAGGACGGACTCCGCATTCATCCCACAACAACCGCCATTCTCCACAGCACACCTGATACCAACGACACCTTCACAATCGGGGGGGAGCAGGTGGAGGCACAGCCCTTTGGTAGCATCATTAGCGTCCTCGGAAGCCCCCTCACTTTTGAAGACCAAGTTGCAGCCATTGTGGGGGAAATGAACCGCAGGGCACGACAAGCCTTTGCAAAGCATCATGATGTGCTCGTAGCAAGAACGAGCTTCAAAGCTAGAGCTAAAGCACACCTCACGTTGGTCAGGGGGGCAGCCCTCTACGGTGCAGAGACCTGGCCAGTCAGCCAAAGCTTGCTCCGTGCCGTGAATGCAACTCAGGCCAAACACGTGCGCTCGATGCTTCACCTGCAAAGACGGCCAACCGAACCATGGGCGGAGTGGCACACACGCACCCTACGCCTTGCCCGAGTCTACATCCAGAGGGAGAATATACAACGCTGGTCCAGCTATGTTCTTGAAAGAATCTGGTGGCTCTGGGGGCATCTTTCAAGGGGGGGACCAGCAGTAAACAGTATGGTCACCTGGAAAGACCTGAAGTTCTGGCGAGGCGAACAACAAAAGCCTCGAAGCAAACGAGTCAACCACGCAGGACGATTCAATCCAGAAGGGGATGTGGAGCGTGCATTGGAGTGCGTTGCTGGAACTGACTGGGGGCGGGTGGCTGCAGATCGAGGGCGGTGGGGCAGCCTCACTTCCCTCTTCATAGCGTTTCGATGTACCTTGGGCGACCGGGAGACAACCAAGCATCCGAGACAACCTCAGCCCCCACACTCGACACACACAACAATCACAATCACAGCCCAGTCTTTCATCCAATGGGGAAGGCAACCGACACCAACAACACACCCAGGGGGGAGATGGTGGCGAATGAAGGCACCTCACCTGATTGCCACACCAACACAACCTTGGGGGGAACATGGTGGTTGCGTTGCCTGGAGCGAACAAAACAAGACAGCAAGAGCAGAGAGAGAACAATCGCGAAGATGGGTGCCGAGGTCTATTTGTCTCAATTGCAACAGTTTTCTCACCACAACAGCACAACACTGCTTCCACCACATTCCCTAACACCACAGCTCACTACCACGACGAAAACACAGTGCTTTTCTCACACTGATGGCCCCATGGACCCAATGCTGGGGGATGTTGGTTGCCCAACCTTGCCTTGTGAGGAGGGGGATCGTGACAAGACACCTCCGGGGGGGGCGGTGGTTGCGACAGGACTGGAAAACAACAAAGACAGCAAGAGAGAGAGAACTGTCAGTACCTTTGCTGTCTGCTGCATTCCACAAACCAGTGCATTTTAAGCTCTCCTCCACCACTACAAACAACGACTTCCACCACAAACACCAACACCACAGCCCACGACCATTACTACGAGCAAACTCCGAGGACATCAGTTTAACATAAAACGCCTTCACAACTCCTATTCCCATGTGCCGCAGCAACACAGAGTTGGACAGAAGCCAGTAGACCCGTGGGGGAACATGGCAGATGCACCGCGACTAATACCAGTGTGCAAGCTGTGCGCCAATGGCGGCCGCGGCAAACACTATCGCCATGAACGTGAAGACCCTCGGTGCAAGAACTACACTGGGCCGGGGACAGCTTCCAAAGGAAGCGCAGATACACAGACCACGGCTACCACGTCGCAGTCCTCGAAGTCCTCAAATGCTCCGTTGTCTTCCCAAGTGGGGGAAAACACTGCGATGGCCAGTCGACCTGACTTGCTGCCGAGCGAAGAAGGAGCTGCGGAAAACAGCAGCCAAGTGGGGGATCACCCAGCACAGGGTGAAGACTCCGGGGAGCAGTCGCCAGAGAGCAGTGAAAGTTCCACGCCGCCACCGGGGCACCCACTGGGGGAGAACCCTCTAGACAGACGCATGGTGAGACGGCTGGTGCGCCCGCTGTATGAGCGACCTTGGAGAGCGGGGGACATCATGTGGAATGTCACCCGCCAAGAGTTGTGCAGCCATGGCACAGCCCAGCCGGGGGACACCCTACGACAGCTGTCTGGGGAGAAAAGAGAAGAGATCGCAGATTCTCTTTTCGTGCAAGCATATAGCACATTGTTGTGCGTGCGAAAATTCGCGGGGGACCACAAAATGCGTGAGACCTACAGACAAATGGTCGACAACCCCTTGCAGTCAGCGGGGTTGTGGTGCGCATGCAAAATGCGTTGGCATGGTCCGTTGGGATAACGACTGCCGAGTTCCGCAAGATGCTCCTCTCCAAGGTGACGCCAGTACCCTTGGAAAAGCCGGCGGAGGAGGACCCCCCAACAGAAGTGGAGCCCGTCTATGGCGACCTACACGGGGGAACGCCGGGGGAGCAGACGCCTGACTGGACAGACCCAGCACATGACGTACCATGGCGTACACCTCCAGAACTGTTCGAAGACGACAAGGACGACAACGATACTGGGGGAGCTGCCATGAACATGGACCTCAACTACAACCCCAACGACGATGCCCTCGGCATGATATTCGGGGGAGTGGACCTTGATGAGTTGGAACGGGAATGGATACCCCGTCGCACCGCTCCTTCGGGGGACGCTCAGCCAAAGAATGCCGAAGACCTTGAGAAGGACGCCACGGTGACCAGAGTCTTGGCAGACCTACGTGAGGAGACGGAGGGGGTAGTGGTTCAAGTGGAGGACATGCGACCAACGACAGCATCTCCTGTCACAGACGCGGGGGAAAGGCTGGCAGCTGCCATCCGGGCCAAGAGAGAGAAGGAACGCTTAGCAAACCAGCGTGTGATAAAGGTGCGGGGGATGAACGTACGACTTCCTGCGGCAGCATCCTCCTCAACTACGAAAGTAGCGGAGCCACCTCGGGGGAGCCTTCTGGCAAAGGTTCTACGAATCGCGAGACAGAGTCAGGCAGCACCAGAGCCAACCAGAAGCCGAGTCGTGCCACCCACAACTGGCACGGGGGAGCATCGAGTGCGACTACATCCAGCTGGTGCCATGCCTGAACGGCCTCCTCTGAAGCGACGACGCAAATGACAGGAAGCCGGATGTACAGCGATTCCCTAGGGGAACCCAAGTAGTACAGCAGAGGAGTACTGAGCGGGACGCACCCTGTTTACTATGTTTGTTTGTTCATGGTGCTGTGTTTTTGCCTGTTCGGGGGATGCTAAACCGACCCAGTCTCCTTCACAAATGTGTTGCGCGGTCAAGTCACAAATGCTTCTGTGAATCTGTTGCTGACGGGGACTTTTCAATCCGTAGATCGAGCCACTCTTTTACAATAGGTCTGTTTGCACACCGCAGCTAAATCTGAGCAGTGGTCTTCATGCACATATGACAGAGGGGGACAGCCGCCATGACCATCTAGCGCTTTGTGAGTGCTTACATGTTTGCTGTGAGGCGTGTCATGGGGCAAACTCACTCTGAAATTAGTTTTGTGACTAGCCCTTGACCTGCAATCTAATATGGAAGCGGGGAACGAAGCGGGAGCCGAGTATTACCGTGTTGTTTGATTTGGTATGTCACTCTGCTTTGTGAGACACTGGTAATACTTGGGGGATTTTGGCTGAAAGTATAGCCGAGCCCCTGTTGACAAAGTCAATGGGGGAGAGACCAAATCCTGCGGAAGGCAGGTGCGCGTACGCGTGCGAGGAGGGTAGCGTCCGCTGCCTTCCTTTTACCTGGCAGAGAGAGAGAGAGAGAAGGTTTGTGCTCACTGCATGGTGCCATTTGTGGCAGGCATTTCGCCCGAACGCAACCTTCGTCATTTACTTCTGGATCCATCCTCCAATGACATTTCGTCCAGCAGAGGCACGTCGAAACATGCAGCCTCATGTGCATGGGGCGGCAGCAGCGCGGTACTATCCCTGCTATCCTACATCCAACGAGCCGCCTTGTCGATGGTGGATACCACTGCAACACAGAATGTATACGGAACATGTACAGCAACAGCTCCTTGCATTTGGATCCACGGCCAAGCCTGCAGTACGCATTCTAGCTAAACCAACACACCAGACTTGCTGCTAGCTCTTATGGTTCCTGATATCGTAGGTCCCAGCTGCCAGCTTTGCTTGCGACAACCTGCAACATGACGCCAGTTTCTGTCCTTGACTCCGGGAGCTGGGGGCAGCAATTCTGTGTTTGCTCCAGGCCTGGATGCTTGAAAGCTTCAGTCCGACTGGCGAAGAGCTGGACATTGGCAGCGCGATGGGCTGGGAGGCCTGGCACATAAGCCTGCGCCACAGCGACTGTTCTGCTGTGCCTGCAAGTTCTCGAAACATTGAATGGCCGTCCCTGACCTATCGATGTTTTAGTATCTCAGCAATATGGTCACCAACACCCAGAATAACGCAGGGCAGGCCAAGTCGCATCCTCTGCATGCAGGTAAGACGCGTGATGACCCTGTTCGAGCACAGCAACACTGGGGGTATCAACCAGTATCCTGGCCAAAGGATTTGATGCCTCGGTCGCTTTTCGAGGCATTCTGCTGACTTTCAGCTTCCGCATTTTTCCGGTCCATGTATGTGGCATCGAACACTGGGCGGCAACGCAAGGTTCACGCAGACCATCGCTCCTGCAGTGTCTGCGCTGCATGTTTAGACCCTCTCATGGGCAAAGCCTTCTCAACGAGTCTTTCCTGCCAAACTCGTTCTGCCCGAAAGCTGCACTTGGGGATAACGCTAGTATTTTCAAGTGATTTCAATGGCTGTGCTCGAACCCTGCTATTGGTGCAGCCGCTGGCCCGAGGTGACTGCTGGAAATGCTTTGGTTCCCAACTTTGCACGAATCCCAAAACTGCGTTGACCTTCTTACAATGCTAGCTCATGGCGGCTGCTGATCCGTCAGAGTTTGTACCGCTCGCTCAACCAAGGTCATTGACTTTGTCCTGCCGGCGAATGCATGGCTTCAGGACAGACTCGCCTAGAGCCTCAGGTACCGGGAAGCGTGTGCTGATGATATGCCTTCATGCGCGATCTCCGATGCTTAGCTGCATGCTGCCATCTGGCCAAGGTCTTGACGGCACCGAGGAACTTTCAGCTTCAGCTTGGATTCATGGATGCCAATTCGTGCGGTGCTTGAAGCTTTCTTGCATCCTCTAGTCTCCAGCCGCCATCAAACGAGTCATCCGGACTGGCTCAGGCCAACGTCGAGCGTAGGAGCAGTTGAAATGAAAACGATAAGGGCACTCCAACCGTCGTGCTCATGCCGAAGCAAGAGCCAGAGCTTTGCAAGTGACCAGCTGACTTAGAATGCCTATGTAGGCCAGCGAGCATGGCGTCCGCAAGCGATAGGAGTGGAGACGAAGAGCCTGGCCTCTGGAGTCTCCTGACGCTCTTTCCATTCTGCTACGTGCAGAGCAGTGCCTCTGTGGTCGGTGAGACGAAGGTTGTCCACCTTCGCAGTGATGTGCCGGATCATTTGCCAAAGCCATCGCACGACCTTGCAGAACATGACACCATCGACACTACGCTCGGGCCTAGCCGCAACAAGCCAAAGTCCCAGCCCAACCTAATGACTCCGCGGCAGCACTGCTTCAAAGAGGCCGTTCAACTACCGAAGCTTCTCAGATACCCATCTTTGCCCAAAGACTTCTTTATGGAGGATGGGAACGAGGAGCAACAAGAAAAGGAGCTTCTGCTGAAGATGTTCCAGGATTTCGCCTTGGACATGCACAGGGGCAGATATTTGACGCAACTGGGTTCGAACCAAGACTACTCCGTCATACACTGCATCCTGGCAGAATTGAACAGTTTTCAGCAGCGCACGGCGTAGGACCTTAACCCCCCTCTACTGGTAAAAGATGCTACGGCCAAGTTTCCATGTGTTCTTCGATGCTTTCTCAGGTCAGGTGATGGACGACCTTCAGACACTGAAAGTGGATCAAGGGATACCCAGCTTTGTTTCAGCAAGCAGGATCATCACAGTCTGCGCTGCAGTGCAGTCAGTGCCTGCCGTTCAGTCACTGGCTACCCGAGGAACGGATGCATTATCGAGTTCCCCTTGACCGGCGTCTCCAAGGTCTATCGCATTGTGACACTCTGCTTCATTGAGATTGCTAGATGCCAACGAGCACTTACATCGAAAGTACTGGGATACTTCAACATGCTCTGACTCGCTGTCGAGCCAGCCGGCTACCACTCTCTCTCTCTGTCTCTCTCCCTGGCTACGTTTATTTGTTCTTTTCACTTGGACTGCTTGCCTCGTCGACCGGGTCAAACCTGTGACTTGCAGAGCCGGCGGAAAGCATCCCGCTTGCTTTGAACCCCTCCGGCTGCTCCGGCTGTTCGTTCCGAAATCAAGCTTTCGCAGACAACTTGTCCTGTGCTTCTTCGCAGCATCACTTGTGCACAGAGTCGCGACTACAAGCAGAATGTCGAAGATCTAAGCACAGCGCACTCCCAGTGACAGAGAGTTTGCACCATTGGAAAGCCATGAGCCACGGCTGAAGGAAGACGGATGAGCGTTTGCTGAGCACCTCAACGACGACCACCTCGGTGAATGTTGTGCCCCGCTTGAGAGAGCAGTCGCAGTGTTGTGGGAAATGTCACTGCTCCTGTCTTCCTGGATGTGTCTGAGGAGCACATAGTGGTTGTGGAGTTTATGCGTCGGAAGTTTCTTGGCAGCTGAGCTCATGACCTGGGGGCGCGAGCCAGTTTGCCCTTGCTAGGCTGGCATTCGTCTTCGCGGAAGTGGCCGAAGCCCAGCGCTTCTTAATTTGCATCGAACTCCTTATCAGACGAGCTCAGGATCCATGCAATGCCTCGCTACACTCCCACTCCAATCCTCTTTACAGCTGCCTTGAGTCACAGCCAGATCCAGGGTTGTCAGTTTCGGAGTTCCTTTTGGTTTCCTTGATTTGGGCTTTCTGCCCTGAATCCGCCCCAGGTCTGGATTCGCTTGGGCGCTCTGTACTGTATAGTTGATTTAGACCATTCTCCGAGTTATACGTGCGCACAAGTATGGACTGCGTCTTCTCACTTGCCTGTCGCTTGTCGAGTTCTCGGCCACAGAGAAGGCCAAGGCAGTGTAAAGCAATCAGTGTGGGTTTAGGGTTTAGGGTTTCTTTGGTTTTGGAAATTTTGGATCCGCCGGCAGGAGACGCGCGAGGCGAATCCTTTGGATGGGCCTTTGCGTGTACAGGCCAGGTGAGCAAGCTGAAAGAGGTACTGTGGTACTGCTCCTAATGGCAGGCGTAGCAGTGGTGGTGGTAGTAGTAGGTTGTTATTCTTCTTGTTGTCGCTGTCGCTCCTGCTGCTGCGCTGCTGCTGTTGCAGTTGGTTGCTGTTGTTGTTGCTGTTGTTGTTGCTGTTGTTCTTGTCGTGGTGGTTGTGGCTATAGTTGTGGTTGTGGCTGTTGTGGCTGCTGTGCCGGCTGTGGTTGTGGTGGTTGTTGTTGTTGTTGCCGTCGTTGCTGCTGCTGCTGCTGCTGTTGTTGTTGTTGTCGTTGTACCGTCGTGGTTGTTAATGTCGTTCTCTGTTGTTATTGTTCTTATTGTTATTGTTACTTATTTTTCATATTCTCGTCGTTCTTGTTGTTTATGCTTTTGTTCTCCTTATCTGTCTTTTTTGCTGCTTCTTCTTGTTGTTGCTCCTGTCTCTGGTTAGTGTTATCGTTCCTGTTATTGCTATTGTTCCGATTCGTGCTCTGGTTCTTGTTGTTAGGCGTCTTGTTTTTGTTGGCATTGTTGTTCGTGTTCGTTCTTGCTCGTGCTTGTGCTCGTGCTATTCTTGCTGCTGTTGTCGTTGTCGCTGCTGCGGGTGTTGTTGTTGCCGTCGTCGTAGGAGTAATTATCGCTGGCGGCCGCTAGCACTTAGCAGGAGCAGTTTCAAGAGAGGTAGCAGCAGGAGCAGCAGCATCAGAGCAGCAGCAGGTAGTAAGGCCAGCCCATGGACCTTCAGCTCAAGCATCCACTCCCAATTAAGATCGATTTCACACACCAACGGCGAAGACGACATGATAACCGGCAACCAAAACAACACCGAAATGAGTGCCACAAGTTGGATTAGCCCGGGAAGCCTCAGCACCTTAAAGATAGTGTAACATTTGTGAAGGATTGAGAAAAGCAGGGGAATTCCAGATCAGGGTGGTTTGCTGGGCGGGCAGTCCTGGCATGTCCTTGTCGCTTGCAGGCAGCCGCTCCCCAATCGCGCTCATCACCAGGGCGTCTGGTGCGGCCCCTGCTGAGCTCCTCTCCAGAGGTTAAGCCCATCACAGGCACGCGTGTTTCGCAGCCTTCAAGTTCTGGAAGATGCTCCTGAAGACAGGTGTGGAGTGTGTCTGTAAACATCCGGACGAGTGAGCGGGTTATGCCTTGACACTGACATGCACTGACAGTCGTTGTATGTATGGCAGAAAAAAGGCTAGCAGTTTGTTCCAAACATTGATGAGAATAGCCTTAAGATGCACTTCAGAAGCCTGGCTTGCACCAGGCCATCTGCGCAAGCCCAAAAGTTGGCCACACTTGTGGTTTCTCTCTGTATCGACTAGGCCTATCATTGCGAGTCCAGCGTGCTGCAAATGGAGTAAACGACTTGAGCATTGCTTGTCACCCTGAAGAGATTGGTCTCGCAATGTCTCGCAGATGTCTCGCAGTCCGCCCATATGAAGCTATCAGCTCGTGTGGCTTGTGTCACCTGTAGGACGAGAAGGCGCCTGGTCGTGGTACGAGTTTTCCTGCAGCAAAAAACAGACCGCAGCAGGCCGTAGCGGCGATCACCTCCTTGCTCAAGAAACTTGGCGCCGGAACACAAACGTGTCACCCATTGCCGATGTCCCTCGGACGTTGCCAAAGTGTATGCAGACCCTTCGAGCCGCAGCGAAATAGAGGATCCAATCTGCTTCTGCTCGCACAGGCTGCACTGACGCGTGCGTTGAGCGGTTAGGAAGAAACTTACGGACTGAGTCATCGCCAAAGTCCGAGTCCACCGAGGCCAGGCTCCTGCATCGACAGGCGCATCTTGCTCCCTCTGGTGGCCTCGGCCCTAGGCCTCTTGGAAGGAAAGTCCACGCCTCTGCACCGAGCGCTGCATGGCCGAGGTCGCAGACTTGGAGCCTGAGGCGACGAGGCCAGCATACTGCGCTGCAGAGGCGGCGCCCCCACTTCTGTAGCTTGGAGGGCTGAGCGAAAGTCTTCTGCTCTCACATGTGCAGATTCCGCGGCGTCTGCATCATGCAGGTCATGACAATTCCGGCCGTCAACTTCGGCAGAGCCCTGCAGCCATGGCCTTCACGACAAGTCGAGCTGTAACCGAAACACCCAAATCTGTCAAGAAGCAGTCCACGGACCCGCATCTACACGGCGTCGTTACTATGATGCACAGACATGGTCAAGCGGATGGTCGCTGAGGTCTGGCGAACTGTGCCGCTTGCTGTGGAAGCCCCAGAGGATTCCAGAGGAAGCGCAAGTATGCTGCCGTTACCCACCAGCGACTCGCCTCAGTTCCACGCGTGCAAGGCTGGTGCATAAGACCAATTATGCAAGCAACAGCGTTAGTAAAGGCACTAGTAACATGCACCACCGTCGTATAGTGTCCGGAGACTAAGGCGGTAAGCTGTTCGACCTTTCCTAAAAGAAGGTTCGCAACTTCACAGACAGGAGTCGCCTACATGTGTGCCTTGGCCGGATTGCTGGTTGATGGCGATGGGCCCCGGCGGCGCTGCCGAAGGCCGGGTGGCGCGGCTCCGCCAGGCCAGCTTCTCGCTGAGCGTTGCTGAGAGTCGCGGCGAAGTGTCTTCGGCACAGGTGGCACTGCAGCAGGCAGCTGAGGCTCTGGAGGCGGCAGTTATGAGAAAGACAGAGAGAGCGAGAGAGAGAGAGAGAGAGAGAGAGAGAGGCAGTTGGAGACCCAACACGTGTAAAAGCGTTCCCCTTATCGGCTTCTAATACTTGCCTCTTGCTTCCCACCTTTGGGGACACTGCCAACACAGCAGACAACCGCCAAACCAACCAGGGTAGCAGAGAACAAGTAGCCGTATTGTGGACGTCGAGCAGGCGCCCAGTGTCATGTGGTACGGCGTTTTGGCATATGTGGTGATCTTGTGATGCACGTGCCCTGGCTCTGCACTGTTACCAGCAGGGCCCAAGCTCGACACAGGCCGGCAGAACCACCAAGCTCGGGGCACCAAACGGGGCAAACAAAAGGAGTGGAGAACGGAGCAAGCGAGCTGGACCAGGCGGGACTTGCTGCAGTTGTCACCTGAAATGCGGGACACGACAAGACTGATTACACCGGCTAGCCGGTCCAGCTCCATCGCCCCACCTCCAGGTTTCACAAACAGACCGGACAAGGACAAGCAGCGTAGCGACCCAAACGCTGTGCAAGTGCAAGCAAGAGAGAGAGAGAGAGAGAGAGAGAGAGAGAGAGAGAGAGAGAGAGAGAGAGAGAGAGAGAGAGAGAGAGAGAGAGAGAGAGAGAGAGAAAGAGAGAGAGAGAGAGATCGAGAGAGAGATCGAGAGAGAGAGAGAGAGAGACTCCGAGAACTACAAGCAGTGAGCGTGAAAGGGGAATTTTCCAACCGGGGGAAGGCATCTTGCCACCCTTCAATAGTAGCGTTTGCGTCACAGTTTTGCAAGGGAGCCGACTGCCTGTGAAGAGTCTACCTGTGTAGCGCGGGGTGTTGCTTTAGGGCTTTTCGTGCTTGCTGCTGGCCCCCTAGCCTGCATGACCTTGGGAAGCCAACTTGCTACCTAAGTAATAGGACGGGCCGCTGAGCCATAACCCACCGCAGTGCATGGGCCGAGTGCCCAAATTCAATAGGAACTTTGAGGGGACACACCCACAACAATTCGTGTTAGAGTACTGAGGGGCGACATATTGCGGGGGACCCCAACGAGGGGATTACCACTCCCTACTGTTGCCGGCTATTACATTACCTCTCGAAGGGGAACCCGCCGTTTTCGTTACCTGCACGGTTGCTTGTTTTCGCTGTTGCTTCCTACAAAACACGCGGGAGACCCGAAGTAGCTGACTAATGTGGCCGAAGGGGGAACGAACCTGTACTTGTGTTACGCTGTCTGCGCACTGATTACCCCACACTCCCTGAACGTCCTGTGCTTAGCCGTGTTGCTGTAGAGGGGGAGTGTCTACCGGCCGCGGTGGTTCTGCGTGGGGGGAGTACTTGGCTGGCGAGGGATTAAGGACTGAGCTTAAGAGAGCGCGGAGACGAGGCCGGGACGCGCGTTAAAGTAAAGGGAGGGATGGTTCCTCGCCAGCCGTACTTCACCGGTCGCACCTTCCACTTGGACAAAATCTCCCGACCACTGAAAACCCCAAAGCCTCTTCCACCGCCTAAACGGGGAAGGGGGGGCCTAGGCCCGGGTTCGCGTGCGAACCTAACCCCTGAGAAGCGAAGCGAAAAGCGAAGAGAGAGAGAGAGAGAGAGAGAGAGAGAGAAAGAGATTTTGGCTCAAGCCGTGAGCGGTTCAAGCCTGTGTGGCACCCTCTGTGAGCCCCGCTTCTTCTGTCTTCTTCTCAGTGCCACACAGGACAACCAACACACTTGCCTCTTCTCTCCTGCTCACTCCTCCCGCTCTTCCGACGCATTGCGGGAGTCCGCGAAGCAAATCCGTGCGCACTTCTCCTTCCATGTTCTCTTGCCCGAGTTCGGTGTCTACGGACCTGACGGGTGACCGCTGCCGCTACTGCCTGTCCCTTGCCCCGTTTGTGACTTGCTACCTGAAGGATATCGGCGAGCCTATTCGGGGGGTACCTCGTCGAGACGATCCGGCGCAAGAGCTTCCTCGAACGGGGATTACTCCAAGGTCACGATCGTGATATTGGCAGGGACGCTGTGAATAATACCTTTGCCTACGATGGAGGGCGGGGTAATCCCGCATGCAGAGCCGCGTGGCACTGACCCACCTGGAGAAGGCAGTGAGGCGGCGCCAGGGGATCAGGCCCCGGCAAAGGACATTATCTGCATCCGGTGCCGTGACGGCCCCTCCTATCATGGAGGCCACCGCCGTGAAGCGCCCAATTGCATTCTAGCCGGTTGCGATAGCTCAGAGCCAAAAACGGTGCAGGCTTTCCTCAGAGAACTAAAAATCGAGAAAGCAGTCCAAGAAGCCATCAAGGCCAAGGAGGCTTCCCCCGGCTCTACGACCGCTGCTATGCCCAAGAGCTCTCTACTGACGGGGTTGTCCACTATAGCACCGGGGGCTGCCCCTGAGACGGGCAAACCCTTCTGTCGACGCTGCCTGCTTGGCGAGAAGAGTCACACCAAGCATGTTCCGGAAGCGGTTAACTGCACAATGTTCGGCATGAAGTTCCAGAGTGCAGCTCAGGCTAAACAAGTACTACTTCAAAGAGACATCGAGCTAGCCTGTGATGAAGCATTGAGGTCTGTGGCTTCTAGCTCCTCAGTGACGCCGCCGCCCCCTCCACCGGAGCCACGCAGGGAGAACAGACGACGCAATGATCAGACGACCACTGTCAGACCAGCACAGGTGGATACGGAGCTTCCCGGCACAAATATTTGCAATGAGCTCGAGGAGGACGACCCTTTGATGGACTCCCTCCTGGACATCCTGGGCCCGGAGGCTAGAAACCCACGGGGGGGAGTCCCCCAGGAGATCCAGAAGGGTCGTGGTCAGGCTACCCGAAGCACACCAATACGAGCCGTTGCGAGCCCACCGGCAGATTTGGTGCCGCCTCCTTTCCCTGGCCATGGTACTACGACGACTCTTCCGTCAACCACCTGTACCTCCTCTACTACTTCCACTCCTTCCTCGCTCCTACGTGAACCGACCGTGCTCCGAGGACTTACACCGCAACAAGCAGGAGCTGCCCGCGCAGTTCCCCCGCCTGCAGCTTCGACGGTCTCAGCACACACACTTCCACCTGCGGTTGAACTACGAGAACAGGAACCTGAGCCGACGCCCGGAGCAGAGGTAAGTTCCCAGGCAACGTCGTTTCTTCGGGCTCCCCTTCGGGGTGAACCCCCGGCAGACTCCTACAATAATACTCTCGACATCTACCAGACCGTGGACGTCAGATATTCCGAGGCCCACGACCAGCCTGACTTGGAGGCCCCTCCACACGAGCCAAAAATGAATGATGGACAACACGCGGGTGCAACTGCGACAGCACCTATTGACATCTTCTTTGGAGTGCCTGCAGCTGTGCCCGAAGAGGCTGCCGATTACCTTCAGGTGAGTGGACTACATCCTTCGGTTGATATATTCGACGATGCGGAGGCAGTCAGGCTACAGGAACCAACTGGAGACGGACAACCTCCTCCACCGCCGCCGCCACCGCCTCCACCAACGCCGAGACTTGAGCACGAGGAGGCTAAAGCTGATGATGGTGTCACGACCACTGAAGGACCGATCCCAGGCGGTGCCGCTCCTCCTTCGCCGACGGGGGCTGCCCCGACACTTTCGGCACGACAGCGTCATCGTCTACACCAACTTTTGCAACAGCGTGATGCAGAAGGGAGGCCAGGCCCCCTTACAACCTGGACGCTTACCCCACTGACGCAGCCAAGTGGAACGCGTACAGGCAAGCTACCAAGGAGGAATATCGAGACTTACGACGTGAGCAAAGGAGGAAGCAAGAGTGGCAACCAGACGCGGAAAGAGCAAAGAGGCGAAAGCAGGCTACAAGAGAGGAGTGAAAGCGCTCGTGAGCTGCTTTTTGACGCGGGGACAAAGTCCCCTTCCACTTTCTCATGACGGGGACTTCCCCAGGCCCGATGCCGCTTAGTTCAGGAACTTCAAGGTGGTTTGTTGACTCGCTGGTTGCGGCCTTCGGGGTTTCCCCCATTTTCTTAGGGTACCGGCGTGCATTGACGCGTGCCAATCAGGCATGCTTTCCATCCGTCTTTGCTAGAGACGCACCGGGGGCAACCCCTTTCTATCCTGCCTGGTAAATGCATATGACGGGCCGCTGAGCCTCCAGTTTCCTCGAACCAAAGCCTCCGCTCTGAGGCATTGTAACATAGCCTTTTGACCCATAATTCAACAGCTGGTCACCCTCTTTCACATTTCTCCGCAAGGACAAACTGCCCGCCTGTTAGCGAAGCGACAGGTCGAAGCCTGCAAAGAGATTTGTCACATTGCACCCTGACAAGGGTGGGGAGACGTGCCCAGGGTCGAGTGTCCACTTTCCACCGTGGGTGAATAGGGTTAGTCCACTTGAGGCAGACCATCTTGTTACAGTCCTTTCATTTCCTATGTACTATGCTGAGTTGCGACCCGACCCCTCTTTCGCACCCGGCAACTTGAATGCGAACTCCTCTCACGGGGAACACCCCCGAATCAGCAACTCGAGTGTAGCTACTTTCATTGTTGCCCTAGGCCCTTTTCTGTTGTGGCTTCTTGGATTACAGTTGCTGAGCGGAGAGAGTTCCTTTTTCCACATGCAAGAGCCGGGGGTAGCAAACTGGCAATGCTCACCTCCGCAACAGTCGGGGGCGCACAAGCGCGCGGGCAAGGGGGTAAACCTCTTGCCCATAGCCCTGACGAAAGAAAGAGAGAGAGAGAGAGAGAGGGCGAGAGCGAGAGCGAGAGCGAGAGCGAGAGAGAGAGCGCCCACGTGGGGGCTTCGGCTTCGGCTTCACGCAGAGACTCGGAACCCCCCGCGAGGCTGAGCTGGCGATCGGCCTGGAGAGGATCGACCTTGTCAGTTGTTTGCTGCTCGGACGGGGAGCACGGCTCGAAGGTCCCGCTGAAGGGCAGTGGAAGGCCGCCCAATCACCGAGACACAGATTCAGACACACAGACTCACATGACGTAAACGGGCCCTTCGCTTGCAGGCGAAATGGTCAGACTGGTGGGGTCAACAGGTGCAAGATGCTGCTGCTCGCTTGAATATTAAGCTGTCCTAGCTTGATCGCTTTTGAAGTCGACAGCCGAGGTTTCAGAAACTGGCCCCGTTCCGCTTCCGCTCATGTTGTGCCATGATCCACTGCCCGTTCCCCGAGTGGTCGACGCTGGGACAGGGAAGCTAGTGCTGCTCGATGAATTTGTCCGCCTTGAGGGACATCACTGGGCTTCGTCATGGACGAAAGGGCGAGGGAGCATCTATCGCCTGGATCGCTACGGCCATCGTGGCGAATCCCTCCTCCTTCCAAGTTTCTGCCGGGTCGAAGAGCCAGATCTCGGTGTGCACCTGGAGACCGGACACGGACGTCAAGACACCTCGTGGCTTTGCCCTGGATTAGCCAAGCTTGCTGCGGATGTAGAGCCGCGGAGGCTCTCTTTGTCTGAACTTTTGCAGACTATACAATCTTCCAGCTCCATCGAGATTGTCCTTCCAGTGGCCAAGCTGGGCTTTGATTCTGCGATTGCTGTTGAAGGTTTTAGTCGAGGTGCCTCAAGGCGATGTCCATTTTACATCAAGGCCTTTGACATGGGAGCGAGATTGCAGCTCTCAATGGTGCCATCGTTGAAAACACGCACAGGAGACCCAGATTCCGTGGACGCAGAAATCTTGGCTGAGCGACTGAGTGCGCAGATCTTTCCTGTGCACGGGCAAAGGGCGCGACTGTGCATTCGCCGCCTGGGTGGCCCAGTACTGGACGCTCGACGTCTTCAAGCGGGAGTCTCCCTGCAAGACATCTGCCGTTACCTCACCAACGAATGGGTCAGAGACCTTGTTGCCGCACCCAGCAGCTGGGCACGCCTGGATGCATATGCTGAACGCAGCTGCTACTTGGAGGCGGCCCTAGGTCCCGTGCCAGGTTTGGGCAGTTTCGTACCGTGGAAATCGCAGGAGAATTGTGATGTCTGTGGTGCAGCAGCGGTGGGCTCGCAGGTGCCTGAGAAGGAAGGCACCGCACTAGCTGTCTGTCGAGACTGTGCAGCTTTCGTGCCCGGATCGCAAGCCTTTGCGGCAAAGCAAGCGCTTGCTCAGCACACATCTCGGCCAGAACACCAGCTGGTTGGCTCCTTTGATTCGGGCTTGGATGATGCACTTGGCTCTGGTGGAGATCAGACTGAAGATCCAGCTTTTTCGGGCAACTACATGTGGCCAGAGGGCACAGTAGGCAAGAAGGATGTCGTGCTGGTGGCAGGTGGCATGTTGTCATTAAGGCCACCAAAGAAGGGTTGGCCGGTGAATTTGGATGCCGAGCTTCACAAGCAGTTGCGGCTTGTGCTTGGCTGCGAAGCAAGATGCCTGAAAATTCTTGGCACAGCTGCTGAGGCTGAAAGCACGAACATTCTTGTCAACTTTGTCTTTCTGCATCCGGTGATGTTCTTCGCCGGCAAGGACCACGATGTCAACGAAGTCGAGGGGGCAGATAAGGATGTGGATCCCATCATGCCGTTGACATGGTATGAGAAGCTTCAGAAAGAGCTTCGAAATATGGCGGAAGCCCAGCACGAGCGGAAGACTTGGACAAAGGGCGAGCAGGATGTTGCAGCTCCACTGCTTCTGGTCAGTGACCTGAAGCGTGTCGTATTGCCGTGCAGCCTTCTGCTGTTGAGAAGTCATCAGGAATTCTGCATCCCTGCAGCGTTCGAGAGGTCTCCTAGCCAGGAAGTCCTGTTGATGCACGGTGACGTCAATGCCTTGCTCGACCAAGTTCGAGATCGTGAGCCGCAGGCTACGGCACATGCCACAGCCGCAGCAAGCGCTGCAAGGCGGCGACATTCTGAAAAGGAGCGCCGGTCCACGGTGGCGGAGCTTTCACAAGAAGATCTTTCCACGGCCCGTAGGCGCTTGACCGAAGTTTCGAGGCCCGGCGAAGAAGAGACGATTGGAAATCTGGAACTGCCGCAACGCTCCAAGGAGTCGCAGGATGCGCAGTCGGCTCCGAGGAATTCCACCTCAGAGAGCCTTCCAAAGCCAGCAGAGCCCGAGCTGTCCGCGGAGTCCGCAGAGTCCGCCGAGTCCAGAGGCGGAGGACTGGACGGGAAGGGAAGGGCTCTGAAGCAAAAGCTCAGACTCTGAAGACCCTAAACCCTAAACCCTTCCGAAAGATTCCGCAAGCAAGGTAGCATCGGCTTTGCAAGTGGCTTTTTCTAGGATCCTCAAGGCTACTGGTAGCTGCGCCAACTTGTTATTTCTAGTTTGCAAATTCTCGATTGGAGGGTAAATAAGGGAGGGGTGGAAGTTGGGGTGGAAGTTGAAGCTTTCCAGGAGTGGCAAGTTCGGAGCCGCCGGCGCTTGATGGCGATCCTGGTCAGCCTGACAGTTCTGAAACGGAGGCGCTTGAGCTTAGTAAGAAACTTGAAGAGGCAGAGGCGGCAGAGCCCCAGCAATTGCAAGAAGGCCAGCAGCTGGAAGAAGTGGCTCAACCTGCGGCAGATGGTGAGACAGTCATGGAGGGGACGCTGCGTGAGGAAGATCTTCTGGCCGCTCTGGAGCCTGAGGTGCCAGATGTGCAGGTGGAGCAACCGCCAGAAAGTGCAGCGCCCACCAGTGTGGAGCACGAGAATGGTAGCCCTCAGCAAGGGCACCTGGTGCCGCCGGTGCCACCTATGCCCGTGAATCGACTCCCGCCTTCAAGCTTCGCCGTCAGGGAGGCCGTCGTTTCAGCTGTTTTGGCATTCCGGCCGACTCTCGAGCAACTGGCGGTTCGTTTGCAGGGCCTCGTCGGCGAGAGGGAGGCATCTGACACTCAGGCCGAACGTGTGGAGTCCCTTCTGAACCGATGGGGCTTGGAGCTGTCGGAAGGCGCCGGCACGCCACCGCCAACCAGGGCTTGCCTTGCCATCCTAAGCCGGGATTTGCCAAAGAAGGACGGGTCCAGCCCGAGTGCCCTAGACGTGTCTGTCCAAAGTCGCAACTATCCTGTAACAAATGTGCTGCTTCGGTATGTGCCACAGCATCTGAGTGCACATCTCATTGAGATTCTGAATGGCCAAAACCCCTTCACCGGTCAGAGTCTGTTATATGCTGCCGTGCGATATTCCAATCGGTACACGCTCGCGGTCGTGGACGCACTCCTGCAGCGTCGTGCTGACATCAACGGACCCGGTGCCTGGGTTGAGGGAGCTGCAGGGATGGAACCGATGGTAGCTGCATGCATACGCCGTGCCGACTTGCCTCTCGTCGAGCGGGTGCTTTGGCACCAAGCGGATGTCAACGCGAAGTCAGATGGCAAGCCGATTTTGCAGATTGCTGTTGAGCGTGGAAGTGAAGAGATCCTCTCAACATTGCTCCGCAGCCGCTGTGACGTAAATGCAACAAATAGGATTGGCCGCACAGCTCTTGTCGCTGCTCTCAGAACAGGAAGGCCTCCTTTCCCGTTGGCCCAGCAGCTTTTGGCTGCGCGCTGTGATGCATCTCTCTCTGATTCGACTGGGGTGCAGCCATTGTTGCACACGGCAAGCATTCCAGAGCCTGGCATTCACACCCTGCTGCTTGCACACCGCGCCGATCCAAACGCAATTGCGAGCCCTGCCACTGATCGGCACGCCCGCCTGTTGCACGTCGCGGCACAGGCCAAAAATGAGACAATGCTGAAGAGCTTGCTGGAAGCTGCCGCTGAGGCAAATGCACCTGAAGGCCTTGGAAGGACAGTGTTGCACCTGGCAGTTTCCCAGAACCTTTCCAATGAAACGATGGCCGCCATATTGCATGCGCGGGGGGATCCGAACGTCATGACGGGCCAAGGTTCCGGTGGCGAGACCCCACTGCGTCTGGCTGTCTTGGCCCAATCACCTGCAAAAGTGGAGCTGTTGCTTGAGGCCAGAGCCAGTGCCAACGGCTGCAATTTCGCTGGCTGCACGGCTCTTCAGGCAGCTTTCTGCTCTGGCGACTCTGCGAGAATCTCTGACTTCTTGTTGGTTTCAGGCGCTGATCCTCAGTTTAAGCGCAGGACCCTCTTGACATCGCAGGAGTTTTCTCACATCAGCTCTCTAGATCTGAGTCACACCGTACCGACCGTTCCTCCCGTCACGATCCAGCCTTTCAGACCGGAGGTCACCATGGGTACACATCCCAAATACTTGGCCGAAACCTGGTCAAAGGCTAGGTTTCGTCGCCAGCGTGTAGTTCGGCCAGCCGAGCAGATCGAAGACTTCGATCCGCTTTGCCCTCTAACACTTCCACCGCTGGAGCGGAAGTTCAACCGCACCCTGGCTCCGCGGCAGGAAAAGCTGCCCTGGAGGACCGCTTGATCCCAAAGGGAACAATATCGCGGAGTTGCCAAAGCGAGTGCGAACAGGTTCCAATCTTCGGACAGGTTTGGGCTCCCACTGAGCTCTGGTCACTGGTCAGCTGCACTGAGGCTGAACGTGCGGAACCCGCAGTCGCCACCCCCGGTGGAGTACAACTATTGGAAGCCGGAGCCTCCAAATTCTTGTTTCTTGTGCTCGAGCTGTGTCAGGAGACATCGAGACCACTGCAAGCACGACGGCAAACATGTTATGTTTTAGTTCTGAGTTCAGCTACTGAAGACTCGATCAGGAGCGATGCTTAGGCCTAGACGTTTCCGATTCGTGTGTTGCTCAAGCTGCGCAGAGAGAGACTGCTTGGCAAAGAGAGAGAGGACACAGAGCAGAGTAGCAGAGCAAACCCAACACTGTCACTGTTCACAACACCCAGGCTGACCCACACTAGCAAGACCCACACCCTCATCATCGCTGAGATTCTGCATACGGCATCGTGCCGCGGAGCCTTCAACTCTGGCGATCCTCATGCCATGCCGAAGAACACAGCAAAGCTGCAAGGCGATGATGGACAGGTGGCAATCAAACGGGCATGAAAGAGTCCTAAGTTTTCTGTAGGGATGCATGGCCGGTGCTTGGCTCGGCCAAAGTCTTGCGGCGCATTTCCGGGCGCCAGGTCAAGGGAAAGAAGCGGCCGATCGAGGTCTTGCAGGACGGGCCAGCTGGCAGAGAGGTCAGCTTCGTGCCAAGCTGGCAACCTGAACACGCAACCGTGCCAATTGCTGCACGTATGAACCATATGACATGTTGCACATGGGTCTGTCGTGCGAGAGGAGACATCAGAAAAGCCGGAGACCAAGCCTGCCAAAGCAAGCAAGGTCAAGAAGAAGGCCGCCCTTGCTGCGCCATTTTGTCATCCTCCATTTCGTGTGAGGTTTGCAGCGGCACTGCCACCATCACTTTGAGTAAGCGAAACGCAAGCGTTTCCCCAGCCCGGCTGTGTCTTCACCTTTCTCCAGGTTCTGAAAGAAGATGCGCCCGAGGAGTCCGCAAGTAAGATCTACATCTCAGGCGACGTTGGCCGGCTTCTGTATTGCCACGATGCCTCACATGTCGAAGTGAATCATCTAGTCCCCTTCTCTGCGTGGGAGGTGTTCCTCGAGACTGCCCCGAAAGCAGCATACGAGAGAAGTTCGCCAAGTATGGCACGGTTGTGGACCGAGCACGTAGATGATGCTATGATCCGCCGTGAGCACAGACCTCATACATGAATCTACCGCAACAGTCCTTTGCATGCCACTCGCAGGAAGTTCAAATCCCTCCGGATCGGCGGAGGAACAAGAAGCGCATCGCTTTCGTCGGCTTCGCAGAGTCCAGTGCAGCAAAGGCCAGGCCCGCACTTGCAGAGCTCAGAGCTCACGGTCTTCTCGCTTGCCCTGCGTCTCCGTCCATGCTTTGATGTCGCCCTTTCAAGATGTTTCAGTAGATGGTTCAACCTCTAGGCCTCCAGGCAGTTTGGATGAGTAGGTTTGCACACTGTCATGTGTGGGAGGTTGGGAGACGACACTTTCAAAAGTCCCGAGGGTTGCTGATTCTGGGATGGACCTCGGCTGGGGAGCCACCTCGCGTAACACTTGTGGACGAGTGTGGCATATTTCGTTCAAGCTCACCAGACATAAAGGCGTGCTGGAGATCCGAGGCGTGTCGAGACGATGGATCCAGAAAATACACGGTCGAAAGCCTGTAGCAGGAGCAGAGCGCATGGCACCAAAGCAAAGCACTAGCAAAGTTTCGTGGTCTGATTCCAAATGTGATTTCTGGATGTCACGCCATTTTCATCTGTTTGCTGTCTTTGGTCTTTGCAGTACTCGAGGCGTAGTTGTTGCTCTTGTCTTGTCCCGACACCAATGAAGATAAAGAGGCATTCCCAGTTCTGATGCATCCTTGATCCTTGGCTTATCGACCCAAAAACCCTTGCTCTGGTCACTCAACTTTGACCGCAGGCAGCTCTGGCAGAGGACGGCGACTTACTGGACTCCAAGATTACGGTGACCCAGATGAAAGGTAAGTATTGAAGTCGATCTATTGGATGACATGAAGCTACATGAGCAAACAGCATCCTAGGTCCGGCTGGCAGGGGCGAAGCCGGACCCCTCCAATCCAAAGGACTCTGAGGCAAATCTGCCAGTGGTTCTCTCGTGCAACCTTGTCTCTCCCTGTCCCTATAGGTCCCTTCCAGCAAGGCGAAGGCAGCGAAGCTGTTCATTACAGGCCGGAATCACACACGGTCGCATTCGGTTACAGCTGTCGGCTGGACATGCACGGACTGCGCTGTTTCTGCAGTAGACTTCTTGTCTTGCCTGAAAGGTTTCGGCACAGATGCAGATGCTGCGGATGCGCTGAAGCAGCATCTTTCCAAGAAGCGCCTTGGCAACCTGCATCAGTTGCGGCGGAGCTGTCGTCTTCAATCGTTGCGACAGGTGTGGAGAAGTGGCCAGCTTTACTGTACCCAGCTCCAGGTCGGCGAAGTCAAAGGGCTCCTCGGGCCCCGGCATCGGTAAGTGCAATGCATATTCCAGGAATCTGGATGATACTGGAATCCGAGAGTCACCGCGACGTCCGGCTGTGTCTGCAAGTTTCTCTATCCCAGGCGCAGCACGCGGCTTTGCCATCGTCGAGTTCACAGAGATCAAAACTGCGAAAAGCGCTCTGAAGCTAAATGGCACCAGCCTGGGTGGAAACAAACTGGTAGCATCCTGATCGCAGCCTTTACTTGTGCCCGCAGTCTGCAGTGCAGATGTGCTGTCAATGATCCGGCAGGTTAAGAAATATGAGAAAAGCCGTGCAGATGAGAAGCAGATGCAAAAACAAGCTGCAACGAAGCAGCAGCAGCTGGAAAAGGAAAAGGCAAAGCGAGAGCACCTCAGACTTGTTTTTGTGAGGCTAGTGGGAGCCCGAGCTGCGAGAGCGGCGATTCGCTGCGATGTCAGGTTCCGTGTGGTTGTGAAGGGCTTCCCAAAGTCCACGACGAGAGCCGAACTCGAGGAGCACTTCGGATCCTGTGGCGAAATCCGGACCATTGCTCTCCCTCAGAAGGCCGCGGTTCTATAATCTGTGTGGATATGTTGCTACATGTTACTCTGAAGCTCTCGCCACTCTCGCCCCTGCAGAGGATGGCAACCCGAGAGGCATTGCTTTCGTTAGCTTCTCTTCGGAGGCGCCGTCTGGAGACAAACTTAAAACGGAGTGCTTGCTACGGCTATGGCATAGCTGGCACAGCTGCAAGAGGCCGCAGTCCAGGCAGCGCTGAAGCTGAATGCCAAGGACACGTCACTCCATTCGTTCGTTCTGTCTGGCGGTTGAAAGAAAGACAACGAGACGACGCCACGGAACGAAAGGAGTTCCAGGAGAAGCGGACCCTGGAGGTGTGGCGAGCGCTGGAGAAAGGCGAGAAAGAGAAGCAAGGCGCGCGGGAGGAAGGAAAGACTGAAGAGAAAGGTCTTCAAACGGAGACTCAAAAAGTCTTGCAGCGATCTTTGTGTGTCTTGAACTCGACTCCACCCATTTGTAGCAGGCTGCCAGATTCGAGGTCAGATCGGAGGCTCAACAAAAGCTACGGCAATCTCCCCACTCGCAGGTACCACGCCCAATGATGGCGAGTGAGCCTCGTGCAGCTTCGATTTTTCGGCACTAGCGTGTCAAAAGGTGCCGTCCATGCATCTTGCGGCGAGTCAGAGTCTCCATCTGAAAGCTTCTTGCTAGACCCAGCTATAGACTCGAGAAGTTGCAGCCAGCAATAGCGCACTCGTGCTGGTCATGGGGTGCTGCTCTCTGATGAGACCGGCCTGTCATACTCGGTCGCCCCAGGTTGGAGCACTATGCCGGAAGTGGGTCCAGGGAGATGCAGACATCCGCGATCGCTCGATCTTGGGATGTCCCTGGCTCCGATTTAGCGCTACAGCATCATGTCCTTGTTCCTCGATCGTGCTAATAGGGCTCGGCCATGAGGTCATTCCTGTGATCTTCGACACAGGTTCTGGTATCACAGGCAGCAGCCTCAATTGTGGAGACAACGACATTGCCTGAGCCATGTGATCTGTGTGATCTATGCAACTTCATGGAGTTCGGAGGCTCGAAGGATTGATGCAGATGTTCCATACCTCTTGTGCCGCACAGTTCCGCACGCCACCCCGAACCACAGGCGATGTCTTAACTTGACAGTCTTCCTGATGAGCACTGCGCTGCTTAGGCGAACTGAAAGGCCAAGGCACGACTACGACCATTCAGTTCAGAAGCCGCCTCAGACTCCACACGCAATGGTTCAGAGAAGCCACGTTTCCGAAGGGTTGAACTTGAAAGCGACGGCTGACCGAGACTTCACCGTGGTACAGAGCGCCTCGGAGCTCCAAATCGACGCGCTGGAGCGGCCGAACGCCGAACGCAACAGTCCTCCAACACACACTCTGCGACTCTGCTTGCTTTTATCCGACTGCAGGAGCCGTTGGGCTTCGAGTTTCAGGAGGCCTATGCTGTCGCGAACATCAGTGGCCGAAGAAGCATACCACAGGCCTCCCGAGTCCGAGTGCTACAGTTGGACCACAGAGAAACTCCAACTGTTTGTGAGATCCTCCTGTCCTCCTGGGATGAGATCCGCCTTGTGATCCTTGCAGACAGCCTGGGTCCGAGCTTGGCGTCACCTCTGCACTTCATTTCATGAGGTGGAGCCCTGCGCACTCTTCCGACACAGGGGAAACGTCAACAGTTGGAGTCTGTCAGCAGTCGTCTAGAGCCTAGAGGCCTAGAGTCTAGAGGGAGGGGAAGGGTCGCTGTTTATCGGCACTGCCGAGAGGTTTTGGCCACGAGTCCCAGGCGATCCTTGAACTCTACGTAGATCGTACATGTAATTTTGCTGAACGCCCCGCAAGACGGCTTGGAGTTGCAACAAGAGCTTCACTGAGAGGCTTCGATGTGGTCTCTCTGACCATCGCAGATGTCAAGATTTCCGAGGCTCGGAAGGTGTGCTGTCGGCAGTGGGTCGGTGAGCCGTGTCAGGTCCCTGGGCCCTCCCGTTGGATGCTATCGACTTGGGAGCTTCCGGAAGACGACCCGTACCTCTGCATGCACTTACTTTTCCTTGGGCTTGGGGATCAGATCAACATGTAGCAGAGTTTTTCATGCTCAAACAGTGCCACGAGCTGGAAGGCAAGACGGTATAAGCGCTTGGGCTACCTCCTGTCACCTGTCGAGTGTAGCAAGACTGCAGTGAGAGATGCTCAGGGAAGGCACTCCCTACAAGCGGGATGAGGTGCACCTGCAGGCCTTGTTTGCCGCTCAACTGTCGCTGCGGCCTAGTGCCTGCCTTTGCACGTGGATCCTGCAGATCATGGAACCTTGCAGCACAGGGCTATGGACTCGTCTTGTCTCCTGCAGGGCTTCTTGGTGCCAGGCAGAGTGGATGAACTGGCGCTCAGTGTGGCGATGTGATACGCATGTGCGGACTCCGAGACAAGCTCGGCCTGGTCAGGTCTACAATGCCTTCGGCCAAACTGGACGCGAGAATGCCGCCATTCTTGGGAGGAACTCCGTGGCTCGTCTGCAAGGCAGAAGGCAGGTGATCGTGAGAACCGTTAGAGATGACTACGACTCGACTTTGAACTCAATCTGCAACGGCCCATCCCTTTGCAACCAGGTTCAGGACCTCAGCAGCCGAGTGTGTCTTTTTGCTTTTACCACCTCGTGTGGCTTTGAGGATTTGTTTTTCGACATGACGACGACGGCTCCTGTCCAAGCTGGCTCCGACCTGGTTCTGCAAGCACGAGGACCGCACGATGTTGCCATTCTGCTTGAGATGTGTGGTCAGAGACTGCATAATTAGTTGACGAACCAACGCCCTTGCATCGTTTGCACGCTTCCTTCTGTACGCAGCAATCCAGGAAAGTCGACCAGCAATTGAGAAACATACGAGAAGCTTCCAGCAACGTGTTCATCATTTACAGAATCACTAGCTTCAACGTCAAAATCTTTCCACCGTGCTCCGGAGCGCATACTCTCTAAGCAGCATGCGGTTTTGAGAGCAGTCTCCGAGTAAAGATGAGGGGGTTAAATGGGATCCTCAGGTCCTCGAGGAGACTTGGAGAGACGAGAGCAGTGCGCTTACCCATGCGCTTGTTAGGAGCCAACAATCAGTAATCAACCAGTTTACTAGTCCAGACCAGGGCTGAGATGGGCAACTATAGCTACGAAAAGGTGTGTTGAATCATGTGCCTGGTTGTGCGTTTCGGTGCCAGCTTGAGGGAGGAGAGGCTGTTGCTGGACGAGAAGGGCTGTCGTGCAACACAATGCTACAAAGCCGCCCGGCCCCGACATTGCCGAGCTCTCGTTTTAGCCGTCTCCAGCAAGATTGCCTTGTGGCAGGTGCTGGGCCGGATGGATTCAAATTGCCTGAGACCCAAGCTGAGGAGCTGCTTCGTTGGCGTCATTGGGATAGCAACCTTGCAGTTAGGGCCCCATAGCCATCCCTCACCGCAGCCCAACTCGTAAGCCCAAATGCTCACCAGACTTGCAAGTCTAGCCCAAGCGCAGCAGCAAAATGGTTGTCAAGGTTCAGTGAAAGGGCAGAATTGTGGACGCTCGACAGTGAGGGGGCCAGAATCCCAATTGCAAGAGGCAGATCGACATGACGCGGCGGTGCAACTGTTCTGCGCTTGCCTTACAAGGTCAACGTGGACAGAAAACTGGGGCAGTGGTACTGCGAAGACATGCCATACGCTCAGCTGGTATTCACTTGTTGAGTGTCGAAGCTCTGCAAAAAAAGAATCCACTTGTGAGGAGGAGTCTCTTTGATCCGGACAACGAGACTGCCATGAATTTGACGAAGGCAAGCTCGTAGCTCATCGGCTTGCCCTTGTGTGGCCTACGAGCCTGACGCTTCTGTCGAGGACATGTATCTGCCGCATCGTTCAGCTTGCGAGTGGGACACTACACGTGAAGACCTGGTACGCAATTTTGATCGAAGCTCGCAGCTCAGATCCAGCGTGAACGAGTAGCTAGGCCGGGATAAGCCGGCTTTGACATCAAGGTGATCCAAATGCCACTCGGGTGGCAGACACGTTCTCTCCTGAGACATCAGTCAAGAACGTTCAGTCCGTCATCACCATCTCTGGTTGCTGATCGTCCGAGGTTGGTGCTTCGAATCAACGAGGCAGCTCCGATCGCCAGCAGTCTCCGGCTGCGGTTTCAGGCCGGGAAAGATTTGAGGCTTGCAGCCTCTGCGGCAGTTTCCTGACATCAGCTTTGGCAAAGGGTCAGTGCTGGAGGTGCAGACGCCGGAAGACAGGACAAACTTCCTCGAAGAACGTACGCTGCTCAGACGGTCTGCTAGGCTGTAAGGTGAAGCACCGCATGCATGTCAGAAACTGATTTGCACCCTGCTATGTCAAAGTCGGCGAGTGGCTCCCAGCACGGCTCATTTGAAGGATTCACATGCTTGCTTCGCTGTGGCACAACGTGCACACCAACGGCTGACAGACGGCAGGGCTTAGCAATGGTAAGAAGCTTTGGTGTATGCTCAGGCTGGCACTTGACTGTGCAGCTGTACAACGAGATCACGTCGGTGCTGGAAATCATTGCCACCAACGATGGGGCGGCTCAGATTCAAGTGTTGCCCCACGCAGTTAGTCAAGTGTTTCGGGAATTAGTTAAGGTTGTTGTTCGTGGAGTCTCTCGTCATTAAGGAAGGAAGGTACGAGAAAAGGCAGGAAACACGGAACCATGGCAGAGAGAAAATGAAAAAAGAGAAGACGGAGCTCAGATGGAGGAAGGAAGACAGTTCTAGCACCAGCACGCAGCCGCGATGGTGTCAGACGGGAGGATAACAGGTTTGGCTGCAAGCCATTGGGCCATCGCAAGTTGCAGGGTCCTCTTTTCTGGCAAGCGGTTGGGGAATTTCGATGTGCATCGGAAATCACCCAAAACATTGTCTCAAGACAGGACCGCTCCAACAAGCAAAACCGAAACAGTTACTTTTTTTCTGTTATATCTTCCTGTGACAAGCCGTACCCTGGAAGAATGAGGCGCCGGTGCCCCTGTCCGTGGTCACGCAGCTGCCCACCGAGCCAACACCAGAGCCCTCGATGCTCGCGCCCCTGGCACGGGCCGAGGCCGATGCGAACCTCCCTGTCTTGCAGCATTCTCCTCTTCCGCTGAATCCATCAGGTGGTCTTCATGTTGGACCCATTGGACACTGGTGCCGAGGCTTTCGTTCTCACGGCTCCGCCACGGCCCTGGAGTCGCACCGCAAGGTTGTGTGAAGTGCGCGAAACACTACAGAAGTAGCTGGCCTACATCAAAGCAAAGACAACTTGCAACGCACTGAATCACAGGACACTGGGCATCAAGATTCTGCATGTGGCTTGATTGTCAAGCTGCATTTCAGAGCATGTGTCTTTATGGTGCCCTGCTTGATGTGCCGCAGCTTCCTGCAGTCCGCAGGGTTGAGGGGTTGAATGGCCCCATCATGCCGCGACCCGCCCGAGATGGTAAGCTGTCCACGGGTGACATCCGTGCGGCTTTGGCGTCCCTGAAAGAGAATCAGGACCCGCGGCAGTTGCCAGTAGAACGGACCCCACGCTGGTTCTCACAAGACTTGAATTTCAAAAATCCAGGAACAGTCGCTGGCAGCTATCGATGCACTTCTACGATCGGTAGAGGATGTGGATTCGGCAGAGCCCCGGAAGGCGGAAGCTCCGGGCCAATCCATGGTTGTCAAGTTCAAGACGGACCTAGTCGAGGAGCAGGACGCGAAAGTTCAGTTGAATTTGCCGGAAATCCCAGATGGTGCGAAAAAGAACCTCGGACTGCATGCCACACCGATCCACCTCTTGCTGTGACTTACTGTTGCTGGCCACGGCAAGTTTTCGCTGGCTGCTGCTGCTGCTGCTGCTGCTCCTGCCTCTTGCAGGGCACATGTCGGCGTTTTGGCACGTTGACTATGTGGGCTTTTTGCAAGGTGCCGCCCTTGTGTTTTTGATCTAAGAATCTGAACAAGTGGGGCATCTTTGTCAGGCGCTTGTCATCACATGTCATCACGTAAACAACTATGCAAACAAGCAAATGACATCAATCATGAACGTACAAGTGTGAAGACATGTAGCGTTGCATCATTGCCGGAGAGCCCGTTGCATCGGCTCACAGCCGAGGAAACCTGACCAGAAAGGCGACAGTATTTCAAAGCTGACGGAGAAGGGCCGGAGCCTCTGTTCAGGGCGTTTAGGGTTTTGGGTGTAGACCGTTGCCTTGCCTGGGAGGTTCAAAGTTTGGAAGCCTGATCAGCGGCGACGATGCTGACGAGACGAACGAGTCGAGCTCGGTGCGTGCGCGGTGCAAGTGGATTCTCAATCAGCCCCAGTTTGACTGGACGATGGGTGCAGGAGTTGCAAAAATTGCATGTCATCCGTGTCAGGCACTGACATCAACGGTAGCAGTGTCAGTTTGGATTTCCAGGGAATGATGGTAGCTATGTGATGCCACATTATTGCATGTACAAGCGCTGCTGATGCTGGCATTGTTTAACCAAAACATCCCATGACGTGAGAGCAAAAATTGCACCGCACTGTGGGACTTGAGAGGCGGAGATAACACTGAGGCGCGAGCATGCCGTCGCACACACCCGCGCATGCGCAGACCCGTACGTTACGCCTTCTTGGGGTGGTGGCCGTTCGTTTAGCAACCGAGAGCTTCTGCAACGGAGTGGCGGCTCGACCCGCCGAGCGGGACGCGCCGCAGTGACTTGCACTGAAGGCGTGCTTGGCAGGGTCGTGTCGGGACAGGCGATGCGTCCAAAATGCGCACTGTGCCTGGGCCGAACTTCCGGAACCGGCGCTTACCCAGATCGATTTCCTGCATTTTTCACGTAGGGTTCCCCACTTTGTCATCGCACGCCTGAAGATATGTCTCAGGTTACAAACATGCATGTCGTGACTTTCGAGACTGGTCCATTCAAATACTTACGAATGACTTGTTTTGGTTTCTTTGTTAATTGCCCAAACTCCATCATAGTCAAGACAGCGTCGACGGTTTTTGCCATTGAAGTTCTAGTTGGGGTGGTATTTGCATGAGCAACACGAGCGACCATGCCCGGCTACAAGAGCCATGAAAGCAAGAATTCGAACAACTTCCCCCTACTGATCGCCATGACCTGTCAGCAGCGAGGAGCGTCCCATCTTAACTTCCGAAACGACTTCCTCATACACCTTCCCTGAATCTGCGGTCAATGCCTTTCGCATAAATCGCAGCTTCGGATGCTTGCCGCTACGGGCAACAAGGTGCAACGTGCCTGAGGCCTAAGACCGAACGCCCATGCAGCAGGTGCCGTCATCTTCTTGAACTCCCTCGCTATTGGAATCGAAACCGAGAATTCCATCAGCAACGAGTGGGTTCCAGATTGGCCTCGCCAGGCTCGGGGCAGAAACAGCACCATTGTGCGCAAGCTGACGGGATGAGTTTAGTGGCAGTATCAGTCATAACTCATGTACGTGTTGTTCGCGTTGAGAGCATGCCATTTGCTCCCGGCTTTTTCGCCTCCTCATCTCCGCGTGACATGCTGGCAGGAGCTCGATTATGTGTTCATCGTGATCTATGTGGTGGAGATCAGCATCCGGCTGACTGCATATGGAAGAAGTTGCTTCAAGGATGGCTGGCTGCTTGGCTTTTGCCAAAGAAGGGAAGCTTTGGTTATCTCTATCGACGGCAAGCTGCTTAAATGGGCGCGTGGTTGAGCAAGACGAGCAACCTTGATCTTGAGGCTGCAGGCATCCTCGCAGATGTGTATGCCATGGATCAAAGTTTGCAACCTTTTTCTTGCTTTTAGAATGCCGAAGTCGTACTCCCGCATCTGAGGTTCATCTTTGATTTTTCTTTGGTGTGCATGGGTGTGTTCTTCATCATTGTCGATCCGATCATCCAGAGCATGTCGGCAGAGTCAGGCCGCTTCAGTAGCAACTCAACGTTGGGAAGTTGGGAGGGCGAGTCCCAAAGCTGAAGGTGGGGACAACTTTTTGACCAAGATCCTGGTTGTGCGCTCCTTGCGACTTCTCCGGCTGGTGCGAGCGGGGCTCCGAGCCAAAGCTTGGACTTTCAGCAGGGCGCATATGCGTGAGACCCCTGTGCCCTGCAGCATCGAGGCAGTCCGGATGCTGCACATGTTCAGAACAGTGTGGCGGCTGGTGTACGGCTTGATCACCTCCGGCAACGCCATCATGTCGACATTTTTCATCCTGGGGCTCACCCTCTACATTTTTGCTTGTCTAGGCCGGACATGCGAAGAGAACTCGGGAGAGCCGGAGTCTCGGAGTGCTCCTTGTGACAGGCGTGGAGCTGATCACGAAGGATCCACAGCTTCAGCAACATGCCGATACAAAGTTCATTGTCGATACGAACTTCAGGAACCTTACCAGGACAGCCTCGCTGTGTGATTCGCTTGTGTTGGCACAAGCGGGTGCTCCCTTGAAGCTTCAACCAGTTTCTGTTCGCCTGCACAGCGACTAGGCCTGTAGAGGTGGGAGACAGTTGTCAAGCTTCGCCAGTACCTTGCTCACCCTGATCGCCTGGGTCGGAATGGATTCTATCTCAGCTGTGTCCGGACCTTGAATTGCAGAAAGAGAGGTGCACGAGGATGGCGGTGGACTGAATGCAAGAGTCGCAGCGTATCTAGGTATTTTCCACTGATCCAGCAAAATCCTTTTCTCATCTTCTACTTCGTGCCGATTATCCTGATGGTTTCGGCATCTTGCTTGGACTCAAGCTGTGTTCCGCAGCATCTCTTTCCTTTTGCCGAGATCCGAGGTGGCCCTCATGAATTTGGTCCGTGTCTCAGGGGCTGCTCACCGAGTATCAAGCAGGTGTCAGCTTTTCAACCAAGGTCACGGCAGTGCTTGTCGAGGGTGCCCTCGCCAATGCGGCCAATGACAAGGAGTTGAGTCGACACGACATGAAGCAAACAGCAGCTTGATCCGTATACCTTGTCAGTCTTATGTGCTCCTGCAGAGCTCTGGGGGTGGAATCGCGAGCCCTCCTGGCCCCGACCAGCCAAGGTGAAGAAGTTTGCACCGAAAATTATGGAGGCTTCTTGCGGTTGCAGCGGGGGATTCTCACCTGTGTCGGGGTGCATGACATGACTACCACGTGGAAGCCAGCCTTTCGCTCGCCTCAGGTCTTCTCTTCAATTGACACTGACGGAAATGGTAGTTTGGAAAGGGACGAGCAACAAGGCAGCAACTGGTCGTTGGCGTTCAAGCCACACAATTCTCACACTGCAAAACTACGTTCACGCAGCGACCACTGACGACCCATCGAATACTGGCACCTGACATGTCGGACTAAGGCTGTCAAAGATCCAGCTGAGTGACCTCCCGTTCGAACTGAGCATGGAACAGGTGGACAGCTTGGAGGACGCACGACGCAAGATGACACCGCGCCCGTCTATGTGCTGAGCTTGTCTTGCTTGTGCCGAGCATAGAGCCATCATTGTCTCCATGGCATTATTTGCACAGTCGTGCACCCTCTGACTTTCCACACTTCCTTGAGTTTCCTCACGCTTGTCAGCTGACCTGAGCAGGACCTCTTCGACATGCTGGATGTGGAGGGACGGGGTGAGATCTCCCAGGTCGAGTTCGCTGATGGGCTGCTCAATCTGCTAACGATCCTCAGCTGAGATGTGACGAAACAGTGTGCGGTAACAGCAGCACGTGATTGCTGCCACGAAGGAACGATGTTCCCATTCACCAAATGAAAACATTCAAGCTGCTGCACCTTGCTTGGAATGCTTGACATTTTTCCTTTTCTTGCCACTTTGTTTGTCCCTGCCAGCAGCAGCGTGCACGCAGGTAAGCTTGGCAAGCCTATGCGTTTAATCTCCAGGCAGCTGAGCGCCAAGGGCCTCGAGCGCGTGGAGAGCAAGCTCTTCTCGATGGAACAACTTTTGCTTCGAAGGTGCTGATAACGTTGTGGGACAATGTGGGACAGACCTAGTCTTCGGGGTCCTTTCGGGGTTCCAGAACTCGCCTGAGGAAGTGACGACCTCTCGACACATCATCAGGTCTGAGCGCAGATGTGCACTGGCTTTTCGACTTGGGTGACGATCTTAAACGAAACCATGTGCTAGCTTGTTGTTAACATGCATGTTATGCTTGCAGGACTAGTAGCCACAGACTGACAGAGCAACTCTAGTTGACTTCCTCAACAATGTGATTTCGTCAGCAACCGTGATGGCATGTCTTTGGCGAGACTGGCTGTCAGTCACCGTGCTTGAGGTTCTGACAGTAGCTCGCCTTCACTTGTTGCCAACTGGAAGTTGCGTTTAGGAAGCTTGAAGCTGCAACTATTCTCATGACTATTGTTGTACTGTTGTACTTGCCGACGGCTTTGCGCTGCCATTCCGCTTCATGCCTGCAGAACTGCTGCATGTCCTCCCGCAGATGTTTCACTGGTCATAGCCCAGAGCACCAACCTCCGGCTCATTGCCGATGCTGAGCGTGTGACCGCGAAGGTTTGCGCCCACAACACCTGAAGGTTGGACCATCTGGTTTTGGCAAAGGTATGGTGTTGGCCACATCGAGCGCAGAAAGGGTTCGATCCGATGGTAGTGTGATGAGCCTTGTTTCGTGTGTCTTTCTCCCTCGAAACTTTGTCAGTGTGCTTGCTCTCAGGCTTGGCTACACTTTCGTTCACCCCTGCCGGGTTCCTTTCCAGGACCCTCTCGCAGTCTTGAGTCTTGACGGGAATGGCTGTACGGATTCTTCATTCCCTGGAGTCCGCCTCAGAGTCCCTGAGTTGTGTCAGATGCATGCCGAGCCACTAGCCTCAAATCTTCGCTGCGATGCGCGGAGAGCAGTGCACCAACTTTTGCCAGGAGAACCAAACCAACAACGTGGACGAGATGCGCCGATGCCCGAGCTCGCGGTGGTTGATTCATCAACTTCTTGTTTCTGATGCCGTTTGAAGGCTGCTTGCCATTGCCGGCCGCCAGTGGCCTGAGCCGTGCTCGCGTGGACTGTGAGGCTTCAACGTGCTGGTGCCCTTGTGGAATTTTCGGGTCTGACAAGCGGATGCCAGGTTGATCCAGCACTCCGCTTGGTGGCAGGTTTGGGCACGGAGTGCCTTCGTAATGCCTCCGGCTGAGTCTTGATGAGCATTGGAGCTGACGTAGTGCGACGGCACGCGCAGCTGCGTTCTGAAAGCAGACCAGTCAGGCACCCACTGTTGTGTACGTGGCGTCGTCGGAGCCTTGTTTGATTGCCGATCGTGACCGCTTCTGTAGCCCTGAGAGAGAAGGCCAGAGGCAACGGTGCCAGACGCACAGAACGTTGCCGTCTCAGCGTCAGCCAATTCGGACCAGAGCATGCCTTCTGTTTGGTTCCAGGTGTGGTTCGTCGAAGCTGTCGCACTTGTAGGTGGGGAATTCAAGCAGGGCGGTGAGACATGGTGAGACTTGTATGACTGGCAGGTAGCAAACTCAAACTTCCTTGGTAACTTGATCAAGTATGTATCTTCCTGCCGAGGGCCCCGAGGATTGGACATGAACCATCATGAATCTCCAATCATGCCCAGCAGGAACCAACTACACTTCGGTGGGGGATCGGCTGGGAAGAGTCATGCCGGCCAGATTTGGAGCAACCTTTACGTTCCATGTCTAGCGTACTGTGCCAACTCGGTGTGCTGAACTTCATCCAAGCCCGGTGGCAGGGGACGTTTACCGGTTTTGAGGTCGTGGACATGGGGGTCCAGGCCGGCACGCAGTGCTTGTCCTTCGGGGAGGCAACAGAAGGATCAGGGCACAGCCTGCAAGGGGAATGCATCACTGACAAGTTCCCCTCCTTGTCTCAGGTGGTTTATGGTGCCCTTGCTTCGGTGCCAGTGGACGTGGGTGTGGCCTTCACCAGCCGTGTGGATCTCCCGCGCCTCGGCCAGGCCTGCCTGAGACTTCAACTTTGTCCGCACGCGCTGTATCTGCGACCCTGCCCATTGCACCCACTCTACATACTCTAGATGTACACAGACAAGCAAACCAGAGACACGAGCAAGCACCGACCTTTCAGAATCCCGACACGACAGACAGGTCGTCATCGAAGGACCTCAGGATCTGCAGCAGTTCAGCTGCGAAAACAAGCGTGGCCGGGCTTCTCCGACAGACTTGTCAAGCACCAGGGTACAGAACTTGATTCATCGTGCTGCAAGCATCTGCTCAGAGTTACTAAACTTCAGCCTGCCGTGATGCCTGCTTGCAGCAATGTCATCGTGCTGGACGATGCACGCAGCTCTTGCCAGGTCTTGCCGGTGTCTCTGGGGCCTCTGGCACGATGCCAAACAACCTCTTCCTTCCCACCAACGGTTCAGATCTCAATTTGTGGATGCTAGCAGCTGCTGGCAGGAGGGTGCGTGCGTAGTTCGATACAAGCTGGGTGACTGACAAGATTCTGACACTCGCGTTGTTGTGCAAGCCGTGGGCATCTGCATCTTGCCTCGCAGTGCTGGCAGGTGGTTCTCACATTGAACCAGAGCCTGCCAAGCAGCCTGCATGTGGTCATCATACCTGCGGAGACCTCCAGCCGAAACCTCGAGGGGCCATGTGCAGTTTCTGTGCGTGTCTACTCAGTCTCGTCATAAGCTGAGAGGGAGACCGCCTTTCCTGAGGGCTACATTTTCTTAGGACAGGACCCGCAGCCTTCGCGAAACGTCTTCAACGTCTTCCTCCGAGCTCCCGATGGCCGGAATATGGACCGACGGGTGTTTGCATCTGGTCACGATAGTCTGCTGTAGACGATGCACCAAGCAGTGGCTTGGAGTGATTTGACATCGTTGCACTGTTGGACGCCCCTCAACTCAAGGCTTTAAGGGCTGTCGACAATTGCTTGTGCCCACAATCAGACCTCCGGGATTCATCCGGCATACTTTGGTTCAGATACATGGTCTACTCTGCGCGATGCAGCACAGCTGGTCTGGAACTCTCCTGCAAGGACGTCTCGTTGACAGTTCCGGGTGAGCCGATAGTGCAAGGCGTGCAGCTCAACATTGTTGGTCATGCTTGTGTCCACCACTCATGATTCTCTGCCATGCACCTGTGTCAGATAGGGCCCCGGTGCTGTAGTCGCTGTGATCCCATGATCGGAAGCACTCTGGGCTTTGCAGTTGTGTTGTTGGTAGGCATCCGCGCGAGTGCAGGGAGCTCAGCTCTTGATGAGTGAGTAATCTGGCGTAAGGCTTCAAAAAAGTGAGCCTGGACCTTCGCCAGGTTTTACCCTTCTGGTGGACAGAGCTGAAGCAGTGCCGACACCTCAGCAACTAGCTGCACTGCTGGATGTAAAGTTCGTGACTCGACTTGCACTTGCTCTCCTGGCACTCAGACGATGATTTCTTCGACGTGACGGTCCCTGTAGAGGCAACCTGCCGAGCATTGCCCTTTCCAGGTCAGTTTCGTTCGAAGTGACCTCTTTGTTGCATGTCGTTGTCACGTACAGTAGCTGCTCTTCACACAGTGACGCCTTGCCAAGATCCTGGACGATGTCGATATCGAGTTGTGGGGCATCCTTATCGACTTTCCAAAGGACCCGGACTTCCAGCTCCACGCTCTTGACGTCCAGGCGTGGAAGCAGCAAGATGCTGCTTTGTATGCTCTTGGCTTGGTCCGTTGGGTAGGTTTTGGAGTTGCCTGAGTTGCCTGTGCATCACAGCTATGCCGGCACCCCAAACAGCAGTGAAAGAGGCTTGAGGCTCCCGAGACCCGAGACCAAAACCCCTCAGCCTCAGTCCAAAAGGAGAGAATTTGCCTTTCGTCGAAAATGTGCACCACAGCGGGCGCGCTTCTTGCGCGGACAGCAACCGGCATCCTCCATACACTGAACGTAGGAACTATGCTTTTTTGGGAAAAGTTGCTTTGCAATATTTTGCAATTATGGACTCTTGTGTCTGGCTATGGCTGTTTTCCCTCCACACGTGGCCGGTCTCTCATTGCAGGTTTCTACAGCCTTTGGCGAGGGAATTTACCTGCAGCCAGTTTCGCCATTCATTGGGCAAGCAGGCGGGGCTGCAAAGTCTAAGGCGGCCTTCCGCAATGCAAGATGGCCGCTGTCTGCAGGTGGCAGTCGACTGCTGGTGCGGTTGGACCCCAATCGGAAGCCTCGCACAGGCACCATTGTCACTGCGTGACAGCACGTCCTACTGCGAAGTGAAAAGGATTCAGAAGTTCTGAGACACTGACAGGCATGAGCCTGATCCAGTTTCCCGTGACCCGACCGCTCCAACCTCAGAGCGGCCCGTTGCAGCCATCAAAATTTGGCCGGAGCAGACAGCGAAAAGAACTCCATAAGAAATCTGCCAGTCGAAGGCTGCAGAGCGGAATTGGGAAACTGTGCCATGCTAGCGCTACCAGTAGCTTGTGCTGCTGTTCTGCAAGCCCCCAACCGCTAGTTGGGCGGTTCAGTTGCTGCGAGGTTTAGCCTGCCACTCTTCAACTTCTGGCGTGTTGCGTTGTGCGGCTACGGGCTGAGCGACACGAAGCACGTTTTGGTTGAGTTCGCTGCTTTGCATTGCAGGTTCAGCAATGGGCCCAAACGGTGAAGGCTGCGAGCTCGGTGAGGACCGCGAGGATCGGGGAGCCGCGGTGATCTGCGCCCGGAGCTGAGCTGCGCTTGCAGCAGTAGCAGCGGGTGTGATTGGCGTCGTGGGCTCAGGTCTTTGCGAACGGTGGTTTCGACCCCTCCGAGCCCAGCAGCGCTCAGGCTGGGCACTGGATGCTCATGTCAGCTGTTCTCACATGCGACGCTCTTTGTCAGTAACCTCTGAAGCAGTACCGATGCGGTGCGCCATGCCGGAAAGCTGTCGCTTTCGCTTGGGCCGACCGCTCGTTCGCAGGTGTTTCGGGCCACGACGGGCAGTACCTCACGAGCGCAGGCCTGTAAGCTTTGTGGGGCATTGTGGGGCTGTCATTGCATGCATGGGTCCAAAGTCCAACTCATTTTGGTCCCAAGCAGCTGTTTCAACAGTCTGCTGTCTGCTCTGAAATTCATTCTGCTCGCCTTTTCGGCTCGAAGTCATTATATCAGGCCAATCCACGTCGGAACATGGGACTCTTTACGATCTGTCGAAGGGGCCGCTGGAATGTGGACTCTCTTGCTGGTCCTTCTCGCCCCTCCCAGCCTTGGCATGCGTGATTGGGGAGGACACGAAGCTGCAATTGGCGAATGTCCCGCAAGCATGTCAAGACCTCAGACCTCCACACGAAATGAGTCGGCGCTCCAGGTGCCGCCATCACCCGACTGACGGCGCATCTCAGAGGATCCTCAGAAGACGGTACGATTATGACCTAGACACCAGCTTGCCTGGGCAGAGCGTTGTGTGATGGTGGTTGGGAGAAGCTCCGGGCAACTGAGGAGCTTTCTCGGATGATGACACTAACACGCACGAACTTGGCACTTTGCTGGGTTCTTCGGCCTGATGCAGCAGCACGTGTCAGAGTTCAGAAAATTGTGTGCAGCCGCCCATGATCATGCAAGTGTGGAGACCTCTGACCGCTGACAGGATTGGAGGACCTTGATAATCTGCGTGCTGGGGTCGCATCTGCTCTTAGCCGCTGAGCAGCAGTGCAGTGTAGTGTTTTTTCTGGCTCAGCAGCACATGCTCTCGTCAGTAGTACATGCTTGTTTTCCATGATACGAAGCAGTCGTCTTGCAGGCAGTCCTTACTCGATCGTCAGCTTCTCGACACCAGCGTGGGAGATTCCGATGGACATGTCGGAGGCACGAAACTATTACGTTGCAGCTGAGAAAGAATGTCCCGGCTCGGCACAGCCCGCGCCACAAGGATCCGCCCTATGCCGATGCGTTTAGCAAGCTCAACTCCAGCTTCGCCCAGTATGGAGCCACACACAACAGCCTCCTGCTTGCACTATGGTAACCTGCCTGAGGGCCTGGCCTGGCTACCGTTCACAGGTATCTACTTGTCGTCGAACTCTGGGAGGTTCATGGATGGAGTTCGGACTCTGGAGCAGACCGATGGCTCCAGCGAGCATGGAGCCCTGGGTTTTGGCGGTCAAAGGGTGTCAGCGGCAGAAATGCAGGACAGGACGACATCCGATACGTCCGACACAGAGAAGCAGAGCAAATGTTTGCCTTCCGTGCAGGACAATGCTGCCACGAAGCACTTGGTCGTGCAAGCAAGCTACCCTGGCGGCCCAGGATACTTCGGACATGCATCGTGGCGATAGTTTGCATGACTTTCACCGATCATCAGAATCAAGCTTGGTTCCTCTGCATGATGTGTGCACATGTGGAGTGAAGGCAATAGACAACGTCTTTCCAAGAGTGCTGAGCATCTTCCCGGGCGCCAAAAGTGCTGGCTACAAGCTTTCCGTGGTTGTTCCGAAGACGTCTCGCGAGTTTTTCAGCACCTGGAAGCATTTGCTTTACTTTTCAGTGCACCTAGCAGGGGCTGTTCTTCAGCCTCCACCGCTTCTGCAAGATTTGAAACAGGTCACAACACCCAAGTCCTCTTTGAGCAGATGGGCGTGGAAGTGCTTGAAGAGATCCCTAAGACCCCCCACCGGATGGCTGGCGTGACGAATGTTGCATCTTGGGATCGATGCTCGGCTTGCACAGGGTGCTGCTCTCGGTTGTTTCCATGCGTTTATCAAGTTGAGCCATACTACAACATTACCGTCGTGGATCCATATACTCGACTGCAGAGTTCCGGAGCGCGCCGACTGGCAGCTCTAGCAACCCTGCGCATGGTTCCCAGTCATTGCGATCATCGCTCAGTTTTGTCCAATAACAGCAAACCTTCGCATTGGCTAGGCTGAGCGGAGAACCGATGAAGCCTGCAGGTTTCTCTTCCATGCCCAACGTCGAGGTCATTATTGTCGGCATCATCATCATCACAGTGCATGTCAGTGTCACTACTGTGATAGGTTGTTGTCGTCATGGCTGTTTCAGGAAGTTTAGGGTTTCCCGGAACATCAGCTGAATTTTAGCGTTGTCGGTTTGTGGAACCTTTCGGCTTTAGATTTTAGCCAAAAGTGCACTCCTTTGGAGGCTTGCCACCAATCCTTTGAGCCTTTTAGGGTTAGGTGGAACAGCGTTTTGAGCAGCCAGCCAATCCTTGTATGACACTCTATAATTAGGTTTTGCCATCTCCGTTTAGCATTTTGGGTTTTCCGAACCAGGGGGTTCGTTTTTTTCAGAACCGCGCAGTCCCACTGTTTTTGTGCTTGCCTGTCGCCCTTACCACGCCTTTTGAGGTTTGGGGTTTGCCGCCCAACCTTTGGGGAGATAGTGGCTTCGGCAAGCGTTCGAGCGGGTTTGGGTTTTTGGGAATTAGTGGTGAGTGTGATGATGGTCATGATGATGATGATGATGATGACGGAGACGACGATGTGACGTCCGATGAGTGTAGCGGCGAGTGGAGAAGAACTCCTGAAAAGAGAGTGAAATCATGAACCACACTCAAAAAGCAAGACGTGCACTGCGTTGTCTGTGCTCGCCAAAACCCGCAGAGAGGCGCACTTTCCGGACAAAAACTCCAAATCTATTCGAGAAGTTGGGTCGTTTGCTCGGTATGGATGCCCAGGACTCGTGCGACACAACACTCGGAACGTCATCCGCGATGAACTCTTCCGGGGCTTGACTCCAGCTGCTTGCTCGGGCGGCACAGCAGATGGAGGATCACAAGGTGATGCGCCTGACCAATCTCCCGATCTCAAGTCTGTAAGCACAAGGAATGTCTCGTAGAAACTCCGTGGATCAGGTGCCTGGTCCAAGGTCTTCCTGTCTCGCCACAGCGGCACACGAAATGGTCGCTCCGTCGAGGGTGAGGACCTGAACGCTTGGCACAGTTTCGGGGACACTTCCTTTTGTGGCCATGCCAGGAGCTCTTGGAAGAGAAGCTGCAGCTCGGACCTGTTTTGGGCAAGGAAGCGCATTTCTGTTGAAAGCAAAATTCCGGCACGTGATCACAAGAGCACAAGCTCCAAAGCGCATCCCGAAAGCATGAGTAGACCTTGTGCGTGTTCCCTCCCTGCCCTCCGTACTCAGCACCAGGTGCGGTTGGCCGAGAGAACCCAAACAACCACCCAGAAGAGATTGATTAAACTACGGAGCATTGGCTGTTTCTCCACACAATGTGAAGTCATAGTTCTCACTTCGGAACCCCACACCGCAGAATGTCCGAAGCGCCCGAAACTGGCTACTGGGGTTGGTGGTAAGGCAAGATATTGAAAGCTAGCTGAGCTGGAAACTTGAGAACACTCGCAGTAGCAAGGCGAAAGAACGGCCCCAGCCTCAGATGCGGACGGTTCTCCATAGCATCGTCTGTGATTACAGTTTTCCGCACTGCCGTAGTCACCGCCGGAGGTTTTCATATCCTTGACGATCCTGGAAGCATGCCTGTACATGAATTGGCCAGGCTGGCAGCAGGTCTCTTGAGTCTGCTATCTGCTTGTACGGTGTGAAGGAAGCTTTACACGTCGACGTGCTGCTTGGCGGGCTTCGCCGGAACAGCGCTGCTGATGCTTCCATGCATTAGGGCAAGTTGCTGTGTTGTCCCAACCGGCAGACCTGGTCTGGAATACAGTCGGCTCTCACAGTGGCAAGGCCAGAAAGCATTTTCGTGTCAGTTTGCAGAGTTGCAGCTGACGTCCTCGAGCTTCCAGAAATTCTGACTTGCGAAAACTGTAAAGTTTGCGACGGGTGCTTCGCCAGTACTGTTCGGAGCACCCCTGAATACAGTGGTACTTATGAAGTAAAGCAAACGTCCAGAGACTGCTTTATGCAGAGTTGTTGCAAGGAATCTGGTCTTCCTGCCGGATGGAGCAAAACTCGTCGAATCATGGCGGCAAGCAGAGACTGTCCTTCCGCGTCATTTGCCATGTCAGGTGAACGCGGTGAAGCACACACTTGTCGGCAGGTGCATGCTGATGCCACAGTTTATGTCCAGCTTGCCAAGGAGTACAATCCCACAGGTTTGTACGCTGACTACTGGGAATGGGCTCATGCTCTGAACATGAGCTGCCGAGACTGCATTGGCATTTCCATTTAATGATTGGCATAGAAGCTTGCAGCTGAGCGAATACTGTACCTTACACACTTACGGCGACACCTTGCGACATTCGGCCTCGCACACAGCGGTTGTTACCGAATGTGCATGAAGCCTTGCACGCCGCGTTGCAGCATGGCTGAGGCTATGTTCACACCGTGCCAAGTCTCAGTATTGGTGACGGAGAAGCTGACAAGCTTGCTGAGCTCGCTGCATAGTGCTGCGCAAGCAAAAGAATCCGCTATCAGAAAGCTCTGCCGAAGGCATGAAGCCCAGTTGAAGCCTTCAAGCGAGGATTCGCATTGTGTAGGTGTTGGCCTGGCTTCTTGGGCTTTTGTGCATCCTCTTCTGGAAGGCCAGTGAAGCTCCTGGACAGGGGGCCTGGTTTGTGCTCAAGCTCTGCCCTGTCAGGTGCGCTGAGGCTGACGGAGGTGCACAAGAAGCACCGAACAACAATCCATGAGCCATAAGTGTTACACCTCGCAGCGCCCTGTTCAGCAACTGTCAGAGTCAGAACCCACGAATGCAACAAGACCACCTTACACAGGCCGTTGTAAATCTGAATCAGACTGCAGAGTCAAGCGAATTCGATCCGGTCTCACTCGGTACCTGGGCAGCGGAGGCATTGGAGAGGTAGCTGCACTCACAGGAATTTGTGGTTTGCAAGCTCGATATTGCACCGTGACTATCTGCTAAGACTTCAGGGAGCTTTGCTGGCCAGAACAGTAAATGAACCTCTCGCCTGCGTGCTGGCAAAACGGCACACAGGCCTAAGACAGCGCCGTTTCGCTCATAGTGTGAAACGCAGCTTTATGTAGTGCAAACAAAGTTTGCATTCAAATTTAGTAGTCCTGCAATGCATGAAAAAGCCCTCCTCGGTGTCTCGCTGCTGAACTTTGTAGCATGTTACAGAGTCGCAGCCAGGGCACATGCCCTGAGAGTGGGTGCTGCAATGGTCAAACGACTGTCAAGGGCAATGGAGCTATTTGAAGACCTCGTCAAACCGACTTGACACACATCACAAAAGCGACAGGCATCCGCTCAAAGATGAATAACGTATCACTTGGTCCACTCAGAGGCACTTTCTTGTTAGAAGCCTAGCACGAGTCGGTGGCCCATAGAGCGCCCCTGGCATGGTGGCCTTGGAAGAAGCTGAATTATGGCTTCGGCATCCAGGTTCGAAGATGCCCATGTCTATGGCTATTTGCGGACGCAGGGTGTCGTCTATCAGCTCGAGGAAGTTGAGACATCCATTGGCCGTGGCGAGGAGTGCAGCTTGCAGCTGGATGGCAAGGGTATCTCGCGAATGCATGCACGATTAACGTTCACTGGAAGGCGGCCGCAACTTCTGGATCTAGGTTCCAGCAATGGCACCTTCGTGAACGGGCTGCGTCTGAAGCCCAACATTCCCCATGATTTGAAACATGGTGATGTGGTACGCTTCGCGCAGGCAAGATGTACATATAGTTTTGAGTTGCCACCGGAAGGTCAGAAAACTCCAAAGACACCTAAAGAGAACCCAGAGCCGCCAGGTCAAGAAGAGACCCCTCCCCGGCCAGCCCTGAAGTCGAAGGAAGACGGCGAGAAGCCAGGGCCAGGCAAGGATGTACAGCCGGCATACCCCGGAACTGCGGTGCCGTGCGTCAACGTATTGCCCGTTCCCTTCCCTTTCATGCAACCTGGGATGCCTGGGATGCCAGGGCCGGCAATGCAGCCGATGCAACTTTTTGCGCCAGCGCATTCTCCACCTCAGCCCTCTGCGGCTGCGGCTTGCCCACACCCCTCTCCTCCAGACTCGGAGCAGATCTGTCCACGGAGGAGCTCGGTGATTGAAGAGTCCGAGATGCTGCAAAAGCAAGACCTCCTCCTGCAAAGACTTTGGAAGCTTGAGCAAACGATTTCCCGCCTCGCCGATGTGAACCTGGAGGTTTGCCAAAGAGCAAATCCCAGCGGTCCCGGCCCACATCCAGATGACACAGAAAAACGCGAGGACGATCCGTCGGCAGAGGCTGAGGAAGCCCATCTGGTCGCAGCGGCCCTGACAGCCGCTACAGAACGGCTGGCAAGCATCGCTGAGCGGGATACACTCGCAGGCTCGCCCTCACAGGCTAAAGGCAGTTCGTGTTTTAGCGAGATGTCTCAGAAACAACCGGAGGTCGGGGTCGGGGATCAAGCCGATGCCCTGAATCTGGAAGCGCATGCTGAGCTCACGTCAGAGATGCAACGCATGCTCGCGTTGTACGAGATGGTGGTGGGTGCGGGTAAGCCAGATTACAGTTCGGGCGCAGGGAATGCTGATGCTAGCAGCTCATCCTCGGGATCTGTGGACAAGGCTCCTCCGCGACCTTTGTTTGAGGGTGCGGTAGGAGAAACTTCGGTGGTGCTGACTGCCATAATGTCTGCGCTTGAAGAACTGGCTGCTATGGGCTACGCCAACCCAAACGTGGGAGGGCATAGGAGATGGAATGCCTTGGCACATGAGCGCGAAAGACTCGCGAAGGAGGAAGAAATAGAATCCGAGCGCTTGCATGAGCTCGAGGATCACGAGGGGAGTTTCCGTCAAAGCACGGAGGCTGAACTTTCCGAGCTGAGCCGGATCTTAGAAGGCGAGGATGCCGTCGGCATCACCGATGGTGAATCACACCCAATGTTCCAAGACATTCCGCAGACGAAGCTCACGGCGCAGCAAGCATACGATTATCTTCAGACTGAGCTAGCACGTGTTGAAGCGGACAAAGCACGCCTTTCGGCCTCTATTCGGCTGCGAGTAGTGGGGTGCTGGGGATCTTCTTGCAGACTTCATTCGGGATTCACTGAGGTCTCGAAGTGGCAGCCTCCAGCTTGTCGGGAGAGCTCTCGGAGAGCCACCGACAGTATCAAGAGGAGAAGTCCAAGGCCGACACCGCCTCGAAGTTCTTCGCCGGTACCGAGGAGCTGGCAGACGAGCTGCAAGAATGGCTCTACTCAGGCAGGGCGCATGCCGGCAGGTCTCACACTGTTCTCTGTTCTCTGTCTGCGTCTGCGAGGCCGCTCAGAACGCATGGCGGCTCTTGAGAGGATGACATGCCTAGCGCAGACCCAGCTCGAGCACAAAAGCAAGGCAACTTTAGGCTCTTGATGTGGGTGTCAGCTCGATGCTCCCGAGACGTTAGTTCTTGAACTTGCCTTGATCTTGCATGGCTGGCTCGACTCTCGACCGGACCGCGGCCTTTCACAGACCACATCCCGTCTCAGTGCTCGGAGGCCCCGGCGGAAGTGCGGCGCAGTTTCTGCTCTCAACCCTTGACAGCCTTAACATTGGCCTCAACCCTTTGGGATCCTGGACACTCTGCCCACAAAGCCCGGAGGACTGGCGCTTTGCTGAAGACCGGCAGCTCCAGTCGGACGAACGGCCCAAAGACACGCTTCTGGAATGAATTGGTGATGCTTGTTTCCCTTCCCTGCAAGTAACAGTACCTCCCGTGACATGATGCGACTTCGGTATACGGTATACGTAATGGTGCTGCTGGCTCCGTTGCGGTTGGCTCGTCCGACGCTGAGGTTGCTTAGCACTCGGCCATGGACGGTTTTGCGCTGGAAGCGTGTCCCTGCAGCAATATGTTCCAGAGCTAGCACCACATCAAGAAGAGACCCGAAGCCAAAGTCAAAAGCGAGGCCACGCTCATGCTGCTGAAACAGATACCTGCCGAGACCTCTTAGATGGATGTCCCAGTTGTTGAACACTTTTTGTGGGCTCCAGCAGACGCCGCAGTTGGTACATATGAAGTTGAGCAAGAGGGTCTGAATCCGAACAGAAGCTTCTCCTCTGCGGGTTAGGTATCTGGTCCCGAAGTGTGGCTTCCAACCAATTGTCCCCGGCGGGACGATCCCCAAGGAGCTGCATATATGCATTACCGGACATCTGAGCGCATGATCGGAATATGCATATTATACATACTGCGTAAACCTCACGTTCGACAGAAAGGAAAACACCAAAGATCAGGAGTCCCGAAAGAAATCTACGGCAGCCAGCAATGTCATACACTCATGCATCTATATTCATCGATGCATCCGTCTATGTAGTAACGTCTAGTAATCCACGCGTCCATCAACCCATCCATCCGTCTATCCATCCATCCATCCATCCATCCATCCATCCATCCATCCGGTCTGTGGAAGTATGCCGCGTACTGTGCTTGTACTCCAAAACACGAGTTTGGAGGCCGCAGAGCTCGAGGAGCTTTCGGAACCAAACCGAACTGCTTGCCCAAGAGCTCGGGTAGGACAACGAGCACGGCGGCAAGGCTTCCCCCTGGCGAGTTTCACAACCGCGGTTCGAGGGCTTCCCACAAGTACTGGTTGATTAGGGAACGCGGCCAAGTTTCTTTCCCCGAAGTTTTGGGATTTGCAATGGTTCGCACCCGCCTAGACGATTGACATTTCGAGACCACCACGCGGCCCGTCTTTTCCGAATTTACAACACGTCGCCGTCCACGCATGCGCCTTTCTTGGTGCAGCACGTGTATTGGAAGTTGCGGTTGATCGCGAACAACTTGCACTGCATCGTGCTCACCGGAGAAGGCGAATCGCCACCCGACACCACATTTTGACAGCACCCCGTGCAAAGTCTCGTGAGCGCCGGCACGCTGCGTCCATCGAGGGGGTTGTCGTAAAAACGGAGCAGCGCGCGGCCCATCTGTTGGAGATTGCAATGGATCGCGCTTGTCGGCAGCTGCGATGCAGCTGCTTCCCGCAATGTCTCGCAGATTCAGGAACACATCCAAATTCCTTGTCCCGATATTCCGGGGGCATGCAGACGTCGCAGCCGACAATCGCTGCGGAACCACACCCTCAGACCGATTCGGCACCCCTGCGCTGCCCAAAGACGCCTGCACCGAGAGGGTTGTCAACGAGACCAACGTGCTCGTGTATTGGAATTTGCAAGGAATCGCGCTGAACGGATTAACTGACACACACACACACACGCACACCGAGGCCAAAAGAGTTGTCAGTTCGGGACAAATTCGACAGCCGCGCGTGGCCCTCGTGCTGGAGTTTACAATGGGTCGCACCGATCCGGAATCATGGGTCGTGGGCACATGTGCGCGCACGCATCGCGGTGCAAACAACGCCACTTCGTCATAGATCAATGCATAGACACATACGTAAGTTGGTAGGTAGATATGTGCGATTTTTGTGTGAGCACGTGTCTAATTACAGTCCAGGAATCATTGCCAAGAGTACATGGAACTGTGACATGTCTGCGCGCAGGCGCCCAACGAAGCCGGCAGCCTATTTACAGAGGTGGGGCGACTTGCAGTGTGCATGGCATTTTACACGTAATGGTGTTATTCCTTGCTGAGTTCATTCAGTCCTGGTGCTGAACGGCACATGACAGCTTCCATTGCTTCTCCTCTTCTTTCGGAATGCTAACGAATGCACGTACTTTTTGAATGTTTTTGAAGTGCCGGGCAGGTTTTCTGCAAGGATCCAAACAAACAGTGCCACGTGCGGAGTTACGAGCTCCGGTTGAATTGCTGTCCAGCATGCAAGGAGAGGTTCATGTCAGTTGTGATTCGTTAGTTGCGGTGAAGAACCTGAAACGACTTATGCATAGCCGCAAAATCGTATTGACATGCAGATCTACCCTTGTGGGTCAAGTCTCACGTTGATAAGGAGTTGTTTGAAGGCCTGTTCTGTGACGAGTTTGAATGAACCTCCTATGTCTCCAACCAGCATGCGGACATTGCTGCCGGAGGGAGGGTGAAATGGCTGGATGAGCAGGCTGCGCACGCAGCATATCGCGACATAAGCTGATTGGCCGATCAAGAACCGTTTCGCATTCAGCAAAACCTGCTTCCTCACATTACCGGTATTTTGGCGGCCATTCCACATCAGGCCAAGCCTTTCGGGCATCGACGGCGAGTAGGCAACAGTTTGAAGATTTTGGAACTTCTACGGATCACACATCCCCTGGCATCTTGTCAGTTTGGCAATCGCCAAGCTTGGTGCTTGTACTGCGGCACGAGGTCAGCTCCTGGATTCCTTATAAGTTCAAGATCCTAGCCGGGCAACCTTGCGTCCATTCCTCTGTGGAATTGGTTCTGTCGGTGTGCATGGGACACATAATTGCTGTTTTTATGGAGTAGGAGAAGATGCGATGAAGGCGAGCTGGGCTCGGTGTGCTAGGCATTGTAAAGCCCATCGTTAGTTCCAACTTTTAGGCGGCTTTGCTGTGTTGTCAGTCAAAAGAAGCGCTTCAAAAGTGAGTATGCAATCTTAGGGCACGCAGGACAAGAGTATTATGAGACTCTAAAAATTTCGACATGTTGTTTTCCATGAGTTTGCTGTGTTTCCCAGGCCAGTCGAAAAGATTCACAACAACTGAAGCATGACAAGTTTGACGATAGTACCAGTCGCTGCAGTGGTTTCCTCGTTTGTACTTGACTTGCGCCGGAGGTAAAGAAGAATGCGAAATATCCAGGCCCGGATCACTACAAGAAGGAGGGGAAGCGTCTGGCTCAACTGTTGGTTTCAACAGGTGGATCCATTTCTGAGGTTTTGTGGGTCGTCTCGTGTCTGCCAAGGCCTTTCGGGCAGAAAGCCAAACTGGGGATGCCTGGTGCTCAGCCGATGCAATCGGGATGATGCCTGGCTGCATCACATGGCACGTGATTACATTGTGCTGTTATATCGGTGGCAAGGTTTAGCCGAATCAATCGCGACGAGAAGGATCCGAAGAAAAACTGGCCTTCCGTCGGCCAGCCAGGACCTCTCAGATCAGTTTCGCAAGTTGCTGGCATTGCCATTCATGGCCTGTTTTTCTGTCTGCCGCACATGGGTCACACGGCAGAGGCAGTTTCGGTTCTGTGAAGTCACATGTATTTACATCATATGCACCGCTTGGAGAGAGAGGCTTCAAAGATCAGAGGGGGACGTCTCAGACGGGCAGCTTGAACCAGAATCCGAATATCACACAACGACACTGTTGAAAAGCAAGCACCCGCGCGAACCTCAGGGCCAAGAGGGTGCCCAGCTGTGGCAAACGTTGAAGACAGCACAGGGCACAGGAATAAGGCACCCATTCCAGCACGGTATATAGACTAACTTGTCGCGATGGCTAAGCAGCAGAAGTGTGCATTGCTGAGCTCAGGTACCAAAGCACAAGCGATGTGACAACACCTCGAACTCGCGGGGGCATCATGGCAAAATGTCCGTGGCTGAGAGTGTACTATAGACTCGACTCTCCAACGACCCGTGCGTAAGGAACATGGATAGTTGACGTGTTCCATTTTGATCTTGTGGTCGTGCTTGTCTTGGTCGTCGTGGTGCTCTGGCACTGCCTGGGGATCTGCGCTTTCATAACTTTGAGCATGTGTGTGCATGCGCTCAGCAACGCGCGGGTGCCTCATCTATGACCAGGCCCCTTTGCTGCGGGTCTCCAAACAGCTTTGACGCATTGCCTGCACAGCTTGCTCATGTTGTTGCCTCGCAGACACCGTAAAGCATTGTGCATGTCTTCAGCCGTTAAGCCTTTGAGGAATTTCAGTGTTGTTCGTTCAGAGCAATGGCTTCCTCGGTTGGAGCTCCACTTGAGCGCCACGACCAGGCTTTGCTTCAATGCATTTTGGATGAGCTGAAGCTCAAGGGGGCTTGCTCACATACAGCAGTGCCGAGGTCTCAGTTCTTGAGCCCCGGTAAATGCCCTGGGATGGACGAGGAGACTAGGTCTCCGTCTGCAGCCTCGCTCACCATCTCGCCACGGTCTCTTCGCTCGACTTCTCCATCTGCCAGCTGTCACTCCAGCCCCCAGCCGACGCCTGCAATGCCACGGCACCCGGTGTCATTGGCATTGTCGGAGCTGTTGCCACCCAGTGCTTGTCCTTCGCTGTCCGTGCCATCTGCGCCTCCCACAGAGACCAGTGTGGTGTCATGGCGCGTGATCAACCCGACAGCAAAATTCAAAGCCAGCTGCGGCTTCCCACTTGTATCGCCACAGCTCAGCACTCCCCTCTTGGACGACTTTCGTGTGAACCTTGCCGAAGTTCAGCCAGAAACAACTCACCTTAATTGTGACTGTTCAGGCGTTCCAGTCCACAACTGTGAAGCCATGTATTTCAGAGCCAAGGATATTTGCACCAGGTTCGGCATGGTCTATGGCGCAGTCTAAGGGCAAGAAGAAGGAGATGGCATGCAACAAGGTACAGCCTACTTCCTTCAATGCAGTGCAGTGCTGTAGCATACCTAATAAACCCTCCAGCATGTGCTCGGCTCGTGCAGAGGCCGCACCATTGTATGGGTCATTGCAGATCAAGTTTCTTTCTGATGATCCGGTCGTAGCCGGGCTAAAAACTCTGCTTCGGGCATCATGCCGTGCGGTTGCAATCATTGCAAGACAGCGCATCCCTTGAGAATACGCGCGACCAAGATCCGGGATCTCAAGCTGTTTTTCACGATCGGTTCCGTGCGCCTTGGCCCATTCCGCATCTTGGCAAGCGAGCTGAATGAAAGCCTTGTGCATTCCACGCTGGAAATCAAGCCGTGCATTGTGTCAAGGCACTACTCCTGAGCGAAGCACGTCAGAGCTTTGCGAGCTCCCAGTGGACTGGCGAAGGCCTGATGGTCTGCGCGTGTGTTTTCGTGTATCGGTACATTCCTCTCAGCCTCGTTGCGAGCAGAGCAGGCTGGTGGACAAGACTGACACATCCTTTGGTGTGATGGCCTCGCGGCTGCATGTGCGTTGCCTTGGCAAACAGATGCAGCATCAACCCGCACCTGAGGTAGAAATGAGCACCTGAGCAGAAACAAGACCGAGTGGGGCGATTATGATCGAGGATCGACGTCGCCCGAGCTCCAGGGCCAGCAGGGCTTCTGTAAAGCATGGTGGCAGCACCTCGTCCTGCAGTCAGCTTTGATGAGTTGCTCGCCAAGCCCACACATGTCACCTGAGGGGGACAACTGAGGTTTGCACGCACAGAGTGAGCTGCTTGCATAGAGTTGAATTACAGCTCCTGCGAATGAAGTCTCCAGAGGTTCGCGACAGCACCATTCTTAAGCTCATCACATGTCGGGGGAGGTGCACAGAACTGCCAAAGCTGTGCAAGCACCGCCTCCGAGTGGTTCTGACGTCAGACTTGCATCTTCATCGCTACAGGTTTTCTAACTCTACGCTACGGGAGCATGGGAGTATGGTGACAGGGTTGCTTCGCGTGGAATGGCCTCTGGAAGACGTCATTCCTTTGCATTCGTATTGCCGGCACACGGGCAAGTCGTTTGTGGAGGGATCGTTTGCGGAGCGGGTCTTTTGCAACTTTTGTCGGCCTTTCAGGCCACGACGATAAACAGTTCAGGGCGGTCAGCCAGCGGCGGTAAGACGCCTTGAATCCATTGCATGCCTGGATTTGCCGAGGGTCCAGGTCTCCAAGGATGCTTGTCCAGTCAAGATCCAATGACAAGACGCTGGATACCTGGACGCTTGAAGCTTTATGTGGTCCTGTCATGGGCCATTGTACAGTACAGCAATCCGTTTTGCATGTAAGCGGCGCTGACGCTCTCTGAACAAATCACGAGGGGTTCGACGCGTGTCTCACATGTTGACGTCTTGCAGTCTTGCAGCTTGCGGCCCGTTCAATCCGTGGAGGCTGTCACCGAGGGCAAGTGGAAGCCGGCCCCGGGCAAGCTCTGCCCTTAGCGTCTCTGGCAGGCCCTTGGAGCCATGAGACTTTGCAATCCTGCATGTCGCTCTGTTTGAATAGGTACGATCCACAGAAGCCTGAGAAGCACGTTGACTGTCGCGAGCCGAGCAGCATCTAGCAGCAGTTTAGGCGGTGCGAGATGTGCAAAGTGCATGAGTTCGGCGCAGCGATACAGTACCTCTTTTTAGGTCTGCAGATGGCTCCCGAGAACAAGGAGCTGGAGACTAAGATTACTCATTTCCCATGCTTGAGCCTGCGCAGTACCGGGTATGCCGAGGCAAGGGAAGTCTTCCAAGAAGGCCGGGCCGTCAGCTGCCCTGTTGCAGGGCCTAGGCCCTAGGCCCTCTAGGCCTAGGAGGTTGCGACTTCAGTCCCAGTCTCTGACTTTTTCGCCTTTCCTATCGCAGGAAAGCCTGCATGTCGCCGGATTTACATGCACAGCAGAGCTTGCCTTGCCAGGGCACCCCCCTCGGACCAGGGTACTACACCCCCAACTTCGACGTAATGGAGGCTCCGCGCGAAGATTTGTTCCTGAGCGGCTTGCAGATGCACCTTGTCAGAGCACACAAGCTCTTGAATGTTAACCTATTCGTGCTGGATCAGGTCTTTCAAGTGTTCTGCTCTAGAGTGATTTGAACATGACTGTGATCTGATGGCGGGCAGAAGCGGATGCCGGCATACGCCGTTCCGAAACAGGCGCGTGCAGGGCTTCAAACTATGCCAATACTGCTACTTGTAGTTCAAAGCCGTTTTTGCGCATGGCTCTGTACCCTCACTTTGGCGCCTGTCGTGGGTTTGTGCGCATTCGCCCAGCTCCGATCCGAGACGGGCTCGTCCCTTGAGTGTCGATGCAGGATGCGCGAGGCCCCTCCACTGGAAAGGACAAGGACGTTGACATGGTCAAAGTTGATGTAGCATGTTCGTCGATGTTTCTGCTGGTTGCGACTGGTGCACCAGTGAATTAGTCCACGGGGTAGAAGCAATTCTCGAAGGTGTGCTGCAGACTGTCATCGCACCAGCGCAGCTCTGGGAAGGTGAGGGAGTGAATTGGTAGTCCGGGACACTTTGGATGAAGCCATGACTATGATGCAGCCTGCAACAAGTTAATCTGGTCGCACATAGTAGCTGACATTGGCCATATTTCTTTCCGGTCTGAACTGTAGTCAATCCCTGTACGCAATTACACTGAATTCACCATCCTGCCGCAATGTCTGCGACGCCACTCTCCAATGTGTCAGCGAGGACCCTAGCATCATGGTCTTTGCACGCCACACAACGTCACAGCTGACCACTTCTGCTCGAATGTGCCAAACTCCCAGTGGATACCTCTGTGCCCAAGGCATCCCGGGCGATGGTAGCTGCGGCTGCCCTGGGTGGCTTCCTCGCCTGCGAGGTATAATCGGCTACCCTGCACGTCCGTGCATCGGTTCATTTTCAGAACTTCTCGAGACACATTTCTGGTCAGGCTCTGCACCGGTGGCGAAGCAGAGGACAAGAAGGGGCAAAGCCCCCGAGGAGTCCGGACGAGGAGGGGTCGGAAGGCCCCAGAAGTTGGAAAGGTGGGATTTCTTCTCTGTCGTGAGGACTCCCCTTCTGTGGAGGCATCTGTGCCCGAAGTAAGCGAGCTACCAGGTCACGAAGCTGTGCTGGGGATTGCCACTGTGTGCGCGGCGTAGCAGACTGCTTTGTGACAGCTTTGCTTGCATCCTCCTTCCTGTGCTATCGGGTCATCTGTGCAGTTGCAGCTCCCCAGAGCAGCCACAGCGAAGAAAGCCATGTTGAAGTCGCTCCAGACAGAGACGAGGCTGACAGTTTGCAGCCGGTCCAGGAAGTCCCATGGCCAGTGCAGATACAAAGCTGCCGGTGTCGATCATGGCTTCTGAACAGCCATGGCGACTCGTGGTCCCACTGCTCTCCCTGTGCTTGCCAGGCTCGGGCAGCCGAAGCACCTCAAGCAGAGACTGAACTTCCCGAACGGACGTCCCTAGGCCTAATCTCAGCAAAGAGTCAGAGCTTCGGACTGTTTGATTCTCCCTGCGCTGCTTTGCTGTGCGTTTCTGGACTCAGGTTTGGTTTGAGGACTCTGCTGGAGGCGCTACAGGCATAGCCAGCACAGCCGCGTGCATCCCGCTTGCTTGGAGTTGATTTGGATGCTGAGAGCCCAGCAACTGTCCCGGTGAGTTTCCAGCCGAGTTTCGGCCTTGGCAGTTTTTTTGCACACGACGACACGTGGCAAACGTACTCCTGCGGCTTGGCGCACAGCTAAGAGCCCTGATAATCACCGAAAACGGAGGCCTAGTCGTGCCCAGTCGCGGTCTGCACCCAGCACCTCATTCACAGAATGCACACCGTATGTGTGTGTGTGTGTGTGTGTCGTCATGCAGCGCACACAGCACCCACAGCATGCCACAGTGCAAACCACCAAGAGCAACAACCCTCCACGAGCAATCGACATGTTCAAGAGTACCCCAAAGTTTGGGTACTTGTAGCAATGCGCAGAAGCCATGATGCGGCCTCCTGTTCAGGCAGAATCCAGCATTTGACATTGACCATGTGTGGCGAGTTCTGTGGCTCCTATACCCGCAAGTCCCCTGCCACCTGCAGAAACCTTTGTGAGGTGAGGCCACTCCGGCGGTCAAGTGCGCCAAGGCCAGAGGCCTTGAACTGTTAACTCTGTAGAAGATTTGGGGCTTCGCATCTGCTCGCCTGACAAGTGGCCGAGGACTGGCTCAGGCCACGGGTCGCAGACTGCAAGGACGGAAGATTCGTAGACACTGGATAGGCATAGACTAGATTCAGATAGACCGTTTGTCTCTCTATATTTGTTTTAAACATATAACCGATTCCGTGACTACCTCTTCCGTAGTTGGGTTTTACATTTTTATGGGTGCTTAAGCCCAATAAGGAATAACAATGTACATTTCAAACCTATCCCAACGAACCTATATACACAAAAGTATCTTTGAGAGTTCCAACCTTTCAGAGCTTCTACGTTACAGACACAGCTTTCGCCATGTCTGGCCCGAGGTCACATGAGTGAAACTCGAGTAACACTTTAAGATACTGTATCGACGATACCTATATATATATATATATATATATATTATATTATATATATATATATATATATATATATATATTATATATACATACATACATACATACATACATACATACACACACACACACACTGTCTGCGAGAAAGAGAAAGAGGGAGGGAGAGGGAGGGAGAGAGAGAGAGAGAGAGAGAGAGAGAGAGAGAGAGCGAGGCCTTATGCCCGGCAGAAAGGAAGAAAGGGAGAGAGAGAGAGACAATTCAGGGCTGAAGTCCGGCAAGGAACGATCGTCAGCCGAAGGTTCCCAGCAGGTGCTGCCCAGTAGCATGTCCATTCCGCGTGGACTCGTTTTGATGCATTCGGTCCTGGCAGGCCGTCCTCTGTCGCTAGCGCCAGGAGGCCTTCGACTCCGAGGTTTGAGTTTCCGCCTGAGGTAGCAGAGGTGTAGAAGTCTTGGTCGTGGCTCTAGATCTGAATGAGAGTTTCAAGTTCAGGCTCCCGCGCCCAGCATGCCCAGCCGACAGGCAAGGTCGGCCTATGACAGCTCGCCATTTTCGTAGTGGGGCGTTCCGAGCATTGGAGGCCCCCAGGCAGCCGAGCAGGCAGCAATCCGAGCCGGGAGCCTACAACCACCGCCGCTGCTTCTGAGAAGCAGATCAAATTGGAAGGTGTTACCAATGAGGCTTCTGTTTTTTGCATTCTTCTGCCACTTTCAGCTTTCGGTCCCGAGTAAGTGTGGCTGAGCGGAGCTTGACGACTGAATAGAGCAAGCTGGCCCCTCGAATCACCAGTCATCTGCCCATCTTTCAGGCAGCGCGTGCGTGCCGGAGCCGGCACCAAAGCGGGACGAGCCCGCCAAAGTGATTGCTGGCTGCTGAGAGGTTCTGGTCGGGTGGCATGCATGTTGTTGATCACGAGTGACACTTGTGTCCGTGCATCACGAACTATGAATTAATTGTATTGCTAGTTACTGTCTAAGGAACGCGCTGTGACGGTCTGTGTACGAGTCCAGAACTTGGGAGTTGTTGGCCTTCGTCTGGGAGCCTTGGGACGAACTCGATTTGGCGAGGTAAGGCCCATGGCGGACTCAGAAATTGCCGATGGACAGATGCAGGCACTTCAGTTGACCTATTCCTGCCGTCGATCTTGCACAACAATCCATATAGCCTTCAGTCGAACACCGCAGAGCTGATCTCGGACAGGTTGTTGCGTGCGACCTGGATGCCCCTGGCAAAATTCACCTTACGAGGCAAAGAGCGGTGTGCTGAATACATTGGCTAGGCAGCTGTGATCCCGGTGATACGGTTGGACTCGAAGGCTACCTGTCCGAAACATACCACAGCAATTGCATGATCAGCCAGGCCGAACATTGTAAGTTGTTTCGCGAACCGATTTGCTGCCTTCGACTTCTGACTTGTGTGCTCAATTGCATCCGCACAAATCCACGAACCGCCCTCCGTCTGATGCACATTTTTTCAAACGATGTGAGCATCAGCAGAGGCTCTGCAGAATTTTCTCTCACAACGTCGACTGCTCTCTAGCGAACTGCTACTGCTCCTGCTCCGGATCAACGCCATCCAAGTTACGGAGCTGTCATGCAATCTCCTGGAAGGCCATCGGGCGGAGCTGTAGAGCCAAACAGGACATCATCGCAAAGGGGCTTTTTTTGGAGGAGTTTTTCGAAGCGGTAAAAGAGAGAGTAAGGCTCTGGCTTCTCAAATTTCCAGGGCGGCGCAATGTGATTTGGGGCCTTCCACCGGCAGGAAGCAGGAGACCTTTGTTTTCGATACCGTCTTGCCGGGCAGTGTCAGTGCCCAAGACTTCAAGCCTTCAAGCGGCTTTGGCCGGTGCCAGCATCTGCTCGCATCTGCTGCACCGCTCAGTCCCTGGCTCTTGTACCGAGGCCGGTCAAGCGGCAGTCTACAACTTGATAGGCACTCTGGTCGGCAGCCACCATCCAAGTGGAAAGCAGCGCTGTGCAGGAAGTCCACTGGTGGCATCCCTTGCTGCTGGGCCCCCACCTCAGCAAAGAGATCAAGAAGCTGCTCGACACAATGTGGAAAGCCAAAGGTACCATAGTTGCATCATGGCCTTCGGAGCGACGGGCTGTGGCAAAAGCCACACAATCTTTGGTGGCCCTGGGGAGGTTTTCCTGCGTTTATAGCTGAAATCTCAGAAGTCGGACAGTTGCGTTTCAGGCGCGGGGCCTTCTACCGCGGCTGTCGGAGAAGCTCTTTGCAGCCATGGATGCAGCCGCCCTGCTTAGACTTAGACGGCTGTCATTGTTTTGGGTGTGACAGTGAGAGTGCTGTAGCACTCGGGGAATGCCGATGCTGCCGCGAAGATCCCAGCACCAGAAGCGAGGTGGACGGCAAGACTATCGCCACGCTATCTTACTTGGAGCTCTACAATGACAAGGCCGCGAGCACAGCAGCGGCAATGCCATTGGCTGCCGGACGGTACGTTTCATGTTCGCACCTTCCGAGCTGCCAAGTAAAAGGCCGAAGCATCGGCTGCAGCATACCTCACGATTCTGTTTTCGACATGGCCGGCACACCTCGAGATCTTCTCCCTGTGCGATGCTACATGTTGCCTCCTCTCCAGGTCAGGGACTTGCTACATCCTGAACCAGGCGAACAACATGAGGCAAGCGGTCTGAGTGTGTGTGTGTATATATATATATATATAGCTCGCCCCCCCCCCCCAAGATCCCCGCCATCGTGGTTCTTGGGGCATGGGGCGCACGAAACACTGCTATGCTCAAAAAATTCCAAAATTTCCAACCCCAGAACTCACGAAACACTGCAACGCTCAAAAAATTCCAAAATTCTGGCATCTATGGCCAGGACGGGGGCAAATTCCTTAAAACTTTGGAATTTTTTGAGCATTACAGTGTTTTGTGAGTTTTAAACAACGAAACACTGCTATGCTCAAAAAATTCCAAAATTTCCAACCCTGAAACGCACGAAACACTGTAATGCTCAAAAAATTCAAAAAATTCCAAAATTCTGGCATCTATGGCCAGGACGGGGGCAAACTCCTTAAAACTTTGGAATTTTTTGAGCATAGCAGAGTTTCGTGAGCTTTGAGGCAATGAAAAGTGTATTTTTCTGAGCATTACAGTGTTGTGTGAGTTTTAAACCACGAAACACTGCTATGCTCAAAAAAAGTGAGCCTTGAGGCTGTGAAAAGCTGATTTTTTTGAGCATTACAGTGTTTTGTGACTTTCTAACAGCGAAACACTGTAATGCTCAAACAAAAATCAACTTTTTCAAGCCTTGAAACGCACGAAACACTGCTATGCTCAAAAAATTCCAAGGTTTTAAGGAATTTGCACACGGCCTGGCCATAGGTGCCAGAATTTTGGAATTTTTTGAAATTTTTTGAGCATTACAGTGTTTCGTGAGTTTCAGGGTTGGAAATTTTGAATTTTTTTGAGCATAGCAGTGTTTCGTGGTTTGAAACTCCCAAAACACTGTTATGCTCAAAAAAACAATTTTTCACAGACTCAAGGCTCACTTTGTTTGAGCATAGCAGTGTTTCGTGGTCAAAAACTCACAAAACACTGTAATGCTCAAAAAAATCCACTTTTCACAGCCTGAAAGCTTACTTTTTTTGGGCATAGCAGTGTTTCGTGGTTTAAAACTCACAAAACACTGTAATGCTCAAAAAAATCAGCTTTTCACAGCCTCAAGGCTCACTTTTTTTTGAGCATAGCAGTGTTTCGTGGCTTAAAACTCAAAAAACACAGTAATGCTCAACAAAAAAATACACTTTTTACAGCCTCCAAGCTCACGAAACACTGCTATGCTCAAAAATTTCCAAAGTTTTGAGGAGTTTGCCCCCCGTCCTGGCCATAGATGCCAGAATTTTGGAATTTTTTGAATTTTTTGAGCATGACAGTGTTTCGTGACTTTTAGGGGTGGAAATTTTGGATTTTTTTGAGCATTACAGTGTTTTCTGATGTCCAAGACAGGATATACTGATATACCGTATCACAAGATAATTGTGTGCTTACAACCGTTGTCAGGGACTGGAAGTACTATTTTATATGTCTTCTGGAACAGCAAAGGTTTTCATTACTCTGGTTTGATAAGTATGAACAAGGCCAGCCTAGTCGTTACATAGTTTATTTCATGTATGTTTTCGGAGGTTGGTAGATCTATGGCGGCAGCGGCACTGGCTCTAGTACCTGAGCTTTCTCGAAAATGGCTTTGGCCCTTCTTCGGCGAGCTTCACCGCCTACAAATCCAACACTGTAATAATCGCAAGCCTATCCAGAACTTATTTCATTTCATATTGAAGACTGTAGGAAACGGTTTGCATTTTGCTATCATCAGAAACAATGAAGACTTCCTATTCAGTTTCCTAGGATACATGAGTTTTCATTCAGTTAACTCTTATTGATGCTGTTCTCTACCCCGGAGAAGAGTCGTAATTAGTCTTGCTTCATGTTTAGAAGGTTGCAAGAGCTCTCTTACTTCTTGCTGCAGACGAGCCTTCTTGTGCGCCCTCATATGCACATGAACTTTTCAACTCCAGGGGAGCTTTCCCATTTCTTATGAAGCAAAGAACAACTATTGGAGCATTGCTTCAAAAATAAACGCGCCCGTATATTCGACTTCCTTTATGTATAATGGATAGGACCTGTAAGGAGCTCTTCGTATTTCGTAACTCTTAAATCAAATGCTAGAGCGGTTAGGCCGCATCAGAATCGGACGCTTCACGAGCAGCGGGAAGGAGATGGCCCACGCACGCAGACGTCTTCGTAAGAGAGACAAGAGTATTTTTATTATTAGAGGAATGTTGATAAATAACACACCATAAAATGCAAAAAAACACGAGGTTTTTTAGTATTACATGAACAAAATTAGCACGCTCTCCAGCATTTCAGCTTCTCCAACACATAAACTACCATACATCCGCGGCCGAGATTCGGCGCCAGATTTTTACACATATCAAAGCCGCGCCTTGCAGCAGCACGGTTTGCATGCACATGAGGTAAAGCACGATTGTATATCGGTATTTACGGTGTTTTCGGTATATATGAGTTGTCGACCAATGTAGAGAAACAACCTGTGGAATAGCATGGAAGAGGCGGGTGTGGATCTTGGGGGGGGGGGTGACCATATATATATATATATATATATATATATATATATATGTACGTGTTGCGTTGCCCTGGCAAACCTGAGCGAGCAAGCAAGCGTGCTAGAGCTTCACTCAATCACATGCATCTGAAGGCAAACGCTGCGCTGGAGGTGTGCGAGCATCCGAAGGCTCTCGGGGCTTTGCTTGAGGCGAGGTTCTTTGCTCAGCACGGTCGTTGGTCCAGTCTGCAGGCTGGTGTCTTCGTCACAGGCCTCACCCGCAGCGTGGTGTCTGATGCAGTCGCTGCCCAAGAGCTCCCGTCCTCGCTGGATATGGTATCTCGTTTGATTGGAGCACGGCAGGAGGATGTCCTCAGACTCATCGACTATGGACACAAGATCCGAGTCGGCCGCCTATCTGTTTCTGTTTGAGTAAAACGCTGCAGTGCTGCGTAATTCGAGCGGCCGTTGGTGGACAGGTCCTTGCGTCAGCTCAGAGAAGTTCTCCATCCTCCCGGTCCACCGCAATTGCGGTGTTGCACCTGGAGCAGGTGAGGGTGAGGCTTTTCATGCACAGGCAGCCGATGCCCCGCTAGGTTCTACATGCTTCATAACCGCAGTCGGTCTAGGCTGATATGTTCCTAGCATTGAATCGAAAGCTCAATAACTTCAGCCCTTGCTGAAGCGAGCAAGGCATCTTTGCAGCCTCCAGCCGTGGGACGTTTCTGGTCCAGGTGCTGGCAGGAAGCAGCGGGACCTGGCCAGAGCAGAAGTGGCGACATGCGAAACTGCAGGCATCAGCTGCAGCTTGACATGCAGTGAGCTGCAGACTTGATGCGGCAGTGAGCCCTCGTTGCAGGTCGTTGACTTAGCTGGGGCAGAGCACCTCCATGCAGGACAGCGGAGAGTGAGCTTGCCTTCAACTTCACATCAATGTCATCTCAGGAGTTCTGTACCCCTTCGTTGGGTATCTTTGATTTCTTACTTGTCCTAAGGCTTACAAAGGAATCACTTCAGACAAGCGACACAGCCCCTATCTTTCTTCAAAGAGCATGGCAGCCAAAACCCAGGCCGAGCAAGAAACAGCTCCAAAGCATTGGGTGCCCTGCACTTTCTTGGCTGCTTAGCTAGGAGGAATCTTTATCCCTTGAGTTATCTGGCGGACGTAGCACCGACATCCCTCACCCAATCCATTCTTGCACAGTGATTTCGCTATTTGACTTTCAGAACTCAGAACGGTTAACAACGATGTTTGGAACACTGGACGTGCGTGAAAGCTGGGAGGATGGGAAGTGGTTAGACACGGAGAAATGAGATTGTCTCGGACTGGGCATAAGCGAGTCACCTTTTGCATAGTGTGTCTTGCATGGCTGAGAGCTGTGCTCTGAACTTGTGGGTGGCACGAGCTTTTAGAAGCGACCTGCTGAAAAAGGATAACAATATTGCCAACGTCTGGAGTCGAAGTTCCAGTAACTTTCAAGGTACCCATAAGCTGCCCTCGAAGTGACAGGAGAAGTGCCTCGACAGCGGGGATCCGTTCCGAGTGTTGGCAGCAGTGGCCTTTCTGCGCCGCCGCCTGAGCTTCAAATGCTGATTGATGATTGGGAAGATCAAGTTTAAGAACTCGCGCAATATTTGTTTACGATTGCCCAATAAGTACGGTACGAAGCCACCAAAATCCTGAATGGCTTGGGCTGTTGGGAGGAGCGAATGATTCGGGCGTTTCGCAAGCGTGACAGAACTCTGAAGCCTGTTCGGTAGCTAATCTGTACTCCAAGCCGGTTGCAGCCAATTTACTGTAAGCAGGTGCAAGAACATCATGAGCAAACGCAAATCTGCGCTCTGCCTACATTATACAACCGTGTTTAATGTGGCTCTCAGTACAGTTCGTCCGTCTTGGCATATCGTCCGTTCGTGCACGTCTTTTCGCATGCCTGTATGCCTGCGTACATACAGGTTACGTTTACATGTGTATATGCATGTCGACACCAACATATACCTATATTGCGATGTTGTGCACCTTTTGTTGTGTTGGCTTCTCGCTGTTCCCGTTAATCTACATGTGCATTGCTTGGTCTGTCAACGCTTGCTATGTTCTCAAGCTCTCCTTCAAGTCTGACATGGCTAGCCTCACATCTCAGGATGGCCGAGATGGTTGCAGCACTTGTCAAAGGCACACAAGGCAACAGTGCAAAGCCACTAGCCGCTTGACATACTGCCAGTGAGATTGCTTTCCACCTGCATGTTCGGGTGTTCCCAGAAGACTGCGATCATCCTAAGCAGGAGAAAGCAGCAGTCGGTACCAATCACCCTATCGAGACAGAGACTTGCCAGCATGTAACTTCCGGTACATCTTGCGATTCAGGCCGTCACCAGTTTCAAGCGAAGCTCCCCGAGGCAAACTCAGCTTGCTGCTCGCAGAAGCCTTGATGGGGCCGTTGCCTGAAACGACGGAGCGGACGCAGTGCTTCTAGTGCTTCTGCTCTGCAGAGTGGAATTCACATCTCCGCCTCCGCCACTCGAGGGGGCGATTTCCTGCAAGTATGATCATCTCGGGAGAACTTTCATAAGAAGTGCTTCTGGACTCGGTTGAGGAACTGCCGCACGGCTGTCGTCACCTGTGTTTCGTCCCATTCTCAGAAATGGTCAGACTCGACACGCCAGATCTGCGGCCCTTTGCCTCTCATGGTGCGATCTTGATCTGGTGCTACGAAGGCCTGCCTCCCGGCGAGCGGACCTGACAAGTTCCTCTTTGCGGTTTGGGGAGTCGGCCAGAGACCGAGCAGCAAGAGTTCAACAGTAGTTCGTCCTAGAGTCCTAGTCATGGTTTCTTGCTGAGGGCTGCGTCTGATCCTCGCACGACATGCATTCCGCGTGGCCGGACAGGTGCAGAAACTGCACACGCGATCCACCCGCAACGAGGAAGCCCATGGAGATTTGGTCAGCACCTCGGTTCTTGACTGCATGCTCCCACTTCCACTGACACCCGGCCGTTGCCGGTGTTTCCTCAAAAGGTTCAGACGCTGCGTGGTGAAATCCACCTGCTGCGGCAAAGGCAGTTGAGAAGCCTCGCTGTCATAGTTTGAGCTTGCTGGATGGTGCACAGATTTTTGAAGGCTAGACCGGTGCAGCCCAGCCGAGATCAGGCTTGAGAGAAGTCACAAGACCCGGTGCACTCATCGGACAGCCCACCTCGATGCTAGGGGCTTGGAAGAGCAGCTGCAAGCAGCACAGTACCTCGAGGTGGGATCCAAAGTCTGGCTTTAGGATGCTTCAGGTGGGTTATTACAACTGCGCAGCTTTGGTCAGGAAGAATATTCAGCCTCCCACGAAGAGCTGCAGGCCTGAATCGGTCCTGTGTGTTGCTGACCCCGTACACTGATTTTCCGTCAGTTCATACACATGCAAGTACTTGTAATATACGTACAAAAAATGTAATCCTGACTTCATTTTCCTGATAATTGGTTGGACGCTTCTTTGGCCCATGCGTCACAGGAGGTTTGCTGCATGCTTGTGAACGACGTCGGAAGAAACGGTACTTAATCACCATATCCACCGGCTGCGCCTGCCGGCGCAGCAATGACCCTCATTTGTTTTTGGCTTTCTGGTTATACCTCGCCATCAACTCACCTTGACTCGCAGGGTTAGTAGACCGTAGGCCACACCGCACGTTATGTGCTTGGCCAGGAGAGGAGTGCCACGGCAGAGCAGCAACGCCTTTGCCTGTATTGTAGCATGTGAAGTGATGATCCGCTCAGCGCTCAGGCTTCGCCCTCTTTTGAAAGAGCTGAGGTCAGCGGAGCTTGCGAAGGCTCGGGCTTCGAGTGGGTGAGCCGTGGGAGCAGAAGGCCAGCGGCCAGCACTAGCACTCCAAAGCTCGCCGCCTTAAACGCAAAGCTGCCGTGCCCCAACGAAGGTCAGCGATGGCCGCATCTACGTGGTGAGCGTCTCCAAAGATCCCCTCCTGTCCGGCTGCCTCACCTGGACGCTCCTTCCAGGGGACCGGATCCCGGCTGTGACAGTGAACCCGTCGTTCGGATGTGGGATGCGGGATGTGGGGCTCCTGAGATCCTCGCAAGGAGCAGTTGCACATTGGCAGCAATCCGGGCTGCGAGATTTGTGTGGACGGACTGGGAGTTCAACCAGAGGTCTGCTCTTTGCGATGTGCCGGCCTCGATCGAGTTGATGCGCGCACTTATTCGGGATCCGATCACCATTCGGAGGAGCTCACTGGTAACTCTAAACTGCATCATGCGTGCGGCATGTCCGTGTCATCGCGGGAGCCAACCTCTGTCGTGACTTTGCTATGCCGATCGGACCTAGGACCTATGTTACATTGGTTAGTGGACTTGCGCAAGGTGTGCAGGCCAGTCGACTCGAAGCGCGGACCTTGGTCGCTGAGAGCTCTGGTTGCCTTTCCCTGAGAGGAGAGAGAGAAGGCCGAGAGCCGTAGCATGAGCTTTCCGAATGTCCGCGACACCTCATGTCGAGGGAGGTTGGCAGCACAGTTGTAGCCTCAGGGCAGGCAGATCATACTGAACATAGAAGCGACTCAACATTGGGTGCTGTCAATGTTTATTGTGAGTGTTGTGCAGTGATTACGGGACCGGGAACCAAGCCTTGTTTGCACAAGAAAAGGGGGCCTCAGGGGGAAGCACTAGATGTGATGACCGCGGCCGCTGGCTGGATCGAATGGCTCTTTGTCTGTGATGAAGAAGAGAGAGGGTACAGAGAGAGAGAGAGAGAGAGAGAGAGAGAGAGAGAGAAAACAACAAAGACAGAGCAAGCAGGGTGGTGCATGATAATGTGCATTAAGAGGCGCAAAACAAGGTAGGACTGGCAGGCTAAGGGCAGAGCTCTGGACCAGAAGGAAGAAAGGAAACCAGACAGCTCAGCAGGCAGGCAGACATAGGTTGGCAGATGCCCGGGAATGGCTTTGCCTTCATCGGTTGAGTTGGCTTGTCAGCACGCGGTATGAGGTTGTTCCGCAGCTCGTGGGCCACACGGCGAAGAAGTGCCAGGCAGATAGTGAGACATATGACGGGGCTTTGCATGTTGGATATGTTGGATCGCGTCTTAACTGAGGATGGCCTGATTGCGAGGAGAAGGACAGGCTGACCTGAGCTGCACGGTAGCCTTGAAGAGAAGGCCTCACATGTCTAGCCCGTGCTGCGGCTTGGGAAGTGTCAGGGCGGAATGGTGGAATAGGTGGACCGACAGTCTGGCACTTGAAATACATCGCTGAGTATCCGTAGTACCATCGTCCCGTAGCACAGTACTGCATGGCTAGATTTGTGGACTCGTTGCCCCGTAGCACGAGTTGGCGCCTGGTCTCGCGAGGTGGCAAGGTATACTGATAGTAATGATGCATGTGCAGACAAGAGATTGCTGCAAAGAGCACAGATACTAGCAAGTACTAGTAGATAACGATGCCATGACTTGCTCCGAGTCCTGCCGAATCTCAAGGAGCCTCTTCAAGCATGCAGGCCCGCTGTTGGTCAACGGCCAGACACTGGAGGCAACGCTGCTTTGCCCATGCTCCTGGTTCTTGAAGTGGATGTGGGACGGCGCGGCTGCAGTGCAGGCAGACAAAGCATCGTCAAAACGATGTGTAAACAGAAGCTGCAAGAACGGAGCAGGGTTCCTACAGCAACGAAGATGCCCAAAGGTACGGCACTTGAGCTGCGAAACGGCGAAGAAGTTTTCTCAACGAAGCGAAGCATTCATGCATGTCTGCATTTGCAGTTGGTTTATGTTGTGCGTTTTGCAGAAGGCTGCTCGTCGTCTGATGCAGGCTACACTGGCGCTTCGAAGTGGGGATGTTCTGCGAGCTGAAAGCTCAGCATGGTAGCATTCAGCAGTGTTCCCCTCGCAGCCGTATGCAAGTATTCTCTGCCAGCTTTGGCAGAAGCACAACTCATTGTGTGCATTCGCACGCTCCTGCACATGCTTATAATATGGCATGCAGCATGCTCGGAATTTCCCATACCTTTCTCGCATGCAGCCCGGGATCGACTAAGTCATGAGGTTGGATGGGCACACTTCTTCAGAGTTCTCATCCCGGCCGCCCTGCACTGAGCTGTGACTCGCTTTTTCCGAGGGTGCCTACAGCGGTTTTTGCAAAGCAAAAAGCAAAACCCAGCCGAGTGCGCCTCGGAGAACGACCGGCGACTGGGACCACGCCCAGAGGCTCTGGGCCCCCCCCCCGCCGGGCCCAGAGAGCGACTCGACTCGATGCCTCCTTGTCAGAGGACACCCTCGCCATCGAGACGACCTATGGCTTGACATTCCCCAAGGCTGGCGTTGATCTAGTCCAAGACTGATCTCCCACGAACTGCTTTACATCAGGACGCCGAGCAGCTTAAAGAGCGCTTGGGCGCAGACCGAGCTGCACAGGCAGTCGAGAACTGGATGCGGAAAGAGCTCTGGCATGGCTTCGTGGAGGTCCTTGGCGGCTTGAAGGACTTGAAGCTTGCTGTGGATGAGGCTCTCGGCATCTCAGTCAGGACGTGCCGGTGGCATGGCATGGTAGGCTTCCCTCTTCCGCCAGGCAAACGAGCTCACGAAGGAACTCAGAGGGGACAGTCAGGAGTTTTCCTTCAAGGCCAGCTGGTGACGCGGTGCAGTGTCATGCGGGTGCATTCCTTCAGTGGGCTGATCGTGATCGTCGAATCGCTTCGAGTGAGGAGAGAAGAGTGTAGAGTGTAGATTGCCTGGAGATGTGACACACTGCGGATGCTCTCTGCCTCCGTGCGCAGGGGCATCGTTTGATGGATCCCCTGAACAGCTCAGAGGCCTCACGAGTTCCAGGGCTCGTCCTCTGCAAGTTTCTCGTTGTGGTTGCCAGCTAGATTTCAGGGTTTGCTTTCAAAGCAGGCGACCACGCTGGTCGTCTCTCTTCTGTGCCAGCGCCGACCGCCAGGTGCGATGGGTATCAGCCAAATGTCCACCTTGCCGTGAAGAGAAGAACACAAAACACGATGATAGCTTGAAAGCCATGAGAGGCCATCAACACTTCGACGAAGACAACAGTGGCTGCAAAGGGGAAGAAAGGCAAGTCGCAAGAAAAGCCGTGTCTTCGGAGACATTTCATCTCTTGGCCTCTGGCACTCGCAACTGCGAGGTAGCTGAAGTTGGTGTATGCGTGTGTGCGTGTGCGTGCGGTTTGTCGTCGCCAGCGCTGCCCGTTGATCAGGGCCGAAGTGGTTGCAACTTGGACTTTGCCAGACTTTCAGCAGCGACTGGAGGCAGGCTTCATTGCTCCAGGTGTTTCGGAACAAGCTGTCACAACTGGACCAACGCAACCTGGTGCGTTGCTGACTGGGAGCAGGTCATGAGAGAAATTTACGACGAGGCCATTCTTCAGTCTATCTGTGAAGACCTTCCGCAGTGCAAAGTCACTAAAGTATGTCGGAACTCACATGTAGCTGCAGCTGCTGAAGCAGATATATAAGCTTCTGCCACACCTTCGATGATTGCTTTTCAGTTGGATAACAGCCGTGGATAAGCTAGGGACGTCGGACAGGTGATTTGCGAACTTGACGTAATTACCCATGTTCTGGTGCCATGGTGTGAGAGTTTGGTCTCTCGCCAGGTTGCGCTACGTGACCAGCCGTGGGGAGAAGTGGGCGACCTGGACCCCTGGCAGGCGCATTCAAGGCGAGGGAAGCGGCCAAACAAGGATGCAGCATCTGACAGGCGCAGAGCTCCATCCCGGTCCTAAAGGCCACGCCAGGCGAGCACAGAGACGCTCTCCACGGCAACTCAAGCAGCTTGCATCTTGCTGTGGCAGGGCCTTGGCACGAACCTGCGCACGGCACACAGGAGGTGGGGGACGGGGCTTTGAACGACTGTCGCACAGACTCATCTTCTCTGTTCTGAAGGCTACATCCCTTCCTATGTGGTGCAAGCCTAAGACTGCCCTTGTGGCTTGATGGCTGGGAGCTTCGATGCTCAAGGAAGCAGCTTTCCTCGGCCACATCAGCGAGCACTGGTCCCGAACGGCACGTTTTTTTGGCAAGCGGCTTGCGATTTCTGGCTTTTAAGCTGATGCCGAGTCAGAAGAAGACAGAAGCGGTAGTATCTGTCCAGCTGGGCCACATAAATATGGAGCTCTTCCAGTCTCGATGCAGTTTGGTCCGTTTGGTGTCACTGTCGCCGTGGATGCAGAAGGTCGACAGGCCGAGAAACCTCAGAGGATGACTTTCCAAAGTGGCCAAACAATCGGGTGAAAGAAATTCAAAGCAGCCAACTGCCAGAGGTTATCTTTTCAGAGCTCACTACTTACTAAAACGTAAGAAACATCTTCACCCTCAACCTTAGTGACCATCAGGAGGATCCGCTGAGCGTGCCTTCTCGGTTTCAGCTTCTTGAAGAGACTCCCAAGACAAAATGCTGGTCTTCAACTCGAGTCTCGAGTCAGGCGAATGCAGCATGGAGATGGGAACATGCAGGAACGCAACTTTCGGATGACCAGGCGCCCTCAAGTCGCCAAACGCAAAAGTGCAGCGGCATCCGATTGTACCGAGTGGTGTTGGGATGCGGCAACTGCGGGGTGGCTCAATAGCGCCAGCTTCGCGGCCTTAAGGCCAGCACCACAGTCTCTGTTTTCAGAAAGCCAAGTGAAACTGGAACACTGCCAATCCGTACTTCACAAAGCCCGGAGTACGAAGGGAGCAATACTCAGTTATAAGACTCATATGACTCATTTGTTCGTGCGCACACGAAGTGGCAGCATTCGACAGGCTTTGTGCCGCACTTGTTTCATGGCAGGGGCGGAGACGAGTGAAGAGCGGATGGACATGGCTACTTGGCCGGTGAGAGCTTTCGAAGGTCATGAGTTCTTCTATCTCGTCGAGCTTTCCCGGATCCTCCGTGCGATAGTTGCTGTTCTTCGGTTTGTGAGTCTTCAGCAAGGCAGCGGTGTTACAGCAGCTGCCACAGCTGCATGCAGAGTTGGCGAAGGCCTGGTGGAGAGGAGATTGAGCTTTGGAATGTTCGGAAATAGTTTGTTTCTTCGAGGCTTACGAAATGCAGGACGTCCAGGCCTCTGAGCTAGTCTCGGTGCGCCGCGAGATCGAGGAGCAAAGCATGTTGCCATCCCCTCGTCATGTCCTGCAGAAGGGCGCAGTTGTTTCCAGAAGTGGCTAGATAGAAGAGTCTTGGCGTAGTCTGCCTATGCCAGGACCTCCGCATGAATCTGGCCAGGGCAACCCCGCTGTCCCCCCAGCATGAGACGTCGTGGGCAGCTCCCCTTCAATCTCGTCCGGTCGCGAATGAGTACCAACGGCCATGCCCACATGGTGGAACGGGCGTAACGGCGTAAGGCTTCCGAACGGCAGACTTGTGGACTGAGGTCTCCGGCGCGGAGGCCAGGCGATCCCTCGAGAGGTTCAGGCGCCCATCGCAGCTGGATGCGCGCAACGGCACGAACTCTAAGCTCTTGACCTGCGAGGCACGCTGTCGCCTCTGCGAGGGGGCGAGGAGGCGGAGGCTATGTCCTGGGCAAGCGAGATTCTTCTTTGGGATGCTTTGGGCCAAGTGCAGCAAGTGCAGTGCCACAACAATCGCATCACCCGCTGTTGCTGCCATGCTGGCGGAGTTTGAACCCATTCAGTAGGAAGGCCGCTTGTCATTGGAGATCGAGCTTGCAGACATGCATAACCATCGCTGGACCCGATAGGCTACATCGTTTGCCGATTGATTGTATCGGTACTGAGAATCAAAATCAACCGAGTTTTCTCCCGTTTGGCATGAGCTGTCGGATCTCGTGTGAGACTGTTGTGGGGCCTGTGGATCCGCAGATGCCTCTGCTGTCCAAGTCGAATCTGGTCCCCTCACCCCAGCACTGGACTGAGTATCCTGCTTGGCATGCGGAGATCTTTTCACAGACAGAGCCCAGGGCTCAAAACTGCAGAGCTCGATACGAGGCCTGCGGGCGGCGTTGGGGCTTCAGCTGAAGTGGCGGCTGCTGTCCGCCAAACACCTACCAACCGAGCTTCAACGCGGCCAGGCTGCATCGAAGACCTCTCTGCTGGATGGAAGTTGACTGACCCTAGCCCTAGCCGAAGCAGAAATACAACGTTCGAGCTGACAGAAGCATGTTGTCGTACCCTGCATGACATGTTGGTATAATGGGGTAGCAGCAAGGCCACGGCGCCCTCGGGCACCAGTTGCACCAGTTTGGAGAGGTGCAGAGGCCAAGAGGGGAACTGCGGTGAGATCTTCCCTTCGATGCATACAGAACAAATGCAGTAGGTCCCGGTCACGGTCCCAGCAATGGAAATGAGTTGATCGCCACACCTTAATGAATTGTTTGACGCCAACCTAAGCCCCTAATGTTGAATCTTCATTGCCAGGTCGTACATTTCGGTTCTGGGTTCACAGCCGCAGCCAAGACAAAATCATTGGGGCACTGCCACTGATATTGTTGATACTAGTGGTGGCGGTGGTTGTGGTGGCGGTGGTAGTAGTACCACACACGCTCGTAGGAGGACAGGTGTCTTCATGCGTTTCGGAGCCAGTTTGCACGACAGGAGCGTTTTTTTTTTTTTTTTTTTTTTGGGGGGGGGGGGGGGGGGGGTGGGTGGGTGGGTGGGTGGAGGATAACAACGTTCATGTCACTGCCTTTGGCGATCATGCCCAAAACACTGGTATTTGCAGTATTTTTGCTCTTTGTACAACATACTGCGCAAGGATGTGGAGCAAAGCAAGTTGTCACAAGTCTATGCTTTTGGCGAGCATGCCCAAAACACTGGTATTTACTGCAGCGTTGTTGCCTCCTTGTACAGCATGCTGTGCACGTACTGCTTTCCTTTTTGCGCAAAGCGCCCACAGCAAAAGAAACACACGAAACCTTCAAAAGCTACTTCGTGTTTTCTGACACCCGCAGCTGCCTAATGCGCGATTTTGTCGGCCCTGCCAGCACTTTCGGCGCTTCATGAGCCTAAACGCACCGTGTTTGCACCAGTCCTCCTACGAGCGTTAGTAGTAGTAGTAGTAGTAGTAGTAGTAGTAGTAGTAGTAGTAGTAGTAGTAGTAGTAGTAGTAGTAGTAGTAGTAGTAGTAGTAGTAGTAGTAGAAGTAGAAGTAGAAGTAGAAGTAGTCGTAGTCGGGAATCGAGAACCGGTAATTGTCTTGGTCATCTGGTGGTCAGGGGACTTTTTTGGGGCGTCAACTTGGTAGTCTTGGTCATGTTGACCTTCTGTCCCATTTGCACCAGGGGCAGTCCATATGTTTGCAATGTTTGAAGTGTTTGGGAAGGCCCAAAACGGTCAAACTCGCACGCGCCGCGCGCATCGGTTTAGAGTTTAGGGTTTTAGCGCGCAGGGTAGTAGTGTCAGTCCTTGGGAAAAAGGCATTTTTGGGCAGAGTCCTAGTGCTTTCCTGCTGGTGTCCTGCGGGGTCTCCTAGCTTTCGTGCGCCGGGCGGCCAAATCCGCAAGATTAGTTCTACTTCGTGTTTGAGGAGGCTTGCAAGCCAAACGTAGGCCCGGCGCATGGGTTTGATTCAGGTTTAAGGGTTTTTGTTTTGGGGTTTCAGGGTTTGAGGGTTTAGGGTTTGGGCCAGTCCTTGAGATAAAAAGCATTTCACAAATCCCATACTTTTGCCTTTTTGGTGGTGTTTGGGGAGGCTCGCAAGTTGTACGAGTGGTGCAAGTGGCCACAGATGACCAAGATTACCCCCGCTGCCCCAAGCTAAAAAAAGCTGTCCCGACCAAGATGACGCTTCATCTTGCCCTCCAACCCCAATTAAAAATCTCCCCGCGCAAGATGACCAAGATGGCGCGTCAACTTGCCCCCCCACTTTGGTGGTTCTCGCTTCCCGGAACACTGTGATGGGAGTAGTCGTAGTCGTGATAGAGTAGTAGTAGTAGTAGTAGTAGTAGTAGTAGCAGCAGTAGTAGTACCAGTAGTAGTAGCAGTAGCAGTAGCAGCAGCAGCAGCAGTAGTAGCAGCAGCAGTAGTAGCAGTAGCAGTAGCAGCAGCAGCAGTAGCAGTAGCAGTAGCAGTAGCAGTAGGAGTAGGAGTAGTAGGAGTAGTAGTAGTAGTAGTAGTAGTAGTAGTAGTAGTACTAGTAATAAATAAATAGTACTAGTACTAGTACTAGTACTAGTACTAGTACTAGTACTAGTACTAGTACTAGTACTAGTAGTAGTAGTAGTAGTAGTAGTAGTAGTAGTAGTAGTAGTAGTAGTAGTAGTGGTAGTGGTAGTAGTAGCAGTAGTAGTAGTTGTAGCTGTAGGTGGTCGTTGCAGTCGTAGAAGAGGAAGCAGAAACAGTGGAAAGGCATGCTGCTAAATGGAATGGAGGAGGGGGGCACGTAGGAACATGCAGTCCTGGTGGTCGTGGCAGTAGGAGGAATGCTGTTATACGAACAGTGCTTCCATCAGCAGTACCGGCACAAGCATCAGGAGAACAAGCAGTATGCAGCAAGCAGTCTTGGCGTTTGGCCGCGACCGGCAGAGGTTCTTACACTCGTAGGTCTGATTGGCAAGTCCCAGCTGCAGAGTGCAGGGCTGGCGGTTTCGGGTTCATGCTCTCTCTCTCTCTCTCTCTCTCTCTCTTTCCCTGGGCAATCTATAGGTTACTTGAACTTATCAAACAAGCGCCTGGTTAGTTGGGATCAGGGCATATTTCAAGTTCGGGGCTTAGGGCCTGCAATCAACTTAGGGTTTACGAGGCTTGTATAAACATGCATGTCTGGTTGTCGCTTTGTCAGCCTGTTTGCCTGTCCGTTTGTATGCATGTACATGTGCATCTTTAGATTATGCTGTGTGTTTGTTGGTAGCAACATGGATAGGAGGTCTAGTGGAAGGTTTGTGTATAAGGTTTTAGGCATGCAGCCAATCGCTGAGAAGGTGAACATTGCCTGCTCATGCGCAACATGTTGATGTTGGGGGGTAACGGATCGAGGAGATGTGTGCACACACAGCGTGCTCCAACAGCCTGTCTGTCCTTTCCACATCCTGATGAGTTTTTTTTGCTCTGTGCAGGGACCCCGCGTTTCCAGTTCGCCAACTGGTCGGGCTAGCAATGTTCCGTCCTCATCGCAGTACTCCATGCTCAAACTCGAGCTTGTTACGGGCAAGACTGCAAGAGTGCTCCACTGTGACTTCGGCATCACTATCATCGTAAGTCTGCCTTAGCCCAGCCCTGGGGTGCCTCGAACTGAATCTTCCTGAGGGGCCTTTGATGTCCGGCGACTCTCCGTTGGCAGAGGCGTTGTGCTACATTGACATGGTGTCTAAATGGAATCAAAGCTGAAGATCTGAGAATTTGCCTTGGAGGCACTTCCATCCCCGAGGAGTGAACTGCTCGAGGCGCCCAAGTAAGTGTAAGTGAAGCTAAGCTGTTTCTCGCTGAAACGTTTGGCCAGGAGACGGCGATAAGTGAAGACTTGCATGCGCAAGGCAGCGCGACGCTTGTCCATGATGTCGCAGAGGGAGGTGATTCTGCACTGCTGCCCTGAAATCAGTAGATCCTCCAAGCACCTACGATGCTTCACATCACAGTAAGCCCCATTGTCTTCGATCGTCGTCGCTAAATCTTCCAGCCGCGAAGGCGGTGCCATTGCACGAGATGTCAGCTTCGGTGCTGGCATGCCGGACACAATCAAGTACTACATCTCAGCCCAGCAGGAACCTCAGCTGAGGAACCGACAGGCAGTTCCCAACTGCCAGCAGTCTTGAGGTCCCTGGCACCATCTCCAGGCGCGAGACTTGGAGCAAACAACGGGTCTTCGTCGGGGCAGAGCGGCCTTATATGGCTAAGGCAGTGCGGCGTGTGTTCAGTGCGGCTCTCGTCTTCAGTGCAGGCTGTGACTGCATGCAAGTCGCAGCTTGCAGGCCACGTTTTAAATCTGCTCATGAAGACTTTATCGCCGCAGCCGCAACGAGTTTCCAAGCCGCAGCTTCCCGATCACCTCATAAACGTTTCGAAGGTCCACTCAAATAACTGGCTTCAAGCATGGTCTAGATTGACATCTGTCTTAGACTTGCTAGTCAATGGTCTGTCAAAAGGTCGTGAACGGCAAGAGGTTCGAGTCCACCCACACTCGTTCATCTCTTCACTCAGCATGGAACATCTGATTCATGTGGTGTCTGCGCAATTCGGCACTGCCGGTTCAGCGCTCCGGGCACATCGCAACTGCTACAAGTTGCGCTAGCTCGCCATGATTACCACAGCTCCCCTTCGAGTACGCACAGCTGCCACGGTGGTTTCCCGAATCAATTTGATTATTCGCATTGGCAGATATTTGCGGTTTGCATTCTTACAGTGCTCTCGTCGCATGTCACGTCAACGGTCTCAGGCTCGACGGTTGGGAGGTGCCACGATGCATGCACAAACCAAGGTGTGTATACGGCAGTCGCAGTCGCACGTGCCTCCGCTGAGTCTGGAGGTGGGGGCTTTCGTACGGGGTTGGTTTGCACGCAGATAGGGTGAATCGGCATTGGTAGGTAGCTGGATCAGTTTGTGCATGTAGCGGGGCCAGGAAGCCACGGGGAAAGAAGAGCCCTGGGCTGGACTCGGCAGTGATGCAGCTGCAAGGCAGGTCGCCAGTGGGCAAGTCGTGCAAGTCGTGCGTAATCGGGTGCTTTTCTCAGGATTGCCATCCTCTTCGGCCAGTCTGCATCAGCTCCTTGTTCAGCCTCCGACCCTTGTTTCTCCGTTTCTCTGCACGCTCTCTTCATCTATACACTGTCCGCCGCTCGAGATGTCAAGCTGCGAGTGTTCACACCATCGCCGCACTTTGTCTGATGAAGCCGAGGCTTCTTTCCACTCAAAGTGGGAGATACTGATGGGGCAGGGCGAGGTGCAGAACTGGATGAAGAGCACACCCGGTCACGATGTGCAGATGCGGTATCCCGGTGAGTGGAAGTTCGCTGGCATCTCGGCTGTGTTTTTGCAACCGTCTTGCCAAGGACTCGCAGAATCTCGCAGCCATCAAAAAAGTGACTTGGGAGTTTCAGGTGGGGTTGTGGACGCAGACGAGACCCCAGAGGAGGCAGCCCGCAGAGAGCTGGAGGAGGAGTTCCAGGCCGGCCTCGGCCTGGGGACTTTCAGAGCCGGTACGGCGATGCATCGCCCGTGCGAGGTCCCAGTGGCGCTCACCAAGGCCACCTGCAAGCTTCGGCTCATGAGCATCAAGCAGACAAGGCCACTGCCAAAAAGCGAAGCCCTAATGCCTAATGCAGACAAACTGCCTGACAGGCCCATCCGCAACATCTCGAACATCATGCAGTCCTGCAGCACCAAAGGTTTTGATCTGCTGATCTGCGTATATGTAGGCAGCTGCGCGAACTGGAAGCTGTACATCTGACCACGCTTCCGGTAGGATACGGTAGGATGTATGGCTGTGATCGATGAGTTTCAGAATGTTGCACAGATACCTGGATTTGCCTCGCAGCTGCAAGGTTCAATTACGTGGCCGCGGCTGAAGAAAACCCTTGGCTGCAGCAGCTGGATGTCGAGGCTTCTAGAGGGATATGTGGATGTTCATCGGAAGACAGCCAGATCGGGCAGAGCATGACTGATTTTGCGGCATGGTTCGGAAGTGAGGCCTTTGATGATGTAACTGTCCTGCCACGGTTGATCGCTTCAGTATGATATACCCACGTGCCCAGGAGGTCAATGGCGCCCTGTCAAATCGACGCAGACTGCATGCTGAAGCCATTCGAGGTGCTTGCAATTGTCTGCCAATGCTCTTGCAGATCAACAGTATAGTTACATGACTATCCAGGACAAGATTTGTCGGGTATACTGCATCCACTGACGTCATCTTGAGTCAGACATACCAGACGAATGCACTGCTTGTGCGGCCATTTCTGCTTGCAGATGTTGGCCCCATGGCACCACGACCACAGCCATGTCCTTTGCATTTGTTCGCATGGTGCTGGTCTGTGCGTCAGCCAATACAGCGACTGGAGAGGCTGAAAGCATCGAGAGACGCTGGGAGGGTGTCCAATCTGCCGATAATCTGTCGCAGCTTATGACGCAGCGGACATTTCAAGACAGCGCAAACAGGCCTCCAGCATCCAGGCCACGGATGCAGGTGCAATACGAACTTGCGGACACGGAAGAGCGGCTGCTAGCGCCGGAGAAGCGAATGGTCAGTGCCCTGCATGGAGGAGTCTCCGGTCGGAAGACACGAGAGCTTGGGGAGGTGATGTTCTCTGCAAGCAACTCGAGCGGCTCGAGCGCCAGGAACGCATCGAAGGCGTCCCGCTCGTCGGCTCCGGAGAAGGAAGCGGCGGAGCTCCAAAAAGAAGAGGAACAGCTCCGAAAGCAGCGCCAGAAGCTCCAAGAGGTGCTTGCGAGCCTTTCGGATCTCCGTTTTGCCTCAGACTGTAGGCGGATGTAGGCGGTAGATGTAATATTATATGGCGGTCGTGGGTGCGTGCGGTGTCGCGGCACGTCTCGTGTTTTTCGGGCTTGAACCAATTTGCTGTCAGCCTCGCCAGGAGATGCGTTTGCAGCATGAGCGCCTCATGCTCTACCAGCGACAGAAAGACAAGGAGCTAGCGGACACGATCAAGAGCTTGCAAGACGTGGCCGGCCACCATGCGTCAAGCGAAGATCGTGACTCTGATCCCGTTCCATACAGCACGACGCCACCACAAGCTGTGGCCTTGCTTGGAACGCTACAGGGGGACTCACTTGGTGGAATGACTTTGTTGGCTTCCGTTTGCATTGCATGTGCAACTGGGGCCACCTTCGTGGCATTTGGACGCTACAAATACTCGTCTGGATTTACTGCGAGCCTCTTAGCAGCCGAGCCGTAGAATTTGCGAAGGACCCGAAGCCAAGGATGCCTTCTTTACAAGGCTTGACGCGGATCACTATTGCATGACCGTCATGAATTCACGCAATGGAACGAGCCAGGAGAAAGCAGCAGCTGCGAGGTAAGGTTCTAATGAATCTCCTTCCAATTCATCCGGATAGGACTTTCTGAATCCTCGGTCCACACGATGTGTGCGTACACGCCTGTGCATGTATATCTGTGTCTGTAAACGCACGTCAGTAATATGCAGCACATGCGCAGCTTTTGGGCAGATAAAACTACAACATGTGAAAGCCTTTTCCATTACAGTTGTGTTGTAGCTGTAAAAGCGAGTGTGTGGGTGTGCGTGTGTGTGTGTGTGTGTGCGCATATACCTATATATAAATACACGTTTCTATATATGTACACACTCTCTCTCTTTCTTCATTTCTTTGTTTCTATATATATATATATATATATATATATACGACTATCTATATGTATATGTATATGTATTTGTATATGTATATGTATATGTATGTGTATATATATATATATTATATATATATATATATATATATATTATATATATATATATATATATATATTGTGTACATAATTGAATCGAGGAGTGTATGTATGTGTGTCTATATAAAGATACATATCTGTCCGTGTACATGCACACACACACACAGACACACACACACACACACACACACACACACACACACGCGCACACACACACACACACAGACACACACACACACACACACACACACACACACACCCTCCCGCTCTCTCTCGAGTTTCGGTGCAATTCGATGCAGCCCTTGTGCATGCAAACTCACATCACACGACTGGAGTCTGTGTGGCGCCATCCAGCTAATCTTGAATGCACGAAAAGCTGACAGCTCAGCACGTGCACCTTGAACTATCAGAACCGTCACCTTGGATGGCATCACAGGAACTTTTGTGAGCTTGCATGCCAAAGGCCTGCGTGGAATCGACCCTGCGCCCGAAACACGAGAAAACGCGAGTATGTGCACAGAAACATCTTTTTTGCACTTGTACATGAAGGAAAGTATAGGTATATATGTACAGGGAGAGCGAGAGAGAGATCCTTGGGAGGACTGCTCCCGCCCCAAGCCCCGAGCAAAGCAAAGCAAAGAGAGATCCTTGGAGCAACGGGCACAACGTGAGTACAGCGGGCACCCGATGTGGTCTACTGTGGATTGACGGCTTTGTTGAAGAACGCACAGGCACCCGCTCAACAACTCTTTGTGTAAAGCCAAGCCCATCCGGACAAAATGTTGGATGGGGTAGCGCAAACGCGCAGGTCGCAATGCTTGCAGCCCACACCCCGGAGCAAAGCAAAGCAAAGATCCCTGGAGCCACCATTCGGTTTATCAATTTAAGCTAATCCTCCCAAGGGGACACAAACCGATTCTCACACTCCTCCAAATCCCCAACAAATCATGAGGGGAACTAGTGGCCGAGGGGTTTCAATCGCCCCTCATGCCCAGCAGAAGGAGGGAGAGAGAGAGAGAGAGAGAGAGAGAGAGAGAGAGACGGAGGACTGCTTCCGCTCCAAGCCCCTAGCAAAGCAAAGAGAGGGAGAGAGAGAGCGAGAGAGCGAGCGAGCCCCTGTGCCTGGCAGGAAGGAAGAAAGACAGAGTGAGAACTTTCATGGCTGATCACGGGCCTGGCGTCAATCGTATTATTGAGTTGTGCCACGGGGATTACCCCATTGAGAACTATGTATTCCGCGAGTGATCGGTCCACTTACTGGGCGCATTTGCCCCAGCAGCTTGTCAGGGCCCAGCCACTATGTTTGCCGTGCGAATCACGCTTCCCACAACGTAATAGTCGGGGCGCGTTGGCAGGGGTCGCACCCCTGCCTCTGCCTTGGCGACAGAGAGAGGGAAGACCCTCCCGCAAGAGAGAGAGAGAGAGAGAGAGTGAATAATTATATGCATAGATAGGGCATGCGGCATGTCCAACTGTGTTCGTTGAATCTCGTAGCTCTGTTG